TGCATTTTAATACTTTTTAAAATACATTTGTACCTTGGATCCCAAATGCCTTGCGAGTCAAACGTTTTGGCTCCTGAACGCTATAAACCCGGAAGTGAGTGTTTCGGTTTGTGAACATTCTTTGGAACCCGAATGTCCGACGCAGCTTCCTGTTAGCTGCAGGAGCTTCCTGCAGCCAATCGGAAGCCGCACCTTGGTTTCTGAATGTTTTGGAAGTTGAACGGACTTCCGGAACAGATTCTGTTTGACTTCTGAGGTACAACTGTATTGCTTTAATCCTATAAGAATTTAATTATTGTCCTTTATATGTTTTCAGCTTTTTGTATTTCATCGGCATTTCAAATCGTGTAAGCCACTTTGAGTCCCAGTCGGGGAGGAAAGGTGGAATATAAATAAATACATTAACAACAACAACAACAACAACAACAGAACAATGGAACTCTTGAAAGGCAAAGCTGGGCTTCTTTCTTATCACTTAAATCCATTGGTTCAGGTCCCACACTCTTGAGCAGCAGAAATAATCTTGCTCCATTTCCCATGTGACGGCCCTTCAGATATTTGAAGATAGCTATCATGTCTCCCCTTCTCCAGGCTAAACATACCCAACTTCCTCAACCGTTCCTCATAAGACCTGATTTGCAGACCCTTGGTCATCTTGGTTGCCCACCTTCCAGCTGGTCGATATCCTTCTGAGAACGTGGTGCCCAGAACTGGCCAAGTGTGGTCTGACCAAGGCAGAAGAGAACAGGACTATTACTTTCCTAGACTTTTGTTGATGCAGCCTAGAATTGCATGAGATCTTTTTGCCGCTGCAGCACACTGTTGACTTGATGTTAAACTTGTGGTCTCTTTGATGCTTTCTGCATGTCCTTTAGGTATGGCCTGCTGTTACCTCCCCACCACCCCACCCTGCTCTCTTAATTCCACCGCCATGCCTCTCCCAGCCCAATCCCTCCCCTGCAGCACATCAAAAGAGGCAGGTGCCGTGTGCAACTTGTGTGTTCCTCTTGCGCAGCCCCGAGCACGCTACAGTCAACCTGCCTTGGATCCCTCTCTGCATGCTTGTTTTGCAATACTCCACCACAGCTGCGTAAAAAAGGAAAAAGTGGGGGGGGGGGAGAGAGAGGCTGTGTTCATTCAGAAGCAGAATCCACATCCGCCCAGACAGGCCATCTGGAGCCATCCAGAGCCAAGTGGAAAAGATAGAAACCCACTTGAGAGAGAGAGACAGAAGAGCAACAGGCAAGCTCTTGAAGAGACAGAGGCCGTCTCTAATTGAGGGCACTTCGATTGCTTCTTGGTCAGTGACCGGAGGCTTCCCGCCAGGCTCAAAACAGCTGGGCGTGCAAACATCTGGCCGGGGTCCCTCACTGGCTGCCCCCTCCTCCCAAGACGGCGCATCGTCAAGCTGCGCAGTTATTGCCGTAGAGAGCCAAGGGCGCTGTCTTTCCTCTCCAGCACGGTTTTGCTTTTTGCCCATCACCCCTCACCCCTTCAAAGCTCCTGGAGGAGGCCTGCACAGAGACAGACCAGCATTTCAAAAACCGGGCAGGGACTGAGTTGCTGGGTACCATCACAAGACACGCCCAGCCTTAAGCCGTAGAATGGGTGATGGCGGCAATTTGGGGTCTGCAGGGCACATGAAGGGGCCACGAGGGCTGGGAACTGTGGAGGCAAGATGGGTTGTGCACACATTGGGGCCAGATAGATTTCCAATGCATAGGGTGGCAGGGGGGAGAGAATGTAGCCATCTAGATGTGGTTCCTTGGTGACAGACCATACCGGTTGGGCTAAGGGCAGCTGGAGTCCAGAAACATTTGGCAGGCCCCCAGGGCTGCAGCGCCAGTCATTGAGCAGGGCAAGCGAAGTGGACCACAAGCTTAACATGAGCCAACAGTGTGATGCAGCAGCAAAACAAGCTAATGCAATTCTAGCTGCATCGACAAAGGTCCAGTGTCCAGATCATGGGAAGGCATTTGTTGTTGTTTAGTCGTTTAGTCGTGTCCGACTCTTCGTGACCCCATGGACCAGAGCACGCCAGGCACTCCTGTCTTCCACTGCCTCCCGCAGTTTGGTCAGACTCATGTTCGTAGCTCCTAGAACACTATCCAACCATCTCGTCCTCTGTCGTCTCCTTCTCCTTGTGCCCTCAATCTTTCCCAACATCTAGACCCTAAAGCACAGTTTAGGAAGGATATTGATAAAATGGAAGATGTGCACAGGATGGCAACCAAGATGATAAAGAGTCAGGAAACCAAGTCTTATGAGGAATGGTTGAGGGAGTTGGGCATGTTTAGCCTGAAGAAGAGAAAATCGAGAGGTCATATGATAGCCATCTTCACATATCTGAACGGTTGTCCCTTGGAAGATGGAAAAAGCTTGTTTTCTGTTACCTCAGAGGGGAGGACCCAAACCAATGGATATACAGTGGTACCTCGGGTTACAAACACTTCAGGTTACAGACTCCGCTAACCCGGAAGTAGTACCTTGGGTTAAGAACTTTACTTCAGGATGAGAACAGAAATCATGCGGCAGCAGTGCGGCGGAAGCAGGAGGCCCCATTAGCTAAAGTGGTACCTCAGGTTAAGAACAGTTTCAGGTTAAGAACGGACCTCCAGAACGAATTAAGTTCTTAACCAGAGGTACCACTGTAAGTGACAAGAAAGGAGAGTCCAACAAAATGTTAGGAAGATCTTACTGCTGATGAAATCTGTTCAGCAGCAGAATGGACTCCCTGCTAATGGTGTGGACACTCCTCAATGGAGGTTTTTAGAGAGAGGTTGGGCGGCCGTCTGTCAGGGCTTCTTTAGCTGTGATTTGTGCATTCCACGAGGTTGGACTAGATGACTCTTGGGGTTCCCTTCCATCTCTTCAATTCTATGATTCCATGAAGAGAGGGCTGGATAGAGCCACGTTTGGCCCTAGGGCCCCAGGTTCCCGACCTCATCTCTACAGCCTGAACACTCATCGTAGTGGGTCACATGCTAAGCAAAACCTCCCCACCAGTAGTTTGAGTACCTGTCCTGGGGAAAGGACAAAGGCAGGGTAGCCAAGCTGCTTCGTGGCGTGGTTATTCCCTCCAGCCACATCCTATCCAAGGTCCTTTTGTTTCTGCCTGCACATTCCAAAGCCACTCTCCTTTAAAAAAACAACAACACCCGTGCAATCTGAGCTGAATCCTGCTCATGCTGCTGTCTTTGTGGCTCTCTCCTGCTACATGCAGAGCTCTGCTGGCCACAGCGCTGATGGCAGGAAATCTCACCTGTGGCTGGGCATCTCTAGAGAGTGCGGCCCCCTGTGTCCTGTTAGGTCCTCTGCAGAGGTAGGTGCAGCAAGAAAGAGTGAGAGGGTTGCTTCACTGGCGCCACCTATAGGTTCAAAGAAGACCTTGGCAAGCTTTTCAAACTCTTCAGCTGTGCTGTTCTAGTTACAGATGTATGATTCTGTACTTTCCAATTTCTCTCGGTTTATCATTCTCTCCCCCACCATCTGAAGTTCAGTCACCCCTTTTCTGCATCCGTTTGCGATATATTTAAAAAGCCTGCATGGAAAAACAATTTGGTGCATAATTTTGGACCTAATATACACGCTCCATTTTTGCGAGCCATTTCCCTGTAAAATGATGGATTTTTGTACATGAAATGTGTGTTTGCTATAATTCACCTTGATATGCATTTTTTGAAAGGACTTCCCTTAAATAATACACTTTTTGGAGCACCTTTCCATCGGAGAACTGCACTGCGATATTCAGAGTGCAGATGGGCAATTTGGGTGGTTTCTGATTTTTCTTGTTCACTTGCCCACATTTTCACATCAGTTTGGGGATCTTTCTTTTTTCAGTCTTTGTCAGTATTTTACTGCAAGTCCTCCCCTAATATACTTTGCCTAGATGCACATTCCTCTACCTACTAAAAGGCTTCTGGGTATGCCACTCTCACTGATAAATGCACAGTGCATCGTTATACACACTTTTATGTTGATATATAAGAACATAATAAGAGCCTGCTGGATCAGGCCAGTTGCCCATCTAGTCCAGAATCCTGTTCTCATGGTGGCCAACCAGTTGCCTCTTCTGGGAAATCCACAAGCAGGATTCGAACCCAAGAGCCCTCTCCCCTCCTTCCATTTCCAGCAACTGGTATTCAGAAGCATTGCTGCCCTGACTGTGAAGGCAGAACGTAGCCATTGATAGCCCTCTCCTTCATGAATTTGTCCTGTCCTCCTTTAAAGCCATCCAAGTTGGTGGCTATCACTGCCTCCAGTGGCAAGGAGTTCCACAGTTTAACTATGCACTGTATAGTCTTTTATCTGTCCCGAATCTTCCAGCTTTAAGCTTCATGGGGTGTCTACAAGTTCTAGTGTTATGAGAGAGGCAGGAAACTTGACTGGAGAACTGCAGCTCAAGATTAGGAAATGCGTGTCTTTCAAAGATTGGCTGTGTTTTGAGTCTGCATATTGTTTAGGAAACTGTGAAAGCAGGAGTTGCTTCTTTAAGCGTGAACTGAAACAAGTTTCTCTGAAATACAAAGGGATGCCGAGTTTCCTCCACAGAGGAGGTTGGGAACAGTGGACAAGCTGTCCTGAAAACCAACTTGGTCAACTCTGCTTCTTGTCCTTTGCAGCCTGGGCTGCCAACTGATCACCCAAAGCCCAACCTGCAGCATCCCTGTGCCATTGACTGCAGCAGGTCCAGTAGGGGGAGCTTTCGAATGCAGGGATCCCCTGCTATTATTGCCCAAAATGAAGTACATAAATGCATTCTATTGGAGGGAAAGCGCTGGTGAAAATGTATGTTTGAGACTAAAATGCATACAAAAATGTGTTTGTTGGGAGTACTGCAACACAACACAATTTGCACATGATAGTCCAGAAAATATGCAGGGAATCTCCCTTTCTCCAGATTTTACCTGTCTGAATGTGCTGTTTCTATTCTGCTTCTTTATGTTGTGTCATTTTTTAAAATTAAAATACTTTTCTAGCATTTTATGTCGCTAATGTAAGGCCTTTCAAGCTCAGCAGCAGAGCACCTGCTTTGCATTCAGGAGGTCCCAGCTTCAATCCCTGGCAGTGTCTCTATGTAGGGCTGGGGAAGCCTGAAACTCTGGAGAGCTGCTGCCGGTCAGTGTTGACAGTACTGAGCCAGATGGACCAAGGCTCTGAATGTAGCTTAGAGGCAGAACGCCTGCCTTGTATATAGAAGGGTCCAGGTTCAATACACAGCATCTCTAGGTAAGGCTGGCAAAGACCCCTGCCTGACCCCCCTGGATAGCTGCTGCTAGCCAGTGTAGACAATACTGGACTAGATGGAGCAAGGGTCGAGGCTTTTCATAAGGCAGCTATATTCCTATGAGTGGTACAGTCATCAAATAAAATGGTAGACTGGTAGAAAAATGACAAAACTTTAGAATGTTCATTTTGTTTAATAGCCTGTCCTATCTCTCAGGTTATGCAGATAACCTCAGATATGCAGATGACACAACCTTGTTGGCAGAAAGTGAGGAGGAATTAAAGAACCTTTTAATGAGGGTGAAAGAGGAGAGTGCAAAATATGGTCTGAAGCTCAACATCAAAAAAACTAAGATCATGGCCACTGGGCCCATCACCTCCTGGCAAACAGAAGAGGAAGAAATGGAGGCAGTGAGAGATTTTACTTTCTTGGGCTTCATGATCACTGCAGATGGTGACAGTAGTCATGAAATTAAAAGACGTCTGCTTCTTGGGAGAAAAGCAATGACAAACCAAGACAGCATCTTAAAAAGCAGAGACATCACCTTGCCGACAAAGATCCGTATAGTTAAAGCTATGGTTTTCCCAGTAGTGATGTATGGAAGTGAGAGCTGGACCATAAAGAAGGCTGATCACCGAAGAATTGATGCTTTTGAATTATGGTGCTGGAGGAGACTCTTGAGAGTCCCATGGACTGCAAGAAGATCAAACCTCTCCATTCTGAAGGAAATCAGCCCTGAGTGCTCACTGGAAGGACAGATCCTGAAGCTGAGGCTCCAATACTTTGGCCACCTCATGAGAAGAGAAGACTCCCTGGAAAAGACCCTGATGTTGGGAAAGATGGAGGGCACAAGGAGAAGGGGACGACAGAGGACGAGATGGTTGGATACTGTTCTCGAAGCTACCAGCATGAGTTTGACCAAACTGCAGGAGGCAGTGGAAGACGGAAGTGCCTGGCGTGCTCTGGTCCATGGGGTCACGAAGAGTCGGACACGACTAAACGACTAAACAACAATCTCTCAGGACTTGGGGTGACTCTCAGTTGAAAACCACACTTTGAAAAAATCAATCAATCTGTAAGACATTGAACTTTCCCCTAATACTTTTGAGTGCCTCCCCCCTCAATTGCTGGAGCCTTTTCCTGCACCCCAGGGGAGAGTCGGCCCTCCTCTCTTGGACCAAACTGAAGTCCACCTAATCTAGCATCCTGTTTCTGACAGCTGCAAGCCAGATGCCTCCAAAACGGCTACAAGCAGCACACAAAGGCAAAGGCCCTTCTCCGTTGGTGGTCCCCCAACATCTGGAGGTACTCAGAGGTAGGTTGCCCCTGAACCTGGAGGCTCCACATAGCTTGGCTAATCCAAAGATTTGACACCTGTACCCAGCGACAGCTGGGCGGATGCCTCTGGGGAACTCAAATGCATGGCACGGAGGAGAGAGCCATCTTGTGTTGTTTCAGCATGCGGGATTTGAGGCTAACTGCTCCTGGACCTGGAGGTTCTACTCAGGGTGGACTTGAGTGAGCACATTTAACAGTTGAAGACGTGGGTGTTTGCTGCTGAAAATGGCAGGCCCCTTCTCCATCCACAACACGAGAGACAGCGTGGTGGAATGGCCCTAGCGCAGGGTTCAAATTTCTCCTCCATAAGAACATAAGAGCCTTCAAGGTCAGGCCAATGGCCCATCTTCCCAGCATCCTCTTCTCACAGCGGCCAACCAGATGCCTCTTCTGGGAAACCCGCAAGCAGGATTTGAACACAAGAGCATTCTCCCCTCCTGCGGCTTCCAGCAACTGGTATTCGGAAGCCTCCAACTGGTAGCCATTGATAGCCCTCTCCTGCTCCATCACTTTGCCTAATCCTCTTTGAAAGTCATCCGGTTTGGTGGCAATCACACCCTCTTGTGGGAGGGAGTTCCATAGAAAATGTGCTGTGTGAAGAAGGACTTTCTGGATGGCCGTAGTCCAGCTGTAGTTGCTCAGCCTGGCCTACCTCAAAAGGCTGTTGGGAGGAAAAAGCAGGTTGTTGTGGAGGAAAGATTGGATAAAACACTTGGAGAATTGGGGGGTTTGTTTGGTTTTGCAATCAATAAATTCCTCGAAAGAAATAAAGAGATAACAAGCAAGTGGTGGTGGGAGGAGGAAATCCTGATGGTGATGACGTATCACCTCCCAAGGCTTTTCCCTTGGCACCCCCATTATGGGCTATGGAAAAAAGGAGGCCTGAACTCCACAGTCTCTGGTGGTGAGGGATCTCCCACCTGTGATCTTAGTTAATGACGTCTCCCCTTTTGGCTGGTGAGGACATTCTGGCTAACCTGTATATGATGTTTATTCTGCCTTGGAAAACCCCACCTGCAGCATATCTACACACAGGAAAAACCCACTATAAATAAATCAGAAATTAAATTGTTATAATAAAAGAAAAAGAAAAACACTATGTAAAATCGCATAGGAATTGTTTCTTGCTCTCCAGTGCCCTCTGGTGTTGCATGTTTATAACACATTCAAAACACTGGTTTTTTTACCAATGTAGCTGAGTCCCTGGAGTCCAGTTCTGGGCACCCTAATTTGAGAAGGATGTCGACAAGCTGGAAGGTGTGCAGAGGACGGTGACCAAGAGGTTCAAGGGCCTGGAAGCCAAATCTTGTGAGGGAACTGGGGGTGCTTAGACTGGAGAAGAGGAAACTGAGATGGGATCTAAGAGCCATCTTCAAGTATTGGAAGGGATGTCGCATGGAAGATGGGGCCATACCCTGCAACAAAATCAAAATCCAGGACGCCATCTTCCCGCTTTTTATCACAAGAGCACTGCGGCCATTTTGGTTGCCATGGTTTGTCAGACACAGTGCCCCAAAACATGCGTTTTGGGGTCACTTGAAGCCTGGCATCTCCCAGGGGCAGCCTGACACTCTAACCACTCTGCCACACTGTCTCTCTTAAGATAAGGCTCTGGCCTAGTTTGCATAAAATAGAAAGTCCACCTATTTATTTATTTAATGCATTTATATTGGCCCTTTTTCTCCAAGTATTTCCAGCTGTTATGCATGCCTCAACCTCCCCCCTTAATCCCCATGGCACCCCTGTGAAGTAGGTTGGGCCAGTGAGGTAGTCACACCCAGTGAGCTTTGTGGCTAAGAAATAGAGATACAAACCTTGAGATCTTAGCCCAACATGCTGATCACTGTGCCACACTGCCTCTCAGCCATCGCTTCTACATGTGGCAGGGAGTTCCGTAAGTGAATGGCTGCATCCTTTACTCATTCTGAAGCAACCAAATGGACTTTGATGAGTGCCTGCGAGCTCTGGCGTTTGGGCAAGTCTCCTGATGCAGGGAGTTCCATAAGTGAACGGATGCATCACATTAGGAAAAGAGGCTTTCTTTGCCTTGTTGAGTGCCTGCAAGCTCTGGCCTTCTGAGAAATATCCTCCTCGCCTGCCACCTTGTTCATGTAGAGAGAAGGAGGCCCATGTCTCTTCCTGTCTCCTCCACTGTGCCCGACAGTTTGGCGCAGGCGCCTAGGTGTGGCTGGGGAAACGGGCAGGCCCCTGCCCAGCTGCCTGAGCCAATGCCACTGGAAAGTCTTATTCTGCCCGGCGGAGGGCTGCCGTGTTTTTCCAACCCTGCAAATATTCTGGGGCTCAGATTGCCAGGCCTCCTTAGGGAAGTCGGCTGAGGAAACTGTCCGATATTTGCAGGGTGTGGCTTCCCAAATGTCTGATATTTGGTTTCTCTCTTTCTCAGTTGAAAATCGCTGGTAGGATGCTCCGTTCTTGAGCCGTGAAGCCCTTGTTTCTAAAGAAAACTTGCTCTCAGAGGAGTCTGTTCTCTGGGTTTCTGCCGGAGTCACTGCTCTGGGGGTGCAGCAGAGGGGTGCAGCGGTTTTGCCTGGGGCAGAAGGGCCCAACTGCAGCTGATGCAGGGTAGCAACGAAATTGCTGACTCAAAGGAGGAGAGCCCAGACCAGTGAATCATGCAGGTTTGCAACAGGCAGCCTCCTCTGATCAGGTGTGATGGAATGATCCAATTATGCCCCAGACAACAAAAGGGACGAATTGCCCACTGTAGACCCAAACAGCAACCTCCTCTGAGATGGGGATGGATGCATTTGTCATCTTTCGATTTTAATTCTTCTTAAATTCAGTTTGCCACATTTCTGTATCAGTTTGCATATTTTTATTAAAATAGCTCCCATGGAAATTAATCAGTACCTGGCGTTCAAGTCACTGATGGTCACCTGCCTTTTGATCCTTTCCAAATGTTTTTTGTCTGTCCTGAAACTCCTGCTAGCTTCATGCCACATCCAAGTATTTCTGAGATAAGAAGCAACATTCCTCTCTACACCTTAAATAAAGTTTTGTAGAGATCGAAGGGAACCCCAAGGGACATCTAGTCCAACCCTTGTAATGCAGGAATCACAGCTAATGAACCCCTTGCAGACGGCCATCCGTCCTCTTGTCTGAAGGCACTGAGATGAACCTTTTTTTAAAAAAAATAATAATCCCGTCCAACAACCTGGCTAATGTCTTCCAAACACTGACATCCTGAAAATGATGGGATCTGGCGAATAAATTTGCCAGACGGGGGTGGGAGGGGGCAGGGAAGGCACCCATTTCTGGCATCGAGGAAAAAAGTCAACAAAATACAGGCTTTCTAGGAGGCTGGGAAGAACAATTCTTTGGAAACAAACGTTCCAGAAATTCTTGAGTGGGGAATTCTGCGCCCCATGCCAGATTTCTGTGAATGGGGGGTTATAGCCATCTGTCTTCTCTATATGTGACCCTACACATAGAGATGGAGCAGTCCTACTCTATCTGCCACTGCTGCCCACACCAAGGTGGGTGGCATAGCAAGGGATGGGACTCTATCAAAGGTAACACCTGGTTTCTGGGGCCTAGAATGAAGATTTTATTAGCATCTTGAAGATGGCAAGAGTTCTCCTGGGCATATACAAACTGTGCTTCAGTCATTATGGTCAGGTATGCACGAGGCTTCTCTATTCCACCTTCTGTAGCAGGAGGGATAGATACTCTTCTTCTAGGGTCTGCCCTGAGCATGTGCAGAGAGCATTTCAGTCACCAAAGTGAGAAGGAACATCATTTGGAAGGATCATCTCCAGCCCTGCCATCTCCTAACCACCTTCTTCATTACAGCTTTCCTTGTAATTGCTTCTACTAGGAATTTTGTCAACGGGTTGATGGATGTACCCATTTCACAGAAGGGCAACTGAAGCCAAGAGAGTTGCCCAGCACTTTGTGGTGAATGCAGCAGGGCAAGACATCTTGAAATTCAGGCTTCCTCCCACCACCACCTACGTCCTCAAGATGTTCGGGTCTCTCTTACTACCCTGAAGGAGGGGGAGGGAGTAAATTCTGCAGGCGAGACTATCTAATTCGCACGTTCCCAAACAACCTGAGAACCGAACCTTTGACATATGCACTTCTCCGAATTTTGCAATGCAGTTCTCCAGCCAAGGAACAAAAATGCATTCTTGTTAGGCAAAGTGTGCCTAACATTGCATCTATTAGCAAAAAGAACATGCCCGAAATCCATTATATTATGTGAAACCGTTTTGCAAAAAAAAAAAAAAACGCCGCACAGAGCCAGGCCAAAAATTGCATGCAACAAACTGCATGTAACTGTGTGCATTCGGAGCTGACGAATTCTCGTGAGGGATTTTCGGAATAAATAAACAAATTGTAAACCGATGTGGAAACATGCAGAAGCAGACTGGGACCTGAAATGGACAGGTTTATCTGTGCCACTCCTCCTTTGCAAATGTGGCAACGAGAGCATTGGTGTTGGTGTTGTTTTGCTAAAGGTCAGGGATCCGTGACCCCCTTGGCTCAGGGCCACTTTCAGGCCATGGCTCCCTGTGTTGCAGAGCACCGGTCCAGGTGTAGGATGTCTGAGCACAAACAAAACTGAAGCAACCGCTTAGCGGGGGCTGGCTGGCTACGGCCCAGGGGTTCAGCTGCTCAGAGCTGGAACCCTTTGGAGATAGCTTATCTCCAGACTCTCCGACTTAATTTCTGCCACCTCCCCCCACCCCTGCTCTCTCCCCCACCCCACCCTTAGTCCTGTCTGTTCGGCGGGGACCCGTTTCCATCCGGCTCCCATCCTCAGGGCTCCTCACATTCCATTCCAAGACACCCCCCGCTTCCAAAACCCATTCCGACGAGGGACCCTCGTCCCCCTCGTCCCACAACCTGAATGCCTCCTGGCCCGTCCTCTTGGCCTCAGGCCTTGATGCCCTGCAATGGTCTGGGGCATCTGATTCAGCCAGAACTTTATCCCCCTCCCTAAAAGGAGGGGGGAGCTGCTGTACCAATCTGGATCCCCCCTCCCTCCAGCTCCCTCCCCCTTTTCCTGAAATCTCTCTTGGCAGCAGAGCTCGCTTTTGGCAACAGATCCCACCCGCGCTGGGGAGAGAGGAATTACAAAGGCAAGCCAGGCTCTTGGAGAGAGAGATCCGTGTGTGTGTGTGTGTGTGTGTGTGTGTGTGTGCGCGCGCGCCCCCTCTCCCAATGACGTAGTGTCCTGAGCCTTGTCCCCTCCCCTCACCCCTCCCCTCTCCCCCCCTTTTACATCCTTGGAAGCCGCAATTAAGCAGCTCCGCTAGGATAAAACACTCCGGCGGCCAGCGGGCTGGGGCATTGCGTCGAGAGAGATGGCCAGGCTACGGACTCCTTCCTTCCTTCCCGGGGCTGTCACTGTCCTCCTGCTCTCCAGTCTCCCGGCTTCGTGGCAAGGAGGTAAGAGGCAGCGGGAGCAGCAGAGAAGGCTCAGGACGAAAACCGCAGACAGCCTCTGACCAGATGCTTTTTCCCCCGGCCCTGGAAGGGGTCATCGAGCCGCCTCGCTTCCAAGCCATCTGCGGCGGAGGCTGTTCCGTCTGGGCAGTCGGGGCACCTGCCCTCCGCCTGCACCCACCTTTTTGCTTTCTTGCAACAGGCCACTGGCTGTCACAGCCTCCCCTCTGAGGTGCACTTGTAGAACACGGCAAGGAGCAGGATGGGGGGCAAGACTGAGAGGAGCCACCTCTGCCTCCCTCTGCTGTGGGTCTCTCCAGCTCCTGCCCCACTGGTGGGCACCTGCCACCACACCTTTTAAAAACTCAGTGCCCACCTTCCCCGGAGCAAGACTCACTGCTCCATATCTCAGACATGGTGCAGGGACCAACCCCTCTACCCCCTGCTTGTTGGTGACAAGGGGCAAAAGTCTGGAGCCTCCGATACTGCCCCTCACCATCTCCAGGGTCTCCGAAACCTTCTGGGTTCACCCTGAAGGTGGCTGAGGTGCTGCCTGCCCACAGGGACTCACTAATATTACCACTGAAAAACTTTAAGGGTCTGTCGTGGTGGTTGAATGGAAGGGGGGCAGGATATGAAGCCAGTGGACTCCAGGAGAGGACAAGAGGGGCTTAACTGAATCCCCGGAAGGTGTTTGCCAAACACCAAACCTCAGCCCCTCAGATGGTGCAAACATGTAATGCAGTGTTTCTGAGCATGTGCAGAGTGCATTGAGGAGCCATAGCGGTGCTTTGGGGATTGGGGCACAGAACATCGGAGTAAAAAGGGTTCCTCTTGAACCCCAACATTTACTTTCATCTTCCTTGGTGTTTGGGGGGGGAGTTAGCTCCCCGCTTGCCCCCCACAAGTGAGTTTGGTCGTTGCTCAAGAATTAGCTGTGGTTCTTGCTTTGCAGGGAGTTGAACTAGCTGAGTCGCTGGGTCCCTCCTAGCGCTACAATCCTATGAATTATTGCATGTCAGAAGGATGTGCCACCTGCATGACCCACACAATTTGCACAGGTCGCTCTCCTGTGGTGACAACGTGACTCTCCCCGGGTGACCACAGACGCTTTGCCCAGTCGGAGGCAAAGGGAAGCCCATGGGGAGCAGGAGGGCAGGATCCGAGTGAGGTTCCTGCCTTGCACCCGATCCAAAAAGGGGAAGCAGGCAGGAGAAGTGGGTCATGCCCGTAGGATCCCATGGGGTTGATCAGAAGGGACGCCCCCATCCCGGACGCCTTTGCCCCATCTCTGGGAACACCGCGGTCCCGCCAAACAGCCGCCGCCTTTGCCTGCAACTTGGGTGTCCTCTTGGAAAACATGCTCTTCCCGGGTTTTGAACACAGCAAGAGGCATTAATGAAACACACTCTCTTGCTTTTCTATTTTGGCATTCCCCGCGAGATCGTACTGTCTCCCCTTGCCGCCCTCAGGAACTGTCATCGTTTCAGTCCAAGCATGTGGGGTGACGGCTTGAGGATCCCATTAAAAAAAAAAAATCTCTTTGAGAAGTCTCAGATCTGATAGGCTGGAAGAATTCCCCATCTCTGGGTCAAACTAGACAGAGACCTGCTGTTCAGAAGGCTGGGCTTTCTCACTCGAGCAACCTGCTTGACAGATCGCCTCTGCATCTAGCAGGGGAAGGATTGCCTAGGGCTTAAATGTTGGGACCTGGGGAAGAAGGGCATCCGAGGATCTGGGGAGCTGGGGAGCTGGTGAACCCAGAGACATTGCAGGACTCCAACTCTCCTTATGCCCCATCGTTGGCTGCTGGGAGTTGGAGTCCGACAGGGTCTGTAGGGTCACAGATGTTCCCTTTGCTATAAGGGGCCGGGGGTGGCGGCCCGACAACTGTTGTGACATCATGGGGGAACCTGTGAGGTAGCTGTGATGGGTGAAGCAGGCCCACTCAAGTCAATAGAGGGTTGGACTAGATGACCCTTGGGGTCCCTTCCAACTCTACAATTCTGTGATTCTAAGTCCCGCTTCCATGGGACAAGAAGCATTCCCCCTTCTCTCTCTCCCGAAGTGAACTAGAGGAACGCACACGACCCATCTCCATCCGTTCCTTCTGAGCGGGTTTTTCCACGCTGGTAGACCGAAGTCATTTTGCTGCGAGAGTCCATTTATTTATTTCCTTCCTTATTACAAAGGTACCTTGGTTCTCGACTTCGGGAGTCTGTTCAACTCCTGGAACAGTTTGAAAACCAAGGCACAGCTTCCAATTGGCTGCAGGAGTTTCCTGCACTCAAGCAGAAGCTGCGTAAGCTGCGTCGGATGTTCGGCTTCCAAAGAAAGTTCGCAAACTGGAACACTCACTTCCGGTTTGTGGCGTTCGGGAGCTAATTTGTTCAGGAACCAAGCTGTTTGAGTATCAAGGCACCACTGTAAATTTATATCTTGCCACATCCTCCCAAAGGAGCCCGGGGTGGGGGCGAGAAGGTGGTCCCCAAATTCACAGGGAGACCCTGACTGGACGGGCAGCGGGATCCTTCTTTGGAGTGAGGTGGCTGGCTCAGGCAGCAGGCAGCAGTGCCCCAACCCCTCTGCCAAGCCCCCTAAGCTAGCCTCTACTCTGCACCCCCTAAGCCGCCCTGCTGCCTCGGGAAGAGGCATTCATCAGTCCAGTCAGATTGTGTCAGGGCCACTGGGACAGGGCAGAGATCTTGCAATCCAGCCCTTTGCTTCGGGTGGTAAAATGTCATGACCAGCACCCCATTACTGCCAGCCAAGGGTGGCAAGTCAGCTGAGAGGGCAGAGGTGGCCAGGCTGCTTGGTGTGCCCAGCTGGTTCCTTCATCACCTTGCCACCATTCAGTGCTTCCCTGCCACCAGAAGCAGCCTCCTCTTCATTTTGCCCAACAGTAGAGCCGGCCCCGATGCCACCGGGAAACTCCTGGCTGGAGCTGGGGGTGCCCTTTGCATGTTTGCTGTTCAGGCTGCCTTGTACAAATTGCTGCAAGTGTGGCAGGTCTGGGAGGCAGGGCGTTTGGAGTGGTCAAAGCAGGTGTCAATTGGGATTGCTCCCGAGTATGGCTGCACTTGCATAAGGGTCCCATGTTCTGTCCCCAGCTGGGAGAGACCCCTGCCTGAACCCCTAGAGAGCAGCTGCCGGTCAGTGCAGACTGTCCTGAGCTAGATGGACCAAAGGTTTGACTTGGTAGAAGGCAGTTTCCTGCGTTCCTATGAAATAAGCTGGATTCCTCCCCCCCCTCCGCTTTTCCTGGGCTCTCCTGGGATGTAACCAGATAGTCAGCCTAGATAGCTTAGTAAACTGGCTAGAGCACAGTGCTGATAATGCTAAGGTTCCAGGTTTGATGCCCGTACGGGACAGCTGCATATTCCTGCACTGCAAGGGGTTCAACTGGATGGTCCTCAGGGTTCTTTCAGCTCTACAGTTCTATGAAATAGCATCCATGAAATAGTCTGAAGGTTCGGGACCCTCAGGCCCATGATATGGATTAATTTCTGGGCATATGAAGATGGCGGCTGGCTGGGTTCTCAACAGCAGTTTATAGAGGCCCCTAAGCACCTCGCAAGGAAAGGGGAAATTGTGGTTAAAAAGTGGGAGCAGGAAATCTGGGACCCGGGGCTTGGTTCCCACTAACAACACCCCTGTATTTTGCCACCATTCCTCTGACAGCCCCTTCTCCATAAATATTTATCAGGGTGAAAAGAGTCTCTGAAAGCCAGAGGCATGCCTGCAATTCTTTGTCCTTCCTACAAAGGTGTGTCCGTTATGAGAGACTAGATGCCCCTTTGGGTCCCTTCCAACTCTACAATTCAGCTATTTCCTCCTGCCTAAACAGGAGTTCTGTGCAAAAAAGATCTCATGAGAGTTGGCAGAGCTCTGATTTCCCCTTCTTCCATTCCTGGAAGGGAAACAGCCACAGAAAGGGGAAGCAGGCTCCCCAATAGCTCTTTTCCTAGTCGCCTGGAGTGAGTTGAGATTGCCTGCTGGTTGACCAGAGCTTACAAATGATCAAGAGAGTGGTTTTTCTTTATGAGGTGCTAGAGTGCTTAGAGATTCCTAACAGTGGCTAGTAAATTCTTTTGGTAATGACAAAAATGGGCCGTTTTTGTTTTTTGTTTTTAACACAAGCTAGTATTCTCTTCTGTGGTCAGAAGGTCAGTTTGTGTCTGTAATTCCTACTCTGTGTTGCTTTAGGCAGTAGTTAAATTGGATTTAACTTTCCCCTCACCCACAGACACCCATTCGAAACCCGGAAAAAGACTGCCACATTTTCCTATACATTAAGGATCCTCAAGGCCTTTTCACACCCACCCACTGTGTTCTGAAGTGAGCGCCAATGAATTAAATTGTGGAGCTCTCTCCCCTGGAGGCAGTGACCAGCCACCAATATGGATGGCTTTGGAATGGAGAAATTCACAAGCTATTGGTGGCTACTAGTCATGATGGCTCTTCTCTGCCTCCACAGATGGAGGCAGCAATGCTTTTGAGTAACAATTCCTGGAAAACACAGGAGGGGAGAATGCTCTTGCGCTTTAAAAGTGCCTCTAAAAGTGTTCTGATGTCTTTTAATTATTGCTTTCCGCTAGTTTGCTTTTGTTACTTTGCATTTGATAGGTTGGACACCGCCTCGAATCCCAGCTCGGGAGAAAGGCAGCGAGTCCAAATAAATTTAAAAGATAATAACTTGCAAATACAAAGTGGATAGCACTCCCTGGCAGGTGGTCAAATTACCTGGTGGGGGCGGCAGCGCTGAGATGCAAGGGTGTGGCAAGGTGGCGCTGGAGGTGGAAATGACCACAGCCTTTGAAAAGCTGAGATTTTTGTGGTTCCTGCATTGCCAGGGGTTGCATTCTTGGGATTCCTTCCAACCTTGCAATGCTGTGATTCCATCAGTTTTTGTTGCATTGATCAAAATACTTTTAAATGGGTTTTGAATGAATGTGCAATTAATTGTTGGTGCTTTGAATTTTATTGGGCTCTTGCCTCGCTTAGTGGGTCACGCAAACCACTATTCTGAAAAATGTTTTTCGTAGTGTTTTTTTGTTTTTGTTTTTGTTTGGTGGTGGTCAATGGGGATGAGTTTATTTTCTCTTTCAGGGAAAAAGGGTTTCATGTAAATTAACAAGTGATCATAATGATAATAGTTGGCGGGGGGAGGTGACCCCAAAAAGTCTGGGAAATGCCAAGCCAGTTTTTCAAATCGGAGGGCCATTTGCTGCAAAATAGGGCACATATGAGGCCACGCTTGTCCCAGGAGAAGTGGCCTCCCATCGGCTGATCCTTGGCGTGTTTACTGGGAGGTAGCTCCCGCTTGGTCCAAGTGGCCTTCCTCCCACATTGAAGCATTCAGAGAATTGCAGGGAAATTGCTTAAGGAAAACAGGACGGTGCATTTTTTGAGTTTGGCAGGCCTTCAGATCCATTAAACCAGTCAACAATTTTGAGGAATCAGGGCTTGGGTTCTGTTCCAAAGCAATCTTTAGAGTTCAGTGAGAGCCTGGGCCTACGTCTAGGAACCATGCACTACGCTGGACAGGGCTTTGCACAAAACTTAAAGATACAGCAGCCCTGCTTGGAGGATTGCAGGCTGATGGGCCTCTGCAAAGCAGTAGCTAGGTCACAGGCTTCCTCAAACTCGGCCCTCCAGATGTTTTGAGACTACAATTCCCATCATCTCTGACCACTGGTCCTGCTAGCTAGGGATCATGGGAGCTGTAGGCCAAAAACATCTGGAAGGCCAAGTTTGAGGAAGCCTGAGCTAGGAGGATAGGAGGCGGAAGGGGAAGGGAGGGTTGCTTAACCCCTCCTCCTTCCGCCCTCCCCTTGGCTTTCTCCCGCCTTGTTTTTCCCTCCCGCCAAGAGGCTAGAAATATGTGTGTCCGGCTGCCTTGGGAAGCAGAGGGAGGGAGGCAGAGAAATGGTAATGGCTGGGAGGGAGGGGCAAATGTTTCTTGTTTTTTTCGAATCGGAATCATAGAATTGTACAGTTGGATGGGACTCAATGAGCCCTCTTCTCCAACCCCCTGCAATCTGAATTTCATTTCCCCACATTTCGACATCAGTTTGCAAATTTTAGTGATAATAAAAAAGTCATCATGAAAATTCATTTTAGGACAGATTTCTCCTAACTGGGAAGGCTTGAGGGAGTTAGGGGTGTTTAGCCTGCAGAAGAGAAGACTGAAAGCCGATAGGATAGCCATCTTCAGATATCTGAAGGGCTGTCACAGGGAAGACGGAGCCAGCTTGTTTTGCACTGCTCTAGAGGGGAGGATCCAAACCAATGGATCCCATTGTCAAGAAAGGAAATTCTGATTAAACATTAGAATCTGATATATCTGAAGGGGCGTCTCCACCCCTATCATTCAGCCTGGACACTGAGGTCCAGCACCGAGGGCCTTCTGGCAGTTCCCTCATTGCAAGAAGTGAGGCTACAGGGAACCAGGCAGAGGGCCTTCTTGGTAGTGGCACCCGCCCTGTGGAACGCCCTCCCACCAGATGTCAAGGAAATAAACAACCACCTGACTTTTAGAAGACATCTGAAGGGCAGCCCTGTTTAGGGAAGTTTTAAATATTTGATGTCTTATCATGTTTTTAATATTCTGTTGTGAGCAGCCCAAGTGGCTAGGGAAACCCACCCAGATGGGCAGGGTACAAATAAATTGTTGTTGTTGTTGTTTATTAGGAACTTCCTCACAGTAAGAGCTGTTCAACAGCGAAATGAACTCCTTTGGAACGTGCTAGGCTCTCTATCATTGGAGATTTTAAAAAAGAGGTTGGGTGGCCACCTGTCAGGGATTCTTAAGCTGTGATTCCTGCATTGCAAAGGGTTGGACTAGATGACCCTTGGAGATCCCTTCCAATTCTACAATTCCATGATTCTCTGAAATCTTGAAGAGCCTCTGCCAGCCAATGTCAGCAGTACTGAGCTAGATGGACCAACAAGCTCAACTGGCTCTACAGAGTGGCAGACTCTGCACAAGGCATTTCACTGTGTTCTTATGAGTGGGGCTTCCATCTACAGAGGAAGTCTACCTCTGAGAACAAAATCACGGGAGCCAAAACAACAGGGCTTGGTTGTCATCTGCAGGTTCTTCTTCCATGGTTCCTATGGGGGCCTCTGGAGGCAAAATGAGAAGGCTGGACTCAAGGGGCCAGGAAGGGAGGGAGAAAAAGGTTGCTCCATCAATGAAAACTTCACAGATTTTTGGAGCTGGCAGCAAATGGGACTTGCAAGGCTTTGGAGGTGGTTGGAAACTGAGCAGCTCCTTGTTAGAGCTGGGGCAAATTAGCAGCCCCAATGTTTTCCTTCCCGATGTATCATGGGCCCAATGTTATTTCTTATGGTGTCCTCGTGAAACCTTTGTTAAGAAGAGGCCTGCAAGATAAGATAACGACCCTTACTAGGCTTTCTATCCTCCTTCTGTAACCAAAAAAAGGATTGGGATCTGAGGCTTGCATGCGGGGGGGGGGAGAGGAAAGTCTCGCCTCCCTGATCCCATAAAGATATTGTGCTTTTCTTGTTCTTTTCCTTCCTAGCTTGCATGCCCTTCATGTGTTTTCTTAAGCTGTTCAGGACATGGCAAGGCCTTGCTTAAGCCGTTAAGTCAGTTTCTTAAGCTGCCTCTCCCCTCCCTCGTGAGTAGCGGGAGCAGAGGAAGGCTTGGGAATTAATGCAGCAATTGGCATCAAGGCACCCAGTTCATAGCAATAGGCCCACTGTATTCTGCTTAACGGGATGTGGGTGGCGCTGTGGGTTAAACCACAGAGCCTAGGACTTGCCGATCAGAAGGTCGGCGGTTCGAATCCCCATGACGGGGTGAGCTCCCGTTGCTTGGTCCTTGTTCTTGCCAACCTAGCAGTTTGAAAGCACGTCAAAGTGCAAGTAGATAAATAGGTACTGCTCCAGCGGGAAGGTAAACGGCGTTTCCGTGCGCTGCTCTGGTTCGCCAGAAGCAGCTTAGTCATGCTGGCCACATGACCCAGAAGCTGTACGCCGGCTCCCTCGGCCAATTAAGCGAGATAAGTGCCGCAACCCCAGAGTCGGCCACGACTGGACCTAATGGTCAGGGGTCCCTTTACTTTTACCTATTCTGCTTAACGCAACTCAACAGTGTGATGCAGCAGCAAAAATGGTTAATGCGATTCAGCAGAAGTCAACTGTCCAGATCAAGGGAAGTAATAGGACCAATCTGGTCTGCCTTGGTCATACAGCACCTGGAGTCCTGTGTCTGGTTGTGAGCACCCCTGTTTAAGAAGGGTATTTTCAAGATGGAAGATGTGCAGAGGAGGTGACCAAGATGATCAAGGTTTTGGAAACCGGGTCTTATGAGGAACGGTTGAGAGAGCTGGGTATGAGTTTAGCCTGGAATAAAGGAGACTGAGATGGGATATGAAAGCCATCTTCAGCTATCTGAAGGAAGATGGAGCAAGCTTGTTTTCTGCTGCTCCAGAAGGCAGGGCCCGAACCAATGGATTCAAACTGCAAGAAAGGCAATTTTGACATTAGGAAGACCTTTATGGTGGTAAGAGCTGTTTGACAGTGGTGGTGGACAGAAGGTGGTGGGCTCTCCTTCCTTGGAGGTTTTAAAGCAGAGGTTGGATGGCCCATCTGTCAGGGATTGTTTAACTGTGATTCCTGCCTTGCAGGGGGTTGGACTAGATGACCCCAGGGGTTCCTTCCAACTCTACAGATGAATGATTCTATTACACATTTTTTCTTGCCTTTCCCCCAAGGAACTCATGACAGTGTAGAAAGCCTTCTCAGTCACTTGAGCATCAAAACAGCCCTGCGAGGTGGGTGCATCATGCTGAAAGATGAAGACTGGCCTGAAACTGGAAACTGTGCTTCATGACTCAGTGGGGATTTGAACCCAGTTTTCACTGATGCTAGTCTGACACCCACTGTGCTGGGTTGGGGGGCGGGCGGGATCTGCCAATTTCAGTTCCTACCAATTTATCATTTTTCCAATCTTGAGTTTCCCACGTTTTCCTATCAGTTTACAAATTAGTCCTTAAGAAAATTTGTCAGCTTTTTAGTGCAAAGCAATTTCCCCTTCCATAATGCTCGGGTGTATTTTATTTTATTATTTTACTATTAGATGCTCTTTCGCCACACTCTACCCCAGAGTATGGATTTTTGTACGCATAACTTGGCTGGAGAACAGCATTGCAAAATCTGGAGATGTTCAGATTTTGAAGGATGGGTTCTCTGTTTCAGTTTGCATGTTGCTTTGTGTAAAGTGCAAATCAGGGAGGCTTGCTTTTAAATGCAAACTGAGCTGTATTTCTCTCCCCGTCCCTAGTCATAGCTCAGTGGCGGAGCATGCAAATGTTCCCAGGTTCAATTCCTGGCATTTCCAGGTAGGGCTGGGAGAAATCCTCTGCCAGAAACTCTGGTGAGCTGCTTCCAGTCAAAATACCGAGGTGGCTGGACAGGGTATAATAGAAGGCAGCTCCCTGCATTCTTGTAAGTGGAGCCTCCATATACCAAATTAGTCTACCTCTAAGAACCAGCGATGAAAAACCACAGCTGCACTGACTGGGGTGGCTGATGGGAGTTGTGGTCCAGCAACATCTGGAGGGTACTGAGTTGGCAAAGCTGGTTCTAGTCTCAGAAAGAAACTATTATTTGGGCCAGAAATTTGGCTGCACTTGCTCAACTGCAGATGCAGACCTGATTTGTCCAAGTCATAATGCAGGAGATGACCCTTGCAGTTCCTCCCAGCTCTAAAATTCTATGATATTCATCTCTGCCACGGCAGTCTTGGGCCTCCTGAGACTGGCGTGTCTCAGCACTAAGGCGATTAGCTTGGCTGTCGTTGTGCGGGACACAGAGGGGAGGGAGGGAGGCTGAGGCAGCTGGGCACGAGATGCCAGCACTTGGTGGCACCCTCAACTCCTGACCTCTCTTCCCCGATCTGAGCTTTGGCCTTGGGGATGTGGGTGGAGGAAAGGAAGCTTTTTTGTGAAGAAAGGTGGCAGCGTTTGGGACTCTTTAGTTAATGGCGAGGAGGAGGTGACTTGATAGAAAATGATGCCTGGAACGGAGAAAGTGAGTAGGGAAAAGTTTTTCTCCATCTCTCATAACACTAGAACTGGTGGACATCCAGGGACGCTGAGTGTTTGAAGATTCAGGCAAAAGAAAGTCCTTCATGCAGTGCAGAGTCTAACCATGGAGCTCTCAGTGATGGCTGCCAACTTCGATGCCTTTAAAAGAAGACTGGACAATAATAAGGCTATCAGTGGCTATTGGCCGTGATGGCTATGCCCTGCCCCCGTGGTTGGAGGGAATACCAGTTCTGAATACCAGTTCCTGGAAACCACAGGAGAGGAGTGCTGCTCTTGTGCTCAAATCCTGCTTAATTTACTTTCCAATGAGACATCTGGTTAGGAACTGATTCTATGGGTGGTTTTGTTGGGTAGACCATTCGACTTCTGCTTTTCTCATCTGTGAGATTTGGACAGTCAGCGTCCGGGAGATCCACCAGAATCCCAATTCCCATTTGCACGCCCACCCCACAAAATCTGTAGGTTTCAGAAGGGCAGCTTGTTGGGGGTCTCCTCAACGTCTCTCCAGACTTTTCCCTCTGGCGGGAATTTGCATGAGGCGCCATCAGAAGTCCTTGGCAATGCTTTGGATTGAGGTGGGGTGGGTGGGAAATGACCTCCAGAGTTGACAAATGTATCCCTTGCCCCCCCAAATGTTAACACCCACCAAGAGAGCAACCTTTCTCGCTTCCTCTCAATTTTATACCCCCGAAACAAATCTGGGAGGAAAATGAGAAAATGATCCCTTAATTTCCCTGTGACAAGAAAACATTCTCAGTCTGAGATCACGGCAAATGCAAACATTGCTCTCCATCTTTGGAACATGGTGTGTGTGTGTGTGGAGGGACAGAATCTGATTATCTTGCCAGAAAATGTCCCCCCCTCTCCCTTTTGAGACACCCCTGGCCACACCTTCAGCTGAACATACGTTCCCAGACAGGAGATAAACACAGACCCGTGTGGGGATCAGATTGGCTGGAATAGCAGCCAACTTTCTCGATTAAAAACATGACTTAAGAGCCTAAGAAGAGCCTGGTGGATTAGGCCAGTGGCTCATTGAGTCCAGCATCCTGTTCTCACAGTGGCCAACCAGATGCCCCAATGGGAAAACCTCAAGCAGGATTCAATCTTAGGAGCAACTCTCCCTTCCTGTGGTTCCCACTAACTTTCATTCATAAGCATTGCTGCTTCCATCCATGCAGCTATCATGCCTAGTAGCCATCAATAGCCCATGAATCTGTCCAATCCTCTTTTTAAAGCCACCCAAGTTGGTAGTCATTGCTGCAATGAGTTCCATGGTTTAACTCTGCTCTGCGTGAAGAAGGAGTTGCTTTTTCTTGTCCTGAACCTCCCAGCGTTTGGCTTCCTGGGATGTCCATGATTTCTAGTTTTCTGAGAGAGAGGGTGGGGAAAAAACCTTTCTCTACCCACAGGAGGCAGTGACAGCTACCAACCTGGGTGGCTTTAAAAGAGGATTAGACAAATTCATGGAGGAGCAGAGTGCTATTGATGGATACTAGCCAGGATGGCTATGCTCTGCCTCTGTGGCCGGAGGCAGTAACTGAATACCAGTTTTTGGGACCTGCCGGAGGAGGGGAGAGGGCTTGTATACTTGGGTCCTGCTTGCAGGTTTCGCAGAAGAGGCATCTGTTGGGCCACTGTGAGAAGAGGATGCTGGAACAGATGGGCCAATGGCCTCATCCAGCAGGTCTCTGACATACTCTCCAACATTTCTCTGATGAAAATAGGGATGTCCTATTCTCTTCTTCTTCTTCTTCTTCTTCCCTCGCCCATCTGACTGGATTGCCCCAGCCACTCTGGGCAGCTTCCAACATATATAAAAACATAATAAAATGACAAACATTTTTTAAAAAAAATCCCTATACAGGGCTGTCTTCTAAAGGTTGTATAGTTACTTATCTCCTTGGCTTGGGGGGGTCTCATACGCCATACCTTCCAACGTTTCTCCGATGAATGTCCAAAGGAAAAGTGGGACATTCCAGGATCAGATCAGAAACTGGGGTGGCTTCTGTAAATCCGGGACTGCCCCCGGAAAATTGGGACACTTGGAGGAACTGCTCTAAAGCTTTTATGTCTGCTCTGCTAACTTGGCACCAGCAAGCCAAAGCGTGGGGCTGGGCTGTGGTGCAGTGCCTGGCATCATTTCCCGCTCTGTAGCCTCTGCCCATGTGCTCCTCTTGCCCTCTTTGCCCGCACCTGGCAGGCATTAGCTTAGCTTGCTCCCTTGCAAGCCAGCCAGCTACAACACAGAGACACAAGCATCCAGGCTGCCTGCTATCATCCCCGGCTGCCTGTTGCCTGAGGAACTCCATTATCTCAGGGCCTTAGGCCAAGCCGAGGCGTCCAGCTGAGTCCTGATTGGCCAGCCTCAAAGGTGTGTGAGTAAGAAGGAGCTGGGAGGCCCATAATCCTTTCCCAGAGGGAGGCAGGGCGGATTATCGGCGTAGAAATCACCATTCCTGGGTCCAGTTTCCGAAGGCCATCTGCGTGTGAGTCAGGTCTCTCTCTCTCTCTCTCTCTCTCTCTCTCTCTCTCTCTCTCTCCATCCACTGCCCAGGAGCTCTCTCCAATTGCTGCTGGATGTGTGCGTCTGCAGACACCTCCATGCCAAGACAATCATATCTGTGAAAATAAGAGAGGTTAAAAATATATTCAAGTTGGTTTGAAATATAACAGACAAAGCTACCTCCCTTGTCTGAAATGCCAGCTCCCAGACTTGTATCTTGTGCTGGCCAAGAGATGAGGCATCTGTGCCATCTCCAAACTGAAGCAAGTGAAGAATCAGAGAATCGGAGAGTTGAAAGGTCACCCTTAGGGTCATCTAGTCCAAACCCCTGCAGTGCAGGAAACACAGTTCAAGAATCCCTGACAGATGGCCGTCCAACCTCTGTTGAAAAACCTCCAAGGAAGGAGAATCTGCCACCTTCTGAGATAGTCCTTTCTACTGTCAAACAACTCTTACTTTCAGAAAGTTCTTCCTAATGTTTAGTCCTTCTGTTTACTGTTCTTTTGCTCATGAAAGCCGCCATTAGCCCCAGAACCTCTTTTGAATGTCAGTTTTTCATCACTGGGCATGTGCCGAGTGCATTTTGCCTTCACAATCTACGTTGTGTCAGTCGCCGCTGAGTTTTGTTCAGAGTGAAATGCCAAGGTGGGTTTTGCACGTTACTGAGGAGAACAGCTCAGGTGGCAGAGTTTTGACTCTCCGCCTGCCTGAATTGGGAGATGGGTTTTGATGCCCAGTGCCAGTTTTAGAAGAGGCAAGACATCTTCCTGAGAGTCTTGGCCAAGATCTCCTCTCTGTCCCAACATCTTTATGCCTGGAAGCTGAGATGGTTCTTCCCGCCACCTCTAAGCTATGGAACTCATTGCCACAGGAAGCAGTGATGGCCGCCAACCTAGATGGCTTTAAAAGAGCATTCAAGAAATCTATGGAGGAGAGGGGCTATTAACCATGATGGCTGCTCTCTGCCTCCAAACTCAGAGGCAGCAATGTATCTGAATACCAGTCTCTGGAAACCACAGGAGGAGAGAGGGCTCTTGGGCTGGGGTCCTGCCTGCAAGTTTCCAATTGGGGCATCTGGTCGGCCACTGTGAGAACAGGATACTGGACTAGATGGGCCCCCTTTGGTCTGATCCAGGAGGGTCTTCTTATGCTGCTACGGGACACCAGTCGCAGCCTACTTGGCACCGAGGCTGTGCAAAGCTTTGCTGCAGCTCTGCCGGAGGAGCTGGAAAGGTCGGCTGAGAGCCGCCCCCACCCTGCTGTTTGTCTGCGGACTGCTCTCACACACAGCAGGCGCCTCAGTTTTCCCCAAGGAGATCAAGGGAGGCCGCAGCGTTGAGCCCACAGCACCAGCTCTCATGCCAAACCCTCGCCTCTTTGACCTGTCGTAAGCTCTGGGAAACGGCTGGGGGCAATTGGCGAGGATGTCTGGAGTAGAGGGACACACCATCAGGATAGTCAAAGCGCAATGGCCACAGAGAAAGCCAGGGAGGCCAGCTCTTGGGTGTTTTGGGGGGCAGTGAGGTCAACAAGGCCCCTTGAGTTGAGTTGAGGACTGTGGCATCTGGCTAACAGATGCCTATAAATAGGAGACGTTCATGAGAAGCACCCATCATTGCTCGGGAATGCTAAGAAACCTAACAGATCAGTGCAGTTTTCAAAGCTGCGCAGTTTGGAAAGGTTCGATCCACCATCTTCATTCCAAATCACGTCTGCCAATATCAAAATTTAGATGCAAACGTGCCCCTCTATTATGGATACCAATATCTCAAGAGAACCGACAGACAGACAGATCGTTATCTAGTAGATGTGAGGCATGCTGGAATCGTAGAATTGGAGGGATGAACCCTCTTTAATCCAACAGTGATCTTTTGGTGGCTGTATCTACAGGGCAGGCTTAGTGTGGCTTCCTAGTCACTCATTCCTCTCAGGAAATCCCTGCGAACTGATGTTCTGCAAAGGGGACAGAGCAATGAGCGTTCCCTCCCTCCCACATGCCCCAACCGAAACAGCGACTTCCAGAATGCTTTGGGAGTCATCGGGACGTGTATGAAACTTGATGTAAGAACATAGGAAGTGTTGGCTGGATCAGGCCAGTGGCCCATCTAGTCCAGCATCCTGCTCTTAAAGATGCCAAACCAGCTGCCTGTGAGAAACCAGCAAGCAGGACCCGAGTTCAAGAGCCTTCTCCCCTTCTGTGGTTTCTAGAAAATGGGATTTGGGAAGCATTGCCTTCTCCAGCCACGGAGGTGGAACAGAGTCATCCTAGCTAGTAGCCATGGAGAGCTCTCTCCTCCACAAATGCGTCTAGTCTTCTTTTATTTTTTAAAAATATTTATTAAAGTTTAAACATTACAAAAAAGAAAAGAAAAACAAAAGAGAAATATACAAAGCATCAGCAATACAAAAAGAAGAAAGAAAAGAAAACAAAAGCATTTAAAAAAAGAAAAAAAAACCAAAAGAACAAACAAACATACAAAAGAACCCCACATTTTCATATCCTTATCTTTCATTAGCTTATTTCCTCGACTTCCTCACACCTCCTTTTTTGTATTCTAGTTCAATTAAATATTCTAGCAAGTCCTTTCCCTCTTTCACAAATTTAGTTCAATAATTTAATTTAACGAAATTTTAGACTTAAATTTACATCTTTACCCAATATCAATCTATTCATACTTAATTCTTTATAATATTTCTACTAAAGTCATATAACTTCTTTCCAGCATCTTTCTAACATTCATTAATTTTAGAGTATTTCTGTAAATAAGCTTTGAATTTTTTCCAATCTTCTTCCACCGACTCTTCTCCCTGGTCTCAGATTCTGCCAGTCATTTCCGCCAATTCCATATAATCCATCAGCTTCATCTGCCATTCTTCCCTGGTAGGTAGGTCTTGTGTCTTCCAGTGCTTTGCGATGAGTATTCTTGCTGCTGTTGTCGCATACATAAAAAAAACTCTATCCTTCTTTGGCACCAATTGGCCCACCATGCCCAGGAGAAAGGCCTCTGGTTTCTTTAAGAAGGTATATTTAAATACCTTTTTCATTTCATTATAGATCATCTCCCAGAATGCCTTAATCTTTGGGCATGTCCACCAAAGGTGAAAGAAAGTGCCTTCAGTTTCATTGCATTTCCAACATTTATTATCGGGCAAATGATAGATTTTTGCAAGCTTGACTGGTGTTATGTACCACCTGTAAATCATTTTCATTAAATTCTCTTTTAAGGCATTACATGCCGTAAACTTCATACCAGTGGTCCATAACTGTTCCCAGTCAGCCATCATAATGTTATGTCCAACATCCTGTGCCCATTTAATCATAGCAGATTTCACCATTTCATCCTGGGTATTCCATTTCAGTAGCAAGTTATACATTCTTGACAAATTCTTAACTTTAGGGTCTAACAATTCTGTTTCCAACTTTGATTTTTCCACTTGAAAACCTAATTTTTTGTCCTGGCGTCTAGTCTTCTTTTAAAGCCATCTAAGTTGTGGGCCATCACTGCCTCCTGTGGGAGGGAGTTCCGCTGTTTAAAATATTGCACTTCCTTTCCTCTGCCCTGAATCTTCCAGGTTTCGTTTTGCTCTTTCCAGTCTGCGTGTTAGTATATAGGTTTCATTGGAGCTTAGACCTTGGCAACTGTTTACAGCCGAGCCACTTGAGAGCAGGGATGGGGTGGAATCCAAGCAAGAAAGACTCTGGGCTCACGCAGAGTGCCTTTCTCTTGTTCCTAAATCGCCAACTCTAAACAATTGTTTGTCCGTCTCCAGCTGTAAAATTTCTGGCGGAGGAGGGGGAAAAAGGCACACGCCCCGTTTTATTTTCATTTTTAATGAAAAGAAAATACGTAAACATTGCAGCAAAACAATGAGCTCTTCGGAGGGTTTGCTGAGTCCCATCCCACCCTTTGCGTGCAAACGGTTACATCCTTTGCGGGGAGAGCTTCGATTTGCAAAATGGCACCCCCCCCCCCATCCCTGAAAACACTCATGTTTGCAGCAAACCGCCTGGGGGGTTAGTGAGTTTAGGAAAGAAGTCTATTTTTCCAAATCCCCCATTTTGTTTTTCATAGCAAGCCATGGAAAAATGGGGAGGTGGGGGGGGCGGGGAGAGAGCATTTTCCAAAAGTTGATTCATTTTCTGGGCACAAACATCAGTGATACAATTAAGCAGCCTTCGACTGTCCTTTTCTGTTTGCTAACAGGGAGTGGGGGTAGAGCGGGGCTTAATTAGACTATGGTTGCGATGCTAACCGTCTGGGGGAAATCAAGCACCTCTGAGCATGAGAGGAGTGCCATCCTTTGCAACAGTCCATAAGTATGGCATGCATGGCCTGGAGAAAATGGACAGAGAAAAGCTTTGCTACCCCTCTCATATTAACACAAGAACTTGCAGATATCCGATGAAGCGGGATGTGAGATGATCAGGACAGATAAAAAGACTTCTTTATGAAGCGCAACTCATTCTTGCACGAGGCCACCATGCTCACCAACTTAAAAAAAATAATCATAGGATTTTAGAGTTAGGGTCATCTAGTCCAACCCCCTGCAATGCAGGAATCTCAGCACACAGTCCCCCATCCAATTTGAAACCAGACCCTCCAAGTGTCACTATTTTCCAGGGACAGTCACAGGTTTACAGAAGCTCTCCCAGCTACTGATTTGATATCTCATTTTTCCTGAGCATATTCCTTCGGATGTCCCTATTTTTATCAGAAAAACGTTGAAGGGTATGGAGTTATGCGACCCCCAAGCCAAGGAGATAAGTAACTGTACAACCTTTAGCAGACATCGGAAAGCAGCTGTATGGGGACTTTTTGTTTAATGTATAATGCTTTATTATGTGATTAAATACAGTATGTTGGAATCTGCCCAGAGTGGCTGGGACAACCCAGTCAGATGGGTGGGGTATAATAATAATAATAATAATAATAATAATAATAATAATGGAATAGGACGTCTCTATTTTCACTGGACAGATGTTGGAGGGGTATGTTATTTTCAATTCCTCTCCTAATGATCCCTAGCCTTTTTCACGCCCTCCTTGGGAAAGGCATTGTAGGCCTCTCTCCCTTTTGCTCGGCAGTTGCAAAACCCAATGCATTTAGACTGGGAAGACGGCGAGATATAAGCCGAGTGATAAATACCAATAAATCTCGGAGAGTCGTCCGTCTGCGAGGCATCAGATTCCGGCTTGCCAAGTCTCTCCGCGTGCAGCCGCCTCACTTCCTGGAATCGCTCTCCATGGCTGCCCATTTGTGAGTCACATTGCACAAGGAGTGTGTGTGTGTGTGTGTGTTGCAACAACTCCATTTTATACATGTTCACTGACAGCCCAGCAGAGCTGTGGTTAGAGAGAGAGAGAGAGATGACCTGTCTTGCGTCCCCTTTCCCTGGAAATTCAAGAGCAACACTTTGGCAGAGCTTTATTTGTTAAACAAAATCTATATGCCACTTGATCAAGGCTCCAAACGGTTTACGAGAAGTCATCCATCAAAAAACAGTAATTGAAAACATTTGGGAAATGATTAAAACTAATGGTAGACTAAAGAGAGATTTGAAGTACATGCATACATGCCTGGGCAGGCTTGCCTGAGCAAAATCTTTAAGCAGGTGCTGTAGAGAGTGCAGCCGAGGCTCCTGCCTGATGTCAAAAGGCAGGGAGTTCCAAAGTTTGGGTGGTGCCATGCTAAAAGAACAGATTCTCACAAGTGCAGAGGTTGTGTGGCACCTGTAACTGGGCCAGTTCTGCAGAGCAAAGCAGTTGAGTAGACACATTACGGAGTCAGGTGGTCCTGCAAGGAAAGCGGTCCTAAGTTTTCAACAGGTTTTTGTACCAGCAGCAATGCGTTGCTACCTTGGCCTGATAGCAAACTAGCAGCCTGTGCAGATTCCAGCTAAATTCTAGGAAGAATTTTCTGGTAGTAGGAAATGTTCAATAGGCGAGTGGACAACCTTAGAAAGTGGCTAGACTCTCCTTTCTTGGAGGTTTTTAAGCAGAGGTTGGATGGCCATCTGCCAGGATATCTTTCGCTGTGATTCCTACATTGCAGGAGGTGAGATTAGATGACCCCTGGACTCCTTCTTAAACTGTGGTGCCCAGAACTGGACAAGCTTCTCCATGGCGATTCATCTTCTCTGGTCTGGAGAAATAGCTCCTGGTGTCAAAGGTTTTCCGGGGCAGAATCCTGGACCCAATGGGCTGGGTTTGATGGCAGGCCTATTTTCTGGGGGCTGGGGGGGGAGGGAGAGAGGAAAAGAAAGAGAGAAGCATGTTCTGATTACAGGCAAAGGCAGAGGGAAGCTGGCCCACAGCCACTGACAATTTTGGGAAGGAAACAAAAGATTGTGTTTTTGTTTTGTTTTGATTTGTTTCTTACAAAGGAAACACAGAAAGCTCCAGCGAAGCCAGCTGTGAGGGAAGGCCAGGATTGCTCCCGCCACATACCTGGGCAGATTGAAGCCTCAGCGACATCTGCTGGGCAAGGCAGAAGCGGCACAACTAATTGTTTCCTGGGCAGCAGGTGATCGTGCTGATCTTCCTCAGGAATGGCCACAGCCTGGTGGTCGGGCACCTGCTATGCATGCAGAATGTCCCAGGTTCAATACTGAGTGGCGTCTCCTGGTAGAGCTGGGAGACCCTTGTCTGAAACTCTGGAGGCTCACTGCCTGTCAGTGTAGACACTGCTGATCCAGATAATAGAATCAGAATTGTAGAGTTGGAAGGGATCCCCAAGGGTCATCTAGTCCAACCCCCTGAAAGGCAGGAATCTTTCGCCCAACGTGGGGCTCGAACCCTTGGCGCTGAGATTAAGAGTCTCATGCTCTACCAACTGAGCTATATAGACCAGTGGTCTGACTTTGTCAAAGGCAGTTCTCTGTGCTCCTATTTGGGAAAGGCCTATTTAAACCAGCTCTTTGTCTAGAACCATGAGGACTAGAGTCTTACTTTACTTTTAGCGAAAGCGCCGTCGCTTAGCAGTGCATCATCTGCTCTGAATGCAGAAGGTCCCATGTTCCATCCCCAATGGCATCTACAGGTAGAGCTGAGACTGTCTCCTCCTTGAAACTATGAAGAGCCACTGCCAGTCAGTGTCAACAGTACTAAAGTAGATGGTTCAGTGGTCGGATTCTGTACAAGGTTGCTCCCTGTGTTCCCCATAGAGTAGGCAAAACTGATGGGGAGGGCGGAGGTCCCACATTGGCTGGGATTATCTAGTGTGAAGTATTTTCTGTATTATTACATATTCATTGTGTTTATGAACCACCTTTTTTTCTCCAAGGCAGTGGTGTAGCGTAGGTTGCCGATGTCCTGGGCAAGGCAAGTATTGCACCCCCTAAGCCATGGACCATTGGCACAGATGCCAAGAGGTAGTTTTCTAGGTGGGGCTTGGCGATCTCACATGGGGCTGAAATGGACCAAGTTTGGGAGTTGTAGATAACCTTAAGATCAGAGGCAGGCGGAAAAGCAAACACAACTTTCCACTTGCCTGTTTCTTTGTTTGTTTTGGGCAAGTCTGTGCAACGGCTCATTTCTTTTAAAAGAGGCGCTTTCTGAATCCAAGGTGGTGGGAATCACAGCATGGAAGAGGACAGCAGCAAGCTGGGAAGTGCCAGTATTTTTTCTTTTGAAATTTTGTGCCCCCTCATAATTTTGCACCCGGGGCCCCTACCCTCTCCTCCCCATGCTAGACCACTGCTCCAATGAGCTTTAGGTGGCGGACATGGTCCCCCTGCCTCATTTAATCCCCACAACAACCCTGTGAGGTAGGTGAGGCTGAGAGGCAGTGGCCAGCCCCCAATGAGGCCTTCATGGCTGAGTAGGGGCAGAATTCGAACCCTAGTTTCCCAAGTCCTAGTCCGATACTAGAGTACATTGGTCCACCAAAAAGGCAGAAGGGGATACATCTGAGCTTCTTCCTGCTCCTTTCTCCTCCCTCAACGCCATCCCCCCTCGCCGGCAGCCACGCTCCTCCTCGGGTCTCTGTTTATTTCATCACCCTCCTCTTCCCACCCTCCTTCCCTCCATCTGTTTTGGCGAAGCCTCTTGCCTGTTTCCCAATTCGCCCTGGCTTGCATGTCTTGAGGATTCTGGCTTGTGTTGACTTCACTTTGGGCCGCTGTCCAGCAGCCAATTAAGCTAGAATGCCGGAACTTTAAACCAGTTCTAGACCCGCTCTGGAGAACGGGGGAGGGAAGGCGGTTAGAAGAGGCATCGGTGTGTGTTGGGGTGGGAATAGTGGGGGGGGGGAGGAACCTAGAGAGTTTTGCTGATCTGGTGATTGGAGGCCTGTTTCTTATGCTGGTTTCCAGATGTTTTTTCACCACGCTCTCCAGCACGCCGGAGCAGATGTTCAGGCGGTAGCGCTTAATTGGTGCCTACCCTTGAACATGAGAAGAGGCTGCTGGATCAGGCCACTGGGCCGCCGGGTTGCAGCCTCGTGTTCTCCCAGTAGCTGGCCAGATGCACCACTGGGAAACGCAGAAGCAGGATTCGCCACTTGTGATTCCCAGCATCACTGCCTCCAACTGTGGAGGAAGGACATAGACATCGTGGCTTCAATAGATGTCTAATCTCTTTGGAATCCATCCAGACTGGTGGCCCTCGCTGCCTCCTTTTGGAGGGAGTTCCTGAAGAACCTAGGGAGATCCTGCTGGATCAGGCTGAAGGCCAGTCTAGTCCAGCATCTTAGGAAAAGGAAAAGGGTTCAAATGAGAGATTCCGACCAAACATCAGGAAGAATTTCTGGTGGTAAGAGCTGGTCTGGACCCTATTGGAAGGTGGTGGACACTCCTTCCTTGGAGGTTTCGAAGCAGAGGTTGTATGGCCACCTGTCAGGGTTTGGCCTAGGACCCTCGTACCTACGGGACCGCCTCTCCTGGTATGCCCCATGGAGGACCTTAAGGTCCATAAATAACAACACTTTAGAGGTCCCAAGCCTCAAGGAGGTTAGATTGATTTCAACTAGGAACAGGGCCTTTTCAGCACTGGCCCCGACATGGTGGAACGCTCTGTCACAAGAGACTAGGGCCCTGCGGGATATGACATCTTTCTGCAGGGCTCGCAAGATGGAGCTGTTTCGCCTGGCCTTTGGCTTAGACTCACTCTGGCCCCTTATATGGGATTTGGTATATAAATTTTCCCTTGGCTTTTTTTGCTGGCTCATGTAGGACCAGCATGGATAGCTGACTTGGGTGAATATCTGATGTTTTCTCCCTTTATGGTCTTGATTTATGGGCTACTACTAAAATGAGGCTGCATTTTAAGCTGCATTTTAAGCCGTATTTTAATTAACTGTTTGTTTGTTTGTTTGTTTGTTTGTTTGTTTGTTTGTTGTTGTTTCTCTTATATTTTATTGTAATTCATATTTGGTGTTAGCCGCCCTGAGCCTGCCCCTGGCCGGGGAGGGGAGGGTATAAATAATTTTTTAAAAAATTATTACTTATTATTTATTGAGCTGTGATTCCTGCATTGCAGAGGGTTGGACTAGATGACTCTTGGAGTTCCCTTCCAACTGAATCATCTTCACCATCACCTCCCTAGGAGGCGCTGCTGATTCCTCAGTCTCAAGCCTTCTTTGCATGCTCCCGAGTATTGTAGCCTACCTTTCACTGTTGTTGTGTGAAATTACTGCGATAAAACATGCAACTCTGCTTTTTTGGGGGAGGGGGAAGTGTTATGGAAATTCTGTGAGACACTCTGTGATTTTTACGGAGCTTATGAAAATACGATCCAAGCTCAAAGGCTGGAGGTGGTGGGTGCAAGATTGGGCATGGCTCCTCCGCTCCTTCGAGTCGCACTGTGGCTCACGACTTTGATTTGGGGATGGACTGGGGTTTTGCTGCCAATGCACAGCTTGACTCGCTTGCTTGAGCCATCCGCGAGTCTTTGCTCAGTTGCCTCATCTCCCTTGGGTGCAGGTTCAGTGGGGGTGTATGGGGAGGGGAGATTGAGAGGACCCCGTCCTTGGACTGTCTGTCTTTTCCACGGTTTGAAGAGAGGGAAAACAATCTTCAGAGAATGACGCCAGTGTTAATTAGCTAATTAGGGGGATGCTGAGGGTGTGTGTGTGTGTGTGTGTGTGTGTGTGTGTGTCAGAGAGAGAGAGAGAGAGAGAGAGCGTCCCTTTTTCCACCCCCTAAAAAATGAAACCTCTTCACAGCCCAACTTGGCCTTTGTTTGACAATGGAAAAACTCCCTTGGGAGGTAGTGGACTTCATTGGAACAAGAGTTTAGACGGCCACCTGTCAGAGATTCGTGAGCTGTGGTTCCTGCATTGCAGGGGGTTGGACTAGATGGCCCATGGGTACCCCTCCAAATCATAGAATTGTATTCTATGATTCTATGCATCTGAGGCCCCTCCAGATGTTTTGGACTGAAACATCCTCCAACCTCATCAACAGGGAGCTGTGTTCACACCAGCTGAATTATCACATGACCACACTGACTGGGGCTGATGGGAGATTTATTTGTTTATTTATCTATTAAGATTTACACACTGCTTGATTGCAAAAAACCCCAAAACCCTCTCAAAGAGGTTTACAAAAAGATAAAACGATGAACTTATCCTTAAGAAGAATTAACAACAAAAGTTAAGACTTTCTGAATGTTAAAATAACAATAGCAGATTAAGAACTGGAAGCAGATTAAAATTCACACCAATTTTCTAAACATCTGAGTGGGCTTGTCTAAACAAAAATGTTGTTAGGAGGCACCAAAAAAGGTACCGGGACTGTTTATGTATGCGACAACAGCTGCAAGGTTGCTACTAGCCCAAAGATGGAAAGAACCAACAGTCCCAACTAGGGAAGAATGGCAAGCCAAACTGCCGGACTATACTGAAATGGCAAAACTGACTGGGAGACTCAGGAATCAAGAAGATAATGACTTTAAAAAAGAATGGGGGAAATTCATTTACTTAGGAGACCATTGTAAACAAATTAAAACGTTAGCTGGACTTTAAAAATAACTTGTAAAGAAACGAAAGATATGGATAATTTAGAGAGATAAAAATTGTGGAGAACGTAATATGTAGTTTTAGAAAAAGTATTTTAAGGACCCATGCAGGGGACAGGGGGACGGGAAGCCACAAGATTCAGAGAATCTCATATATGGATATGCTGAAAGTTTTTTTCCCTTTTTTATTATTTTGGATTTGTTCTTGTAAAAACCAATAAAAAAATTATTAAAAAAGAAAAGAAAATGGTACATGCTTGGTATCAAGAGGCAGGGAGTTCCAAAGTGTAGGAATGGGTATTATGTAGTCCAAGTCATCTAGAGGGCCCCAGGAGGTTGGTCTAATTCCTCACTCTGCCAGCTGCTGCTGCTCTCCCTACTTGGCAAGGGCACTCTCCAGATTTCCTAGTGGCCATCCCATAATAAATCATTGTCATTGGGGGTGGGGCAGGAAAGGGCAAGATGCCCGCTTGAGGAAAAGAGCACATGGGCAGAAAATTCCAGTTTTCTTTGCCACCCCTTCACAACTTATCCAGAAAGCAGATATGTTTGGGTGTTGCCGTTCTTTCGTAACTACAGCCAGATCTGCGTTAGATTGAATATCTCTTTTTTAAAAAAAAAGGAAAAGGAAAAGCCTTCTCTCTTGTTAACAGAATGTTCAAAGCTTTAGAGGAAAGAGATTGATGTGTGCAATTGTGTGGTTTGCATTTCTTTCTGTATACAAGCAAAGCAATGTCACGCCATGTGGTCCACCTACAGGAAAGATGGGCAACATCTGGAGAGGGGGATCCAGATGTGCTTGACTCCAGCTCCTGGCCTCTGGCCTCGGGGTTGATGTTAAGAATTGGGAATCCACCACACACCTGCAGACCCCCACAGATCTCCCCCAGCCATGACCTGCAAACTCAGCTTGGGAGACTGGCTTTTTAAAAAGCCCTTTCAAGAAATACGAATATAAGAAGTCTGTTGGATCAAGCCCATGGCCCATCTAGTCCAGCATCCTGTTCTTACAGTGGCCAGTCAGATGACTGTGGGAAACCTGTAAGCGGGACCTGAGCCCAAGAGTCCTCTCCCCTCCTGTGGTTTCCAAAAACTGGTATTCAGAAGCGTTGCTGCCTCCAAGGTCCCTAGCTGGAGACCCGGACCCTGGGCTGACAAAAGGTCCCCTCCCTTTGTTGCAGCGAAAGAGAAGCACTCTGCTTGTGCTCAGGAGCAATCCTCTTTCTTGTTCCTACTTCAGAAGAACCTGCTGGATCAGGCCAGAGTCCCAGCTAGTCCAGCATCTTGTTCTCACTGTGGCCACCCGGGCGCCTCTACCAGGAAACCCACAAGCAGCATTTGAGCACAATTGCACTCTTCCTTCCTGCAGTTTCCTGCAATGGGCATTGAGAAGTCTTGCTGCCTCTGTCTGTGGAGGCAGAGCAGAGCCATCCTGGCCAACAGCCATCCTCCATGAATTTGTGCAATACTTATTTAAAGCCCAGTCGGTGGCCATCACTGCTTCCTGCGGCAGGGAGTCCTGCAGTTTAACAATGTGCTGCGTGCAAAGTGCTTTCTTTTACCTGCCCTGAATTTCCCAACATCCAGCTTCCTTGGATGTCCAATGTCACAAGAGGGGGTGGGAATCTTTCCCTTATCCACTTTCCCCATGACATGCATGCTTTTATTTTTTATTTTTTACCAAACACAAGCAGTGAAACCCCCCAGGCAGCTGATACATTGGGTATACATAATCAATAATAACATATTCAAATCAACCATATCTACAATTTTATATACGTTAACACTCCTCCATCCACAAGGACATGCATGCTTTTATAAACTTCTATCAGGTTGCCTCTTACATTTTCTCTCAGTGAAAAACCCCATTGGAGGAGGGTTGCTCCATCCCCTTGGACTGCTCTGCTTGTCCCTTTCTGAGCCTGCTTGGCACAGGCTGGGGCTGGCATTGCAAACAGGTTCTGGGGCTGAGCCCCATCTCAAACGAAGCTCTATGTGGGAGCTCTGTGTGGGAGACAACTCAGCTCCTCCCAGGGCTTTGCTTCCAGCTGAGCATCTTTCAGCTCCCACCAGCCACACCAATAGCTCCTTGGCCCAGAGAGAGCCCTTCCGCAATCAGACGGTTGAGAAAAGGTCAGCTCTGTTGTTCGACTCCCAGGGCAAAGCATGTTGAACTTAAACACAAGTGTTTATTTAAGAGGGGAGGAGCAAGGAAGGCGTGTTGGCTGGACGGGAGGGCGAGAGAGGGGGGAAGAAGGCAACATGAAAACAAAGGGTGAGCTGTTCGGGGCATGGTTGCGCAATCCTCACGGAGGGTCAGAGGCAAAGCAGGATTCCACCCCGGAAAGCCAAAGTGCTGTCAGTGACTGGAGCAGCAAATGAGCAGTTGACACAGGCCAGAGATGGTGGGGGCGGGTTGTGCAAAAGAGAGAGTGCAGATCTTAACACGATACTTGCCGCGTTGTTTCTCTTTATGCATCCAGGAAACTAGCAGATCACACTTGCAAATTTGGTTCATAGAATCCCAGAATTGTAGAGGTGGAAGGGAACCCCAAAGGTCATCTAGCCCAACCCCCAGCAACGCAAGAATCACAGCTAAAGAACCCTCGACAGATCGCCCTTGGACTTGTGCCCTGAGCCCTTTTACTACCCAGCAATGCTCCTGAGTGGCAGGAAGATGGGAGCGGGGGAAAGATGGAGGCCAAGGGAGTCTTCTAAGCCTTCTCAACACTTTTGTCTTGGATGGGCACGAATGGGGTTTCCCTTCATCACCAGCTATGAGCCAATCAAACTCTCCTTTCCTTTCCAGGGGTCCCAGGTGCTGGCGTTGGAGTTCCCGGGCAAGGCTACTACCCAGGTAAGGGGGTGCTACTACCTGCTGTGTTTATCTTTGTGTTAAAGATGCCACCAAATCCACCCGATTTTATTTGTGTGTGGAATTTCTCTGCCCCTTCCCACAATAAGCCACCCTTCTCAAAGCCCCTTTCTTGCAAGAAAAGGGTCACAAACAGGAATAATGGGGCGAGATAATGCACTGCCCTGTGGAATTCATGCATGCATTCTTCCATTTGTCTGGCTGATTAATTTCTGATCCTGCTGACATGCCCTCTCCCTAAGCATCCCAGGGGGAATCGCATCGTCTTAAAAAGCAATCTCAAAATAATGCATAATCAGTCAATGAGAGCTGGTGTGGTATAGTGGTCAGAGTGTCGGGTTAGGACCTGGCAAACAAGGGTTTGAATCTCCCACACCACCATGAAATTCCCTCGGTGACTTTGGGCCTGTCACTGCCTCTCAGCCTAGCGTACCTCATAGGGTAATTTGTGGGGATTAAATGGGGGGCAACCATGTATGCCGCCTTGAGCTCATTGGACAAAAAGGTGGGCTATAAATGCAATCAACCAATCAACAAACTATGAGTCGACAACAGTAAATGCTACACTTGATAGCACCATTTGCAGCGGGTGAGGCCTGTGGCCCCCTGGTTGTTGCTGAACTACAACTCCCATCCTCACCCCTGAGCTACTCTTGCTGGTGCTGAAGCTAGTTTCAGTTCCCATCAGCACCAGTGATGGGTGCTGCGTAAGCCTGCTTGCGATGGCTAGGCACTGTTTGAGGGCCCCTCCTGGGTCTCCTGAGACAACTGTCTTGATCCCTACAGGAGCTGCTGGCGTAGGAGGACTAGGAGGACTTGGTGGGGCAGGTGAGTCCCTGGAGGAGGGAAAGGATGCTCTCTGCCTCTTGCGCTTGAGCGACCAAACGGTTTAGAAGATAATGCATGGGGCAGGGAACATAGGTGGTGGTCCTTTCCCCTGTTTCACCCATGGATCAGTGGCAGGACAGCTGCATTGAACCTAAACTGAACCAAGGATCAGAAAAGGGCAACCCAAATGATCAAGGAGGGGCAGCAAATCCCCCACAGGGAAAGGTTGCAGCATTTGGGACTTTTTAGTTTAGACTAAGGCAAGCAAGAGGAGCTTGTAAAATTATGCATGGCATGGAGAAAGCGGGTAGAGGAAAGCTTTCCTCCGTCTCTCAAAACGCTGGCCCTCCTGGACATCTAACGAAGGAGAACAAGGGAAGATTCAGAACCTGCAAAAGGAAGGACTACTGGATAGCTTAGTTGGTCAGAGCATGGTGCTGATGATGCCAAGGTTGAAGGTTTGATCCCTATAAGGGATGGCTGCATATTCCTGCATTGCAGCGGGTTGGACTAGATGGTCCTCAGGGTCCCTTTCCAACTCCATGATTCTTCATGCATTGCATAGTTAAACTTTGAAACTCTCTCCCACAAGAGGCAGGGATGGCCACCAGCTTAGACAGCTTTAAAAGAGGGTTAGACAAATTCATGGAGGACAATAAAGCTATTGACGGCTACTAGCCAAGATGGCTATGTTCTGCCTACATACTTGGAGGCAGCAATGCTTCTGAATACCAGCTGCTGGAAATAGCATCTATAGGGTGTCATGTTGGCTGCCCATGATATACTTTGGAGCTTCGCATCAGACAGTTGGGAAATGTGAGTGGGGAGTCTTCAAAGTCCATTTTAAAGTATTCAGGGTAGCACCCATGTTTGCCTTTCTGGGGAGGGAATTCCACAGAATGGGGCCAGTCACCATGAAGGCCCTGTCTCTGTTTATGTCCACCAATCTAGTTCACATTAGAGAAGCGTGAGGACAGGGAATTTCAGGCCTGGGTGCTGGATGCAGCCCTCTATGTGGCCCCTGAGACCCTCATCTGCCCTGCACCTGCCCGGAGTTGTATTGCCTGGCAGGGATAGGTTCTTGACCTGAGAGGTTGCCTCTTGCTTGCTTGGATGACTGTGAAAGTAGTGTGTGTTTTTGTGGGTGTGAGAATTTCTGAGTGTCATGGGGCTCGGGTACAGCCTACCATACAATGGTAAGTGCCCCAATCCTTTGCTCTGCCCACTGTTGCTTTTGGGGATGCTTCTCCTGACATTGGCGCTCATCTAACTGTACTGGATGCCTCCCTTTCTCCCCAGGATTTGGAGCAGGAGCAAAGCCCCCCAAACCAGGTAAGTGGCCATCTCCACTTCCCCTAATGCTCTTTGTGACTGACATGGTCTCTCCTCTCTTGTTGTGGCTACTAAATGGGGAGAGGAGGAGGAAGAGGCAGCCCAGTGGGCTTACTTGTGTACTCCTCTCCCCAGGTTCTGTACCAGGGATGGGGGAATCTGTGGCCCTCCAGATGTTGACCACATCATGATCGGCCACTGGCCATAGCCAGGATTTTTGTTAGGGGGCAGAGCAGGCCTTTTGTTGGTCGGGGAGGGCAGAACCTCAGTTTGCTGTGTGTTTTATTGATTTTTATTGATTTATGGGGCAGCTGCCTCTCCCTGCCCCCCTGGATATGCCCATGCTTCTGGGGCTGGTGGGAGATGGAAAAGGTTTGGAAAAGAGCAAGGCGATAGAATGTCTCCCCTGTGAGGGGTGGTTGCAGCCTCTGGGGATTTTTAGTTTAGAGGAAAGTAAAGCAAGATAGACCTTTATAAACTGATGCACAATCTCAAGAAAGTGGATAAGAGAAAGTTTTTTCCCCTCTCTCTTATAACATTGCAACTTGTGGACATCAGGTGAAGCTGAATGTTGGAAGATTTGCGACAGCTAAAAGGAAGGCCTTCTTATTCCAGCATTTGCGGGGGTTGGACTGGATGACCCTCGGGGTCCCTTCAAGTTCTGTAGTTCTATGATTCACATAGTTAAATTGTGGAATCCACAGTTCCCACAGTAGGCAGTTATGGAGACTGACCTACATGGCTTTAAAAGAGGATTGGATAAATTCAGGGAGAAGAGGGCTATTGTTGGCTACTAGCCGGGATGGCTATGTTTTGCCTCCATGGTCAGAAGCACTGATGCTTCTGAATGCCATTTGCTGGAAACCACAGGAAAGGATAAGGCTTTTGTGTTTATGGCTTTGGTGGTTACTGTGAGAACAGGATGCTGGGCTAGATGGGTTCTCTGTGGGCTGATCCAACTGCAGTACTTCTGACGCCCTGGCTTCTTTTCTCCTCTGCAGGTGTCGGAGGCACTGGAGCACTAGGTAAGCTTGCCCTGCGCACGTGAGCTCTCCAGCTGTTTCCTGGGAAGGTCTGGCTGAGAGCAGGTATCTCAGACCCATCACCGGCTCTTCTAGGGCTCCCAAGCTGGTGAGAGGGAATTGTTTGGAGGATACGCAGAGCACTGGCTCAGCACAACTGCTGCCTGGGGCAAAGCAGAAAGGTGCCACCTTATCCCATTCCATGCTCAAAAGCATACTGGCAGCTGAGTCTTACTTCAGCACTGGCAATGGGGACAGCGCCCTGTGCTTCATGTGAGGGCAGAATGCCTGCTTGACCTAGTGGTTCTCAAAATGTGTGGCATTGTGCCCATTGCATGGGCTTACCTAGGTGGGTACTAAGAAGCAAGCACAGAGGCTGGAGGTGAAAATGACTATCAGATTTTGAAAAGTTGGTATCACTGAATCATCAATTTTCTAATTGGATTTTGAATAAATGCACTTTTAATTGTTGCTGCTTTGAATTTTATTGCGTTGTTATCTGCCTTAGTGGGTCATGCAGGCTGCTATTCTGAATAATGCATTTTATAAAGTAGGGGGGGTGAATTTATGGGACCAGGGGGATGGACCCCCCAAAAAATTCTTTTGGGAGCTGCTGCAACTCACTCCCGCAGGAGTCAGTCATGACAACCAGGTTGGATGGCTCTTGCTAGTTTAAGAGATGGGCACATAGAAAGCAAGTGGAGCACAGTGGCTGGACAAAGAGGAGTGGTGGGAGGCAACGGCCAGGGAACCCCCGAGGGAAACCCCAAAGGAGGAAGGCTCAGAGCCTGGGGATTGGTGGCGGGACACTGGGGAGAGGTCAGAGGGAGCAGATTGGCAGGAGCAACTGGATGCTGAAGGGCAACAGGGTTTAGCAAGCAGGAAGAGCCTGTGGTCAGACTCCAAGGGTGTTCAGACTCCAAGGAGTCAAGAGGCTGCAAAAGAATCCAGGGAGTCTCCCTCTCCTGCTGCAACAAACTCCCCTCCCTGCTGGTCTCCAATAACAGAGAATAATGAGGAGGGGGGCAGAGCAGAGGTCAGAAACACACAGACGCAGATGGCTTGGAAAACGTCTGGGAGAGGAGGAACCTTAGGAGGGATGGGAGGCAGATGCTCCATAGGGGCAAGACCTGCTTGGAAGTGTTGCTGAGTTGCATGCCATTTCGAAGAAAGAGTTAACTTCACTGATGACAGAGTCCTGCATCTTTCAAGCTGACCTGCATCTGACTCCAGCCCTGACACTCAGTGCCGCTTTCCTTCTCTGCCCTAGGTGGTGGTGTCTATCCAGGTGGCGCCTATCCAGGAGGTGTCTATCCAGGAGGTGTCTACCCAGGTGCCGGAAGCCCTGCGGCGGCAGCTGCTGCTTATAAGGCAGCTGCCAAGGCTGGTGAGTCAAGGCTGCAGGTGTCTCTGATGATTATGGAGGTTCTTCTGCCTGCCTACTCCGTGGGACACAGAATCCGCGCTCTGGCTGCCTCTCTGCCCCACAATGCAGCCATTGCTTTGCTGGTCTCCCCTCCTGATATTTTCCCCTTAGAAGGCAATTCCCAAACAATCCCTCGGTGGTGATGTTGGGCTGTCGCAATACAGAGATGCAGTCCTTTGAGGAGGCTTCCCATTCTAGTTATTCGAATGCCTTCTCTGCACCAGAGGATGCCATCGCTTGTGGTGCAGGGACATAGCAGAACAGGCAGCCTCTTGTAGGCTTCTGGATGTGTCCCTGTTCTTGACAGCAACTCACCCAGAAGCACAGGTAATGTGCTCCTCTGAGAGCAAGTGATTCCTACTTTTAGGCACTCAGAAAATAAATATTTTGGGTGAGGGGGAAGGCAGCTTTCTGAAATGTGATCATGGCTGCTCCAGCTATGACAACAGGATCTGAGTTCCTGAGACTCTGTTTGTGTTGTCCCTTAAACAGGCGCTGGGGCTGGTGCAGGTACTGGTGTAGGCGTACCTGGAGCTGGCGTGGGTGTACCTGGAGCCGGTGTAGGCGTACCTGGAGGCGGCGTGGCTGTACCTGGAGGTAAGCTATTTCCACAGGGTATGTTGCCTTGATCTCCTCGCACCCCAGAGACTTAGGAACACTGGAGAGAGAATTGGCCCATCTAGTTCAGCCTTGCCTGTGTTTCCTGTCAGCACAGGAAGTGACACAGGTTACATTCCAGCCTGGCAAAGGCCTGCAAGGAGAGCTCAGAACCAGGCTAGAGGGGTGTGTGGTCTAGAGAGGAGGCGTGGCTTGGAAAGTGCCCACAGAGGCCTAGAAAGCCACATTCAGCCCCCAGGCCTGAGACTCTCTGGCCATCCTAGGGCAAACGATGTGATATTTCTCTTTCTCTGTCTCCCTCCCGCAGGTGGCGTCTTGCAACCAGGAGCTGGCGGGGCTGGCGTTGGGGCCAAGCCTGGCAAAATCCCTGGTAGGTCGAAGGCTGCCCCCTCTAAAATCCAGGGGCAACTTGGAGAAGAGCCAGATGTTTTTGTAGCAGACAGGGAAGAAATCTGTGCAGTCTGGTGTGTGAGCTGGAATGCAACCGGTCCTTTGAAATGGTCACTTCTCCGAATTTTGTGATGCAGATCTCCACCCAAAAGTTTTGTATCCAAAAATGGTGTATCCGTTAGGAGAAAATGGGCACCAAGATCAATGTGTTTGTGAAAACAGCATACAAAAAGTATATGGCACAAATTATCTTGATCCATAACTGTTGCAGTTTGAGGTTGGAAATTTCCTTAAGCGTTTGAACGATAGTTATCTCAGCATCTTTTAATCAACTCCTTCAGACCATTTCTTTTTTTAAAAAAATAGTATTTTATGGTTCTTCCACATATAATAAGCATAATTTAAAATACAATTACAGTGGTACCTCGGTTTTCGAACGTAATCCGTTCCGGAAGACTGTTCAACTTCTGAAACGTTCAAAAACCGAGGCGCAAAGGGATGGCTGCAAGTTCAATTGAGAAAATTGAAAAACATGCAGTGGAAGCTGTTCGACTTTCGAGGCACATTCGAAAAAGGAAGCATTTACCGTACTTTCAGGTTTTCAGCGTTTGAAAACTGAAACGTTTGGCTTCCTAGGTACCACTGTACCAGCAGAAATAGCAGCTAGTCTGTAATTTATTTAAGGGAAAGCATAACAAAGTTGGAACCACCACTTTGAACAAGTTTATTAAGCATATTTAAATTTATAGTCTCTCCAGAAGTTTCCAATGGTCTGGGGAGGTTGTCTTGATTGACTGCCATGTCTAATATGGGAGATGAATGGCTGCTAGGATAAAGGCCTCGTCTTTCTTTGAGCCACCCTGACCTGGAAGGTCAATTTCTCAGCAACAGACCACGCCTAAGCATACCAGGAATCTATTGACAGACCTGTTGCTGGTCACCAACATTTAGCAGCTACTATATGAGCAGCAAAAATGTCAACACCTCCCAGTGAGATACATGTTGATTTGATTCATCTATTATTCCTAGCAAGGATAACAAAGGAGTTGGATTTATCTTTCTGTTACAAATTGATCCTGTTTCTTCAAAGACGGCTAGCCATTTCTGTAGGCTGCATGTTGCAGATGCTCCACTGCCTTGGTTCCATGGCTGGTGCTCACAGTTTGTGCTCTCTCCTCAACAGGTGTGGGGATCCCTGGAGTCTTCCCTGGAGGTGTGCTCCCTGGCACAGGTGAGTTCTGTCCCATTCTGGAGAAGGGCCATAGCTCAGTGGTATGGTCTCAACCTTGCATGCAGAGGGTCCCAGGTTCAGTCCTCAAGGCCATCTCTAGATATGGCTGGGGCTGTCCCCTGCTGGAAACCCTGGAGAGCTGCTGCCAGTCAGTGTAGGCAGTACCAAGTTAGGGGAACCAGAAGTCTGACTCTCAGGGTAAGGCAGCTCCTTCTGTTTCTCTTTAAATCTGCTCTTCATCTGGAACCATGAGGACTGGAATCTTAGTTCAGCTGCGTTGCAGGCAAAAGGTCTCAGGTTCAGTCCTTTCACAGAATCATAGAATTGTGGCTTTGGAAGGGACCCCCCAGGGTCATCTAGTCCAACCCCTTGCAATGCAGGAATCTCAGCTAAAGCATCCATGACAGATGGCCCTCCAACCTCTGCTTAAAAACCTCCAATGAAGGAGAGTCCACCACTTCTCATGGGAGTCCGTTCTGCTGTAGAACAGCTTACTGCCAGAAAGTTCTTCCTGATCTTTAGCCGGAATCTCCCTTCTTGTAACTTGATGCTGTTGGTTTGAGTCCTACCCTCCAGAGCAGGAGAAGCTTGTTGCCTCTTCCATATGACAGCCTTTGAGATATTAGAAGATGGCTCTCCTATCTCCTCTCAGTCTCCTCTTTTCCAGGCTGAACATAGCCAGCTCCTTCAACCATTCCTCATAGGGCTTCAACTCCGTTTAAGGCAGATATCTGTGTTCTCCCATAGGAACTAAACTGTTCAGCACATGGTGTCAAAAGTCAACACATTCTTAGCACATCCCATCCTGTTTCCAGTTTCCAGTTCAGCTTTTGCGTGCATTCAAATAAAGACCCACATTTGAAGCCCTGCTGTAGTTTTTAAAAGAGTCCAGCATCTTCTGTTCCTCTTTCAGGGATCCGTTATCCTGGTGTAGGAGTCCTGCCTGGCGTTCCCACCGGAACTGGAGTGAAGCCAAAAGTTCCAGGTAAGCCTTCTTACCCCTCCCCAATGATGGCTTGTATCCATTCCTTGCTCTAGAGAAGGTGGGGCTTATCACCTTCAGATGGGCTTTGTTTCTCAAATTATTATGGCAGTTTTCATAGGTAGGAAGTCTCCTGCAGCCAACTCTCAAGTCGTCCGGTTGCTAGAACAAGCATAGCCATTGCGGTGCCTCCAGGTGTCATTGGACCTCAACTGCCAGCAGAGCCAAAGATCAGGGCTCATGGGAGTTGTAGTTTGACAACATATGGAGGGCACCATGTTGATTACCCTTGCATTAGAATTTGAGCTGTTTCACACATGATGAATGCTCACTACTACAGAACTCTGGCTGTCGTGCTTACTTAAGAATATCAGAAGACCCTGCTTGGATCAGGCCAGGCACCCAGGGATGGTGATGGGAGTTGTAGTTTGGCAGCATCTGGAGGGCCAAAGGTCTCTTGCGCTTTGAAATCCACTCTTTTGGCCAAAACGAGCTTTAAATAAAAACTATTATGTGTGATCAGAAAATAAATGTATTTATCATTCATTGCATTTATATACCCAACCTTCCGTCCGAGGAACTCAAGGTGGCGCACATAGTTCTCCTCATCCTCATCTTACCCTCACGACAACTCTGTGAGGTAGGCTAGGCTGACAGAGACTGGCCTAAGGTCACCCAGGGAGCTTCATGGCTGTGTGTGGATTTGAACCCTGTTCTCTCCCAGGTCCTCGTCCAACAATAAGCACTAAATCAGGCTTCCTCAACATCGGCCCGCCATATGTTTTTGGCCTACAGCTCCCATGATCCGTAGCTAGCAGGACCAGTGGTCAGGGATGATGGGAATTGTAGTCTCAAAACATCTGGAGGGCGGAGGTTGAGGAAGCCTGCACTAAATCTTGCAACACTTCAAGCCTTCTGCCAATTGCATTGAAATGTCTTGAAATGTATCATGCTGTTAGTCCTTTGTGTGCAGGGACAGCCACTGATCATTCTCTCTTTTCCTTTCAGGGGCAGGAGGAGGAGCTGTCAACGGGCTCTCTCGTAGGTTATCAAAACATACCTATGCATGTGCCCCATTCCCAACAGAGCCGGGAGAGATAGGCCCACAATGGTGGAGTAGGGTGGTGAGAATGGTTGCACTGTGAGAAGCCTCATTTTCTTTTCCTTTGTTGTTCTAGCCTTCGGAGTCTTTGGAGGGCAGCAGCCTGGGCTCCCACTGGGCTATCCCATCAAGGCACCCAAACTCCCTGGTGAGCCCGACACCCAGAACCAAATTGCTGTTGAAAACCCCACTCTGAGAAGGTCCTCTTTCCACGATCGAAAGAACGCCAGGCCTATCTCCCCTCATCTCTTGTTTTTGGCAAGCGACCCAGGCTCTGAGTTTGAGGCCTGTCTGAGACTGTTGACTCACTGTGTGCGACTCGTGCAGGTTACCGCCCGCCCCGGCCTCAGTTCTGCTTCCGTAAAATGGGACCAAAACCCACCCTTGGTTGCAGAGCTGTTAGGTGGCGGTTCGGGTTCCTATAATAAAGGGCTGTAATGCTCGTGTCAAATGTGAAAGGCAAAGGTGAGGAACCTTTTTTCACATGAGGGACCATGTTCCCTTCTAAGCAGCCTTCCGGGGGGCTGTATACCAATGGTGGGTGGAGACAGAAACAAAAGTGGGTGGAAGAACAAAGGCTAATTTTAATTAATGGATAATAGTCAGTTGTTTTTTTTCTGGGGGGACACAGGGGTACGCATACCCCTAAACATTTTGTGAATCTTTGTACTTTTGTCTATTTAATATATTTATTTTTCCCTGATTTGAACTATAAAATGGTGATTTTCTTGAGTCAAAATGAGCGTATTCCTAAACATTTTTTTAGAAAAAAGCACTGATAATAGTAGTTCTACCTTTGAACACCAGGCTTGTTTTTACATTTACACACACACCCACACACACACACCCACACACACCCTTTTCTTTGTCCAGACAAGTAAGAAACAATATCATAATAATTTATTATTTTATTTATACCCTGCCCATTTATTTTATTTATACCCCAGCCACTCTGGGCGGCTCCCAACAGATTAAAGGATTATCAGGGTTCAAGGGCAGATCCCAGCTAGGAAAAATCACTCAAAGAGGGTGCCTAGCAGGGTCGGTGTGGGCTGGAGACAGGGGGTGTGGCCTGATGAAAGTCTCAGGGGCCAGATAGTGAGGTTGGGAGAGCCTCTGAGCCTGAGGTTCCCATCACTGGTGAAAGGCATCTCGTTTCTGTTGTTAATTTGTTTAAATGTATTCAGATGGACAGCTTCTATCTCTAAGGCAGCTAGCCATGGTTTTTAGCACAAATGCAAACCATCCCTTTAACAGATCAGCCATTGTGGGGGTGGGTGGGAATTAATAAAGATATTAAAAACTGGCTCTGCTGAATTAACTTTCTGCTAAGGGGTTAAGGACTCGGTTTGCATTTAGAAGGGTCCCACGTTTAACCCCTGATATCATTTCCAGACTGAAGGGAGCTCTAGTAGGCGGGGAACCAAAGGCCATTCTGTGCTCAATGAGGCAGTGGCATGCAGTTCCTTAGGCTCACATTATGATTTTTTTTCTTTTCCAGGTAGCTATTATGGCCTCCCATACGGCGCCGGGAAGGGGCCTTATGGCGGTGAGTTCTCTTGGTCTCAAGTGCCTAGCTTGTGGCCTGGGGGAGGTGTATAGAGGCTGAGGGAAACGGGTGCATTTTGGGGGATGAAAGTACATGGATCTGTGTTTGGGATGGGCTTCTCCAAGATTTGGCTCTGGGTACCACAAATGAGGCTGGCTGTACCTCAGTGCTACAGATTTCAACTAGTCAGTTTGAAACCTGTTTCACTCTCGCAGCTTTTGCGTGAGGACTGCGTTTTTTGAGGGGGGATTTTGAACCCCCTTCGGAAACTCCATCAGTTGCCATTCAAAACTACAATCCCTTGATTGAGAAGCAGAGCTGATGCTGGCACCAATATCTCAGTGTAGATGTCTAGTTCTTTGCATCAATAAGAAGGAGGAGGGGACTGTACCACATCACTCTGAAGCAGTCTGGGGATGGGCAAAAGCCGAACAAAAGGCCTCTGATTCTTGGAACCCCCATCGCCAACACCCGGGCAATTTCCTCTGGGCTTTGCATTGGGCGGTTCTTCTCCCCTGAAGACTTGACTTCTCTTTGTGGTTCTAGGTGTTGGGCCAGGCGGCGTGTACGGTGGTGCCGGAGGGAAGGCCGGTTACCCAACAGGGACAGGTAAGCTGGTTGCGCTAGCACACAACACCCCACAACTCTGGGGATGACCCCCAGAGTCTTGGACCCCTTGCTGACACCTCTGTTGCTCTGCACAGTGTAATAAACGAAAATCTGTCCTTATTCCCTTATGGGGGACACAAGAGCCCTTATAGAGTCCTTTGTAGGTTCTCCATCAGTCAGAGGGAAAAACAGAGGCCAACCAGAGAATATTGAGAAGCACAGCAGCTTGTAAGCACAGCAGATTCAATCTTTATTGAACTGTTGCAACAGGGTGCCCCCTTCACATGCAGGGGAAGGAGGATGGCCCCGAACCAAGGTGTGTCTGCCCTTATATAAGGTAAAGGTACCCCTGCCCGTATGGGCCAGTCTTGCAAGACTCTAGGGTTGTGCGCTCATCTCACTCTATAGGCCGGGAGCCAGCGCTGTCCGCAGACACTTCCAGGTCACGCGGCCAGCGTGACAAGCTGCATCTGGCGAGCCAGCGCAGCACACGGAACGCCGTTTACCTTCCCGCTGGTAAGCGGTCCCTATTTATCTACTTGCACCCGGAGGTGCTTTCGAACTGCTAGGTTGGCAGGCGCTGGGACCGAACGACGGGAGCGCACCCCACCGCGGGGATTTGAACCGCCGATCGACCTTGCGATCGGCAAGTCCTAGGCACTGAGGTTTTACCCACAGCGCCACCTGCGTCCCTTCTGCCCTTATATAGACATTTTAAATTGCCCACCTTGGAGTCAAAGACCATCCCCAGAAACATCATACCTACATCACAGAAAGGGCGGGCTAAAGCAGAAATCTGAGAGGGTTGTTTACCTCATAATCTGAGTGGGTTGTTTAACTCCTGTCTGGCAAGTAACCTGTTAATGTTTACTGGATTGATACCCTGGGGAGCCTGGCCAGTCTTTTGTAATGATAAGTACTTAGTTCCTGAGCCAAGTCACAGGCTCACCCTGTTCATACACAGATATACCCTTGGGACAGGATTTGTGAAGGAAAAGGCAATGGGGAGGCTCCTCCATTTGACCTTGCAGAGAAAACACCTGGTCAGCCTGGGAGTCAAAATGGCTCCATGGCTGCTCTCCTGTGCAGCTTCAGACATGTGGCCTATATATCTATGTACATGTTTGCTTGGTGCATTTATGAACCTTTAATATATACATAAGACCTTAATTTATTTATTTCAGCAGACAGAAATCAACACATGCTTAGCCAACCTGGTGCCTCCAGATGTCGTTGAACTACAACTCCCAGCAGCCCCAGCCAGCCTAGCCAGCCTAGCTGGGGCTGATGGGAGTTGGAGTCCAAAATGGCCCTGCTGGCTGAGGCTGATGGAGTCAAACAACTTCCCCAGGTTGCCAAAAAGCTTGGCTCCAGTATGTTACTTGGTTTGGATCCTAGATTTCTGAAGCCAGTAAGTTGGGAGGGATATCTGTGCTTTGTGTCCTGAAGATTCTAGCAACGTGGCCACATCGCTGAAGCTCTTTTTGTTCTTTTTGCAGGTGTGGGAGCTCAGGTAGCCGCTGCAAAAGCAGCTGCCAAATATGGTGAGTGACACCATGCTGGAAGAGCCCATATGTAGCCATGCTCTGAAGCCCAGGCTCTGGCTGGCCCTCATTCACTCCTCTTTCTTTCTTTCTTTCTTTCTTTCTTTCTTTCTTTCGCCAAAGGTGCTGGAGCTGTGCCTGGGGCAGTCGGAGTCCCTGGCGCTGGGGCCCTTGGAGGAGGCTTGGTGCCCGGTGCTGGTGTCCCAGGAGCACTAGGTAAATGACCTTGGATGGGTAATAGGCAAACAGTTTTGTAGAGTTAATAGTCAATGCCTTTGGAGGGGTGATAGAGAAGCATCTTTTAATGGGCAATAGTAAACACCTTTAAAGGGGCAATAGTAAACACATTGGTATGTATGTATGTGGGTTTGATTTTTTCTTTCTTTTAGGTTCTTTAAATTTTGACAAAGTAACAATCATAAATAAAAAAGAATAAGAATGTGCACCCCACCACCGAGACCATTCCATTGTAACTATCCAACCTCCTGAAATTTCAACACCTCTTACAGCGGTTTGGCCCCTTTCTGTATTAACAGTACAAATACCCTGCATATCTCCTCAAAACCATTTCTCCTGCATATTCCCCATCTTACTTTAATGGCACATGTTAATTTATCATTAATAGCTATGTCCCACACCTCTTTATAGCATTCTTCCATTTATATTCTGCTTGCCCCTTCCACTTCCAAGCTATCATAATGCGTGCAGCTGTCAATAAATTTGTGAGCAAGTCCTTCACAGCCTGCGAGGCTTCTTTTCTTTGTTTTTGTAAGTCACCTTGAGTTGCCCCAGCAAGAAAAAGCAACTAATAAATTAAATTATTATTATTAATAATAATAAAAAATAAATAAATAAATAAATAAATAAATAAAACGGATAATGATGAATGCGCTAGGTGAGTGCCTTTGCTGTCGTTGTGGCCAAAAGATTCTGCAGTTGTGCTCTTCAAAAACAAGCCCATCCAGGTTAGCCAGGCAAAAGGAATGGCTCTCAGTTTCTCTCACCCTTTTTCACTGCAGGTGCAGGACCAGCGGCGGCGGCGGCGGCAGCAGCCAAAGCAGCAGCCAAAGCAGCAGCTTACGGTGAGCTGTTTACCCAATTGATCGATAAAACAGCCCAGAAATCACAGGATTTCTGCAGCGCTTAGAACAAACAGAAGCCGTAAGGGGAGAAACGCAAGTTCTGTCAATAGGTACAGTAGAGCTTACCGAGAATGCCTGCTGAAATCAAAAGGTCTTTGCCAAGTGCCTGAAATTCAACAGGGAGGAGGAGGCGGCTTGCCTGATATAAGCTCCACACAGTCAATTCCACAATCCTGAGGCTGATATGGAGAATGTGGCTCTCTATGAAAGTTGTTCTTCTCTCCTAGCACTAGAACTCACAGGCACCCATGTGGGCAGATTCAAGACAGAGAAAAGAAAGTCCTTCTTCACGCAGCACAGAGTTAAACTATGGAACTCACTTCCGCAGGAGGCAGTGATGGCCAAACTGAATGGCTTTTTGAAAAGATTGGACAGATTCGTGGAGGAGAGAGATATCAGTGGTTACTAGCCAGGGTGGCTCTCTCCAACGTAAGAGGCAATATGCCTCTGAATAATGCCAGAGGTTGGGAGTCACAACTGGGGAGAGTTGCTGTGGCACTCAAGTCCCGCTTATGGGCTTCCATCTGGGGCATCTGGTGGGCCACTGTGACAGCATCATGTTGGGCTATGTTGAGCCACTGAGCAGTCCAACAGGCTCTTCTTATGAGCCAGGCATCTGAGCCAAGGGGGACCACTAACAGAGAACCCCTTTCCCCAAGATCTCAATGGCTGGGCAAGGATATATGGAATCAGGTGGTCCTTAAAGTATCCAAATTGTTGAGGACCTTTTAATTTAATCCGGACTCTTTGAACTCGGCCTGGTAGCATATTAGTGGCCAGTGCAAAATTGATAGGGGAAGGGGTCCAGTTGCCATCTCACCCACTGTACTCTTTATCTGCTTTTGTGAACTAACAGCAGGAAACTCTCCTTCCTTAGAGGCCTTGGAACAGAGAGTGAATGGCCACCTGTCAGGGAATCATTAGCTGTGATTTCTGCACTGCAGGGGGGGTGGACTAGATGACCCTCAGAGTTCCTTCCATCTCTTTCTATTCTATGAAGCATACATCTGAAGAAAAGCAAGTGGGGGTGGGGTGGAATGAAGGTAATGGGGCCCTTTATATGTCCAGCTGCCCAGTGTCAACAACAAACTGTCGCTGTCTTTTGTGTTGAATATATGCTATATGATAATTTATGGACCTAAAGCCATTTGCACATAACAAAAGATGTACTTTTATCATAAAATACATATTTTATGCAGGCACCCTATATATAAAAATGAGCAAACCAGTGATATTTTAGGCAGCAGGCTAGCAGGCGGTGCCCAGTACTTACATCATAGGAGCCCACACAACACAAAACACTGCTGCTGTATGTAGGTTTTATTTTATTGGTTTTTTAGCTTATATTTTGGAAATGTATATCCAGTTTTTTCCCTTTAAATTTTTTTGGGGGACCCCAAGAGAGTGGGGCCCTAAGCTATAGCTTGTTTAGCTTATACGTAAATCTGGCACTGATTTCAATGCTCCCCACGCTTTGCTCCAGATTGCATCTCTTTCCTCCTGCTCTTTAAGAGGCCTGCAAAAGATGTGGATCCCCAAACTCAGATTTTCCAGCTGCGTCCTCGTGTTTTCTAAAGGAAATTTCATTCCTGTCACCCACCAACGCCCTCTTGCATTTGGATTCGTGAATCCGGTTTGGATTTGGGGCGGGCGAGAAATCTTGCCCCAATTGCACAGAAGCAAGGATAAGTGCACTATCAAGAATGGATCCATGCCAGTGCTTCTTGAGTGCTGAGAATAAGATCTGATTTGGGGGTGGGGTGGATCTTCTGGACAGACTCCAGCTCCAAAGGTGTGAGCTCAGCCAGGCTGGAGCACCAACAAACACACACACACACACACACACTTTCTTGGAGTCCTTAGTAACTCTTCCCCCTGCCTCAAGCATTGCACACCCAGCCGCACCTGATCTGCTCCGGAGAGCGATAGCAGCCTGGCCTGGCCTGGCCTGGTTTTCCTGGGATTGTCCCAGAACACCATCTGGTTTTGATTGGAAGCAGGCGGCCAGCGGGGAGCTGTGCAATTTTGGGATTGAAGAAAAGCCACAGTCGAATCAGGTTTCGCTGGAGTGTGTCTGCAAGGAAGAGAGGGAGAGAGAGAATGTGCTCCTTTTCCAGTTTTTGCTGCGCTTAGTAACCTTCCGCCCTGTGATTGGTTAGGAGCGAGGGTGCCAGAGCTTCATGGATCATCTCTATCCACACCACATTGGAGCTTATTGTGGGGGAGGGAACTTCCAGCGTTGAAGTTGGGGCACTTTAGATGCTGGAGTAACTCGTCTCCACAGCAAGACCACAGACCAAAATCCGGTGTTCATTTCTAGTCACTTCACCTCAAGAAGAATAGTGTAGAGTTGGAAAAGGTTGAGGAAAGGGCAACTGGGGATGGAGCGAATCTCCTATGAAGGACGGTTTCAGCGCTTGGGACTTTTAAGTTGAGTAAGAGGCGATATGATAGAGGTTTCTAAAATCATGCAATGCGTGGAGAGAGTGGGCAGAGAAGTTTCCCTTTCTCATAATAACACTAGAACGACAATGAATCTGAATGTCGGAAGATTCGGGACAAGATTAAGGCAGTCCTTCACGCAATGCAAAATGAACCTGTGGAACTCCCTCCCACAGGAGGCAGCGGTGGCCACCAACCTGGAGGGCTTGTAAAGAGGATTGGACCAATTCATGGAGGGGGAGAGGGCTATTGATGGCTGCTAGCCAGGATGCCTCTGCTCTGCCTCCATAGCAAGAGGCAGCAATGCTCCTGAATTCCGGTTGCTGGAAACATAGGAGGAGAGAGGGCTCTTGTGCTCAAATCCTGCTTGCAGGTCTCCCATAATGAGCATCAGGTTGGCCACTGTGAGAACAGGATGCTGGACTGGATGGGCCCTTGGCTTGATCCAGCTGTGCACTTATTATGTTCTTGTGCTATGTTTAGCCCTGCATTTGCAAGGCATCGTCCTTTTATTAAGGGGCTTTGGCAGAGAGCAACTTATGACAGCCCTGAAATTGCAGCTACTCCCTTTTTGTTTTTAGCCCAGAGGTGGGTGGTGGTGGTTTGGATTCCCAGCCACCCCCTCCCCCTGTGAAGCACCCCTTGAGGCTGAAACAGAGGCTGGTTCAGCCTGAGTCTAACTCTCAACTTCATTCTGAAGCCTTGCACTCCATTGACCTGGGTGCAGAAATGTGGTGGATTTAAATATGTTAAAACTGATGCATATGTAAATATGTTTTTGCTCACAAGTCCAGAGTTAGAAAGTGCATGCACTGTTTATGCTGTAATCTTTTTTTTGCAAAGGTGGATTGCGGGAGAGATAGGCTACAGTGAAATTTTAGATTACTCCATTGATTCCTTATGGGTACCTACATTCCCGAAGGAGCTGGAGATGGGAGGGTCTGCTGAAACCAGAAGTTCAGGCTGCATGATGTTCCACATGCTTTTAGCTCTATGGCCCAAGCAGAGTTGGGAGGTGGATCCCACAGAAGAGGGAAGCTGCCCTCTAGTGGATCAGTCTGGCTACAACACACATGTGATTCTACGGGGTGTTGAACTGCAGATTGCAGATGGGGGGTCTTCAGTTTAAGACCAGATTAACCCTTCACTTTCCATATAGCCAGAAATGTTGATGTGGTGGTAGGAATCATAATTCATTGTGGAGCAGCAAAAAGCCCCTCATGTCACGTATAGATAATCCTATGAAAGGGAATCCAGTGATCTTGCCCATTGGGCTGCTTTGGCTATTTAAAATGTTGGGGTTTAAACTAAAATACTTCACTGATGTACTCTTTCATGGCAGTTCTTCCGAGAGCCAGCACTTTAAGCCTCAGTGGGATTTGCATCTGGGGAGGCATGTGAAGGTTTGCTGTATATCTTAGACACACACCCTTCGAATTAAGTCCCACTGAACTGCCTTCTGCGTGAATGTTGGGTGTGACTTGCAGGAGAGAGGTCTTGCATGGGTTAAAACAGATAGGGACCTCCACACCCCCAAACTATCACTGTATGTTTAACCCAGTGGCATACCCTCCAACATTTCTCAGATGAAAATAGGGACATTCTATTCTACATCAAGAGGCTTCTCCCATGTTTGATCTCCCGCACTCATATATTTCACATATACCTATACATCAGTCACCTTGAGAAAATTGCAACCTTTAAGCTTAGCCTACCTCACAAGATTGTTGTAAAGAAAAAATGTGTGAGGGAAGGGGTCATGTACAGCCGCTTCAACAGATCAATGGAATGGAATCGTAGCTGTAAGCTGCTTAGGTGTGAAGGGGAGGAAAATGGAAAAGAAGGACATTCCATGATCAAATCAGAAAGTGGGATGGCTTCTGTCATTCTGGGACTGTCCCGGGAAAATCGGGACACTTGCCGGGTATGCAGTGGATCCCAAACTTTTTTGGGGCTTGCCTCTTTGGTTCCATAAACTCATCTCCAGTGCTCTCTATTCTATAAAAAACACATGATTCAGAACAGTGGTTTGCATGAGCCCCTAAGAAATATAATAAAACAATGAAAGAGTCACATTTAATCATGCCTTTATTCAAAATCCAATTGAAAGTTATTTAGTTTAATTAATTCAACAAAATGGATTAATTTTATCCAGGATGAGACTCCCCAACACCATTCCAGAAGCCAGCTGTGTTTCTGGCAATTTTTTACTCTCCTCTCCTCTCTCTTTCCCCAGGTGGCCGAGTTCCAGGGACGGGCATCGGTGGCGCTGGTGTCCCAGGGGTTGGGCCAGGTGGCATAGTTCCTGGCGCCACACCTGGTGTTATTGGAGTCGGCCCAGGAGGAACTGGGGTAGGAGGTATGTGTCACAGAGTGGGGGGGGGGACAGATGAGAAAGGTGAAGCCAAATCAGAGGGATTTGATCCTGTTTGCACATTCGTAATCTGCTTTTCATGACTTACGAAACACAGACCCCCATCCTTTAAAATTTGCATTCCTCTGGCGTTTGCAGTGCATTTCTTCAGCCGAGTTACGTGTACAAAAATGCACGTACCGGAATAACTGTGCAGATAAATCATGATTCTTAATTCATTTCCTGCTCTTCACCATAAGGTCCCAGGGCAGGTTACAGCATTAAAGCACAATGTCAGAAGCGATTTTAAACAATTACAAGTGTACCTGCTTTACCTCCTATTTCTGAGACCTATCTTCCTGTTTTCTCTTTGGCAGGAGTGAGTCCCGCTGCAGCAGCAAAAGCAGCAAAGTATGGTAAGATCCTGAGTTGCTGAGTCACAGTTTTTGGTGGGGTTTGAGATGGTGGGCATGGAGAGATCCTGCCTCAAGTGGACTCCATAGCACTGGGCACACCATGCAACCCCCTTAACATCCTTGTGCCCATTTCGAGTTTCATGTCTCAGAGGTGAAGAATAGGTGGGGGATCCACTTGGGTCACCAGTGAAATACCACTACTCATCATTTTTTCACTTACCCAGCAATGGGGAGGGGAGCCCGCCTTCCAGCAAAGATCTTCCACTGCAGCCAGCCCAAAACAGATCCAAATAATCGGTGTCGTCCAAAACCACCTGGAATAATAGAATTGTAGATTTGGAAGGGACTCTCAGGGTCATCTTAGTCCAGCCCCCTGCAAGAGTTAAGGAGTGGAGACATCGCCACTCACTCTTGCCCCAGAATGGCAAATTCAGTCCCTGGCAGGACTTAACCCAAATCAGCTAGATCCAGGCCAGGTATCTTCTGAAGAGGCCAAACGATGACCTCCTTTAAGGGAGCTGGATGGTCCCTCAAAGAGGCAGTAGCCACCTCCAGGGTCTAGATTGTGGGTCTTTGGCTGCTTTTAATGGTGGGGATCTGATGAGCTGGTTGGAACTGGCCTGGCTCTCAGATTCATTTCTTCTGTCTCAGGTCTTATTCCTGGTGCTGGCGTTGGTGGAGTTCCTGGTGCTGGAGTTGGTGGAGTTCCTGGTGCTGGAGTTGGTGGAGTTCCTGGTGCTGGCGTCGGTGGAGTTCCCGGTGCTGGAGTTGCTGTTCCAGGTGCGTTTACATGAGAAGGTAACAACATGGGACCAGTTTACCTGCAAGATCACTTTCATTTGCAGAACTGGTACTGCTGCAAGTGCCACATAATGCCCTTTACGTGTTTGCAAGAAAATTCATTTTTAGCATGGCAGCACCTACACTTGGGAACTCCCTGCCTTTTGACATAAGGCAAGCGCCTTAACTGCACTCTTTTCAGGGCCTGCTAAAAACATCTTTTGTTCAAGCACACCTGTGCAGACATGTAGAAATCTGCTGTGTCTTTTAATACTTTTTTTAGCATATTGTAGATGTTATTTTTTGAATTTTTAAAAGAGTTGTAGGGGGTGTTGGTAAGATTTTTTACAAATTTCATTTTTTGTAATGTATATAAAACAGAACAATTATATTGACAGATGAAAATTGAAAGGAGAAACTACAAGACAGATATACAGAATGAGTACAGTTGCACATGGGTTGGGAAAGAAAGCTAGTCACAAATAAAAAATATCAGCGTTATCTGATAGCATAGTTCCAGATTTCTGACATGGGCTGCCTTGAAAATGATGGTTTCCCTGTATATATAATAAAGGAATGGCAAAACATATTAAAAGCACCTGGGCGTGCTAGCCCCTGTGGAAATCTACAATATGCTTAATTTCCCCCATTATAGCTATATTCCAGAGTGAGTGGTACCAAGCGTCCAGTATAAGATTTTGGGTCCCTCCCCATTGTGATTCCTATTTGAGCTGCCAAGGTCATAAGTAAGACCAATTCTTTTGGCAATATATCTACATTGGTATCATCAGAAATATTCATCAACTTAAAGAGTTGTTTTTACCAATAATTCTGTTGTTTGACTCGCTTTGTAAATCACTTTAGGGTTTTGTTTTTAAAACCAAGTAGTGCATAAATGAAATAAACAAGATAGCTCCAGGAGTGCATGGGTGCCATGGCTGGCTAGCCCCTTGACTCATTTTTGTCTCTGCCAACAGGAGCTGGAGTGTCTGCAGCAGCGGCAGCGAAGGCAGCGGCAAAGGCAGCCGCCTACGGTAAGCTGAGCATCCTCCTCCTGTTCCAACAGCATTGAGGCTGCTGGATAAATCAGGGCAGGCCAACCCAAGGCAGGAAGGAATGGAAAGATCTCTTTAGGGAAACAGAACATGAGCTCGACTGTTTAAGAAAATCAGGCGATTATAAAGCAGCACTCCAAACAGACCACCTGATGCCACTTAATATATTACGGAAAACCCATAAAGTCTAGAGCAGTCATAGGAAAACAGGACCAGTGGTCAGGGATGATGGGAGTTGTAGTCCTAAAACATCTGAAGGGCTGAGTTTGCCTATGCCGGTCTAGAGCAGGAGCAAGGAAGTTTTTTTCAGCCCGTCTGTTTCAGAAAACTTTCGGAGGGGGGTGTGCGTATGCCAGAGGTAGGCCGGGCCAGAGGCAAAGGTTTCAATCTGAAAGTTTTAGTCCTTTTTTGTGGTGGGTTAAACCACAGAGCTTAGGACTTGCCAATCAGAAGGTCAGCGGTTCGAATCCCCGTGACGGGGTGAGCTCCCGTTGCTCGGTCTCTGCTCCTGCCAACCTAGCAGTTCGAAAGCATGTCAAAGTGCAAGTAGATAAATAGGTACCGCTCCGGCAGGAAGGTAAACGGCGTTTCTGTGTGCTGCTCTCGTTCGCCAGAAGCGGCTTAGTCATGCTGGCCACATGACCCGGAAACTGTACACCGGCTCCCTCGGCCAATAAAGCAAGATGAGCGCCGCAACCCCAGAGTCGGTCATGACTAGACCTAATGGTCAGGGGTCCCTTTACCTTTATTATTATTTTAACTTTTTGAAACCCTTAATTTCCTTAGAGATAATTTTACTGTTTTTCCTTTTTTGTAAGCCGCTCTGATGGTTGGCTTTTGGCTTTTGTTTTTTACAATCAAGCAGTGTATAAATCTTTACAATCTTTACAATCAAGCAGTATATAAAGGGCAACACATGTAGATTTTTGCTAGTTTCTACACACTCTCACACAGCCCTCTCTGTCCTCCATGTGGGAGGGCAAACATGCATTGCCAGGGACCCAGCCAGGCAAAAAGCTCTTGAGGAGGGTATGAAGGCCCCACTAACCATGCCAGGCTAGACAAAGCCAGGAGCAGCAGGTCTCAAAGGATTCACAGAATTGTAGAATTGCAAGTGACCCACAGGGGCCACCTAGTCCAATTCCCTGCAACGCAGGAATCACAGCTCAAGAATCCCTGATAGGGAGCCATCCAACCTCTGCTTAAAAACCTCTCCAGTGCTTCAGAGTCCACCACCTTCCAAGGGAGTCCGTTCCACTGTCAAACAGCTCTAACCCTCAGAAAGTTTTTCCTAATGTTGAGTCAGAATCTCCTTTCTTATCATTTGAATCCACGGTTCAGGACCTCCCCTCTGGAGCAGCCGAAAACAAGTTGGCCCCATCTCCCGGGGGCGGCACTTCAGGTATTTGAAGGTTCGCGGCAAATGGCTAATCTGACCTCTTGTTTGTCATTTCCTGCAGGGACTGGTGTGGTGCCTGGCTATGGCGCCATTGGTGGTGTGGCACCTGGTGGAGTCGTACCTGGAGTCGCACCTGGTGGAGTCGCACCTGGTGGGTTAGGTAGGTTCCCCCCTCTGTGGGAAGTCAATGCCTTCTCAAGGCAACAGAGTGGCTCGTCCCGAAGCCTTGGTCTTTGCAATAACATGGAGGCTGCTTCTGCTCTGTGGAACGGCATCAAGATGGGACAGACACCCGCTCTCTGAATTTCCTGAAGACAATGGGAGATGTGAGGCAGTTGTGTGTTGGGGGGGGGGGGGAAGGTTCCTGGCAGGCTTTCACAGTGGGATGAAAAGGGTCTCTACTGTGAGTGCGTACCACCCACTGCTCAAAAGCATCCAGGGTCCTGGAAGGACGGGAGGAGAATGGTAGATGGGCTGGGCTGGGGAAGAGCTTTGGCTAGTGGCCACGGTGGTCAACCACTGCCATCAGACCTGGTGCGGGTGGTCCTGCTGACACCTCTCTCTTTCTCTTTCTCTCTCTCTCAATTCTCAGTGCCAGGAAGCCCCGTGGCCGCTCAAGCAGCAGCAAAAGCAGCCGCCAAAGCAGCCAAATATGGTAAGGAGGGCCACTGTGGTGTATAGTGGTGAGAGTGTCTGACTGGGACCTGGGAGACAAGGGTTCAAATCCCTGTTGGTGGTGGAAGCTCACTGGGTGACCTTGGGCCAGCCACAATCTCTCAGCCTGATCTGCCTCACTGGGTTGTTTGTGGGGATTAAATGAGAAGGGAAAGAACCATGAATGCCACTTTGAACTCCTTGCAGGAAAGGTGAGATATTAATGTAGAAAATAAATAAATATCAAGACTTCCAACCAGCACAGGAAATAAGGATGGCAAAGGAGATGCGGATCAGTTTTTCTTTAGCCTTGCAAATAGCAGCTTGTGCACAAGCGTAAATTTCCATGACGCTCTTGGATTCCTGTTGTAAAAAATATTGACACTCTGGAGACACAGACAGAGATGCTTGTGGAGGCTGGTCTATTAGGACGAAGAAGGTGCTGCCCCACTGCCCTCAGCCAGCCCCCACCCTGCCTGCCTTCTTCAATTACAACCACTCCATCGGGTGGCTCTGCCTATCAGCTTTCTCCTCCTCCTCCTCCTCCTCCTCCTCCTCCTCCTCCTCCATTGTAGGGAGGAGGAGGAGGAGAAAACCAGGCATTGGCTCCACCCGTCATTGGCTCTAGCGCCACCTACTGGTAGGCTCCCTGCCTTCTGCCCTACCAGTCCTGATGGACACCATTGGGGCAGGCCCTTCCCCCTTTTGATGATGTAGCCTCATTCCAAGAAGACACAGAAAACATCAGTGGGAATGCAACTGGCGTTAGGAAGTGAGCAGGCTGAGCAGGGAACCTGCAATACCCTCTCCTAGTTTTGATCTAAATGTTTTCATCTGAGGACTTTGGCTCCACCCAGGTGCTGTTCTCAGGGTGTGGTGGGGCTCAGGACCATTTTCCAAAAGTGTGCCTTGCCCCAACAGGAGCAGGAAGAGGCGTTGGCGGTGTCGGTGGCGTTGGCGGTGTCGGTGGCGTTGGTGGTGTCGGTGGCGTTGGCGGCGTTGGTGGAGTCGGCGGCGTTGGTGGTGTTGGCGTTGGTGGCGGTAAGCAGCCATTAAGTGCCAACAACTTAGAATTTTATCTTGTTTTATTTGGGGCATGGAGATTTCCAGGTGGCTCCATGCAGGGCAGAAGCTTCACAACACAAAATGAACGTGAGCCAACCCAGAGAGATGCTCATGGGAAGCCAAAATAATGATGAGGGTTTTTTAAATGAAAACAAATTTCTTTCCTCGGCAGCAGCAGCAGCAGCCCCAGTTTAGATGGCTGCACACAGCTGCTGCTTTTAACTTCTTAAAGCAATGCATACTAGCTGACTGCACTTTCAAGTTGTGTCAGGGACTGGGTGGATGAGGCAGAGTGGTGGAAGCCACTTGCCCAAGAGCGCCCAAGGAAGGCACAGAAGAAGATGAGTTAGATTCTGGGTCCTGGTGGCAGGATACTGGCCGCAACTCAGAGGAGGGGACAAGCTGGGAGATATTAGAAGCAGGAAGCTTGAGGTATCATGAAGAGGTAGAAGCAGGCTGGTGGCCCAGCACAGGGCAGGGGGATGAGGTTCCCAGTTTGGATGAAGGCTACGACAGAGGAGAGCCAGACCCTATATCTCTCCCACAGCTCCATCATTACAACCTCTCTGCTGATGGCTCTCTGGCCCCACTTACTCCTAGAACGTGAAGGATGTTACGTATTGCTGAGCAGCAGGCTAGGCAGGCACAGAGAGAGACTCCTGGGGCTTGCTGTAGCAGAAGATTGCAAGGGAGGAGCCCTGACTTGGAGGGCTAGATAGTGATGGAGGGACTGCACACCAGTTCAAGCAACTTCTTCATAGGGGGGGGGGCGGTTTGCCTTTATGAGCCTCCTTGTATTTTTCCCCCCTTTCCTTAATAATGAAAGTAACTGCACGTTAGCCTCATATCTCCCCCTCTGACCTGTGAATCACCAGATCTTTCTGTCAGCCCCCTGACAAATTGCTGGAAACCACAGGAGGGGAGAGGGCTCTTGCGCTCAGATCCCGCTGGAGGGCTTCCCATGGGGGCATCTGACTGGCCACTGTGGGAACAGGAAGCTGGGCTAGGGTCATCTTAGTTCTTATGTTGTGGTGTCCCAGTGGGTTTGGCCCTAATCCTGACTCCTTCTGTTCTTCCGCTAGTTCCTGGGGGAGCAGCGGCAGCTAAAGCAGCAGCAAAGGCAGCTAAATATGGTGAGTCCCCATTGCGTCCATCCTGATCTCATATCCCCTGCCTAATCCAGTTCTTCCCTGCCCCTCTGCGCATCCTGGCCCACTGCCCCATAGTGCCAGCCAGTGAGCTTTTTCCCAGATGCAAAAAGATGAGATCATCTCTGAAGCATCCCACATTGCCACGATTCAGATTGTAAACTTTCTGGGGCATGAGGCCTTAGTTGTGTGCTCACCGTTCATTTAAAACACCTTCAGAACACATTCCCACCTGGAGAATCCTGAGAACTGTAGTTTGCCCCTCACAGAACTACAGTTCCTCACACCCTTAACAAAGCACAGTTCCTAGGTTTCTTGAACTGGCCCAGTCATAATGGAGCAGAGAATCATAGGATTATAAAGTTGGGAGGGGACTCCAAAGGCATTTGGTCCACCCCCCCCTCCCCGCAGTGCAGAATTCACAGCTAAATGGGTGGTGGTGGTGGAATTTGGTCAAATTTTGCCCCTAATTCCAACCTCTTTGTAGGTCGTGGGGCAGGTGTCTTTCCTGGCGGTGGAACAGGCGTCTTGCCAGGGGGTGGAACAGGCGTCTTGCCAGGGGGAGGCGTTGTGCCAGGTGTTCCTGGAGCAGGTAAGGGACCCCTCAGCTACTCCTCATCCTCAGATCTCAGGGAATTGGCACTGGACAAGATTCCCAGTCCAGTTTTGCTGTGCACCAGAAGAGATCCCTGGGCATTGGGGCTCTGACACAGATTGCTTCTCCTTATCTCACAGGAATCCCCCAAACTGGAGTGCAACCAGGGGCCAAGCCACCTAAATATGGTACGTATGAGTCCCTGTCAAGGAAATGGCCAAGACATAAGGAATAATAATCATAATGATAGTACTGGGAGTTCTGCCTATCCACTCACCTGCCCACACCTCACCCAAAAAACAAAAAACGAAACAGTCACAGGAGATCTAGCTATCTATTGATAAAAGGAAGTCCATCTTCATGCAGCACAGAGTTAAACTGTGGAACTCCTCACCACCACAAGAGGCAGTGATGGCCACCAAACCAGAGGGCTTTAGAAGAGGAATGGGTCAATCCATGGAGGAGGAGAGGGCTATGGATGGGTACAAGTCACGATGGCCATTCTCTGCCTCCACAGTTAGAGGCAGCAAAGCTTCTGGATACAGTGGTGCCTCGCAAGACGAAAAGAATCCATTCCGCGAGTCTCTTCGTCTTGCGGTTTTTTCGTCTTGCGAAGCAAGCCCATTAGCAGTTTAGCGGATTAGCGCTATTAGCGGCTTAGCGGATCAGCTGATAAGCGGTTTAGCGGCTTAGCGGATCAGCTGATAAGCGGCTTAGTGGCTTAACGGATCAGCTGTTAAGCGGCTTAGCGGATCAGCTGATAAGCGGCTTAGTGGCTTAACGGATCAGCTGTTAAGCGGCTTAGCGGATCAGCTGATAAGCGGCTTAGCGGCTTGGGAAAAAGGGGGGGGTATACCCCGCAGGAACTCGCAAGACATTTTCGTCTTGCGAAGCAAGCCCATAGGAAATTCGTTTTGCGAAGCACCTCCAAAACGGAAAACCCTTTCGTCTAGCGGGTTTTCCGTCTTGCGAGGCATTCGTCTTGCGGGGCACCACTGTACCAGTTACTGGAAGTCTTTGTGGGGAGCAGGGGAGAGAGGGCTCGTGTGCTCCTGTTTCCCATAAGAGGCATCTGGTTGGCCACTGTGAGAACAGGATGCTGGGCTGGATGGACCTGATCCGGCAGACGCTTCTTATGAGTTGAAGAACTGGGAGACATGGAAAGTGTCTGGTCGGCAGTGAGGAGAAATGCCTTTGATAAACCAAGATTCGCTTTTTCTCACCCCAACAGGTGTGCCAGGAGCTGGGCTGGGTGGCTTTGGCGTACCAGGTACGATGCTGCAGACCCAAGGGGAGGGAGGGGAGAAGAGGGGCCTCCACACAAGACAGGGCATTCTTTGGGACAAGATGGACAGCTCCAGGGCTCATCCCTTGTCCTGGCTACACATCCGAAATCACTTGGTGGCTGGGCTGTGGGGCTTGGGAGCATTCCAGGCAGTCATAGGCTGAATAACTTCAGTATCCTCCATGTTCCTTTATTTACTGTATGGGTCCTCCACACATTAGAGCTTATTTCTGATGAACCGTGAGGGTGGGTTTATGACTGAGCCACTTTTTCTGGCAGGCTTTGGTGGACGAGGAGGATATGGGGTCCCCGGCGCAGGGGGAGTGGGCCTTGGTGGCGCTGGAGCTGGAGGTGCGTAGAGATCGTTCAGCCAGAGCACTGGGAAGGAAGCCCCCAATGTTGTGCTCTGAATTTGGGGGTGGTGTGAGGGTACTTTGCAAGATGTCTCGGTGGCCTTACCCAATGGCGGCCTCAGTGAGTTGACCCTCTGTTTTGTCATTGCTACCAGCCAGAGCCTGCAAGGAAGCAGGCAGTGGGATCTGCTAACTGTTGTAGTTACACCCTGTTGTAGCTACTCCCTGTTTTTTAGCAATTATTCATTGTAGCTACTCCTCATCCTCACCCCTGTTTCCCCCTCCCCTGCTCACCACACCTGAGCTAGAGTCTGAGTCATAATTATGAGAAAGCAGGAGGATGAAGCTCTCATCATGAGGATAAGATGAATATCAAAAGCTATTTGTCTCTTTTGGGGCAGCCCATTGGCATTTTGTACTGGTACCTATGACACATTTCTCAATATAGAAGTACCAGCACCACATTTTTCTTACCCCCCCCCAAATAGTACTGGATATACCACAAATGTTACAGCCCCAATCTCTTCCTACAGTCCTATTTCAGGGGCCCTGCCTCCAGCTCCCCTAGCCTGCCCATGCCCTCTGAGGCAGCCCCACCGCTTCCTTGAGGTCAGCAGGCTGCAAGCCTGACTTCCAGGACAAGCTTCTAATTTCCCCTCATGCTCTCTTGCACAGGGCTGACGTACCCAGGAGCCGGTGGCAAACCTCCCAAACCAGGTATGAGCAAAATGGGACCACGTGGTGGAGTTGGGTAATGGCGGAAGGCGAGTGGCGGAGCTCAGTTTCCTTCAGAACTCTCCAGATTGCTGCAAGGTTCAAGGCAGAGATTGGGGACCTCAAATGTGGCCCCCATACCTCTCTGTTTGGCACTTAGGACTGGCCCTAGGCCATGCCCCTCCTTGCCCTGCCCTGCCCCCTTCTTGAGTGTCGGTGCCTGACTGGAATGTGTCTTTGGAAGGTCATAAAGCCTCTTCGCTTGCCTGGATAGAGGAAATGTGTGTATAAATATCTGACTTTCAAATGACTGGGAGACAGCCAGGCATAAAATGGCAACCCTCACATCTGTAGCCCCACCCCTTTCTGCCTCTGGCTCCGCCCACCACTGGGAGCGGCCCTCACAAATTTGCTCATGAGGCAACAACATTAATTTCATAAAATTAATATACCACATGATTGTACACACACACAACCCTCAAGGCTGCGTACAAAAGAGCTAAAACAATAAATTTATTGATAAGGAAAAATGGCAAGAATGATTTAAGGCACCTGGAAAGTTAAAATAACAACAGACTAAAAATGGATTAAAACTCTTCACCCATGATGTAAAAGGGTGGAGCCTCATAAAGTACAAATTTACCCTAATGGAGGTTCCTACCCCCATGGGGAAAAAATAATTTGGGATTGTATGTTTGACTGAAGTCTTGGGATTTCATAGAAGGACCCCCCACCCAAAAAAAGCCTTCAACTCCCCTAAGGATGCAAACATTGAATCTAGACACTTACATTTCAGACTTTCAGTGTATTGCAATATTGAACAGGGCGTTGCCAGAGTTGTGTGATTCCCACCCCAATTTGACCTCCTTCAACAACATCTATTCTGATCAAATGTCTTCTTATTTCTATCACAGGTTATGGTGCTGGCATTCCACAAGTTGGTGAGTTGATGAACTAAATTCCCTTTATTATATAATGTGTGTGTGTGTGTGTGTGTGTGTGTGTGTGAGAGAGAGAGAGAGAGAGAGAGAGAGAGAGAGAAATTATAGAACAAAGTTCAATAATGCTGTCACTGCGAGACAAATTTGGTTTCAATAAAAATGCTAAGTCTTTTTTTAAAAAAACAACAACACACCTAATATTACATTATTATGCTTTGTAGCCAAGATCATTAGACATCCAAAATGCTTGCTTGTCAAGAAAAAAGAAAGAAAGGGAAATAAATAAACAAAAGAAAAATGACATATGAAGCAGAACAGGAGCAGCTTAGTGAGGCGAGAAACTCACAAAAAACTGTAAAGTACCATGAATAGATTAAACGGGGAAACTATCTTAATTTACATTGTCATTCAAAAAATGCTAAGTCTAAATGATGTTGAATAGAGCTTTTCAGCAGAAAGAGAAAATAGAGGATCCCCCCCAAACTACATCTCTGATGGTCTGATAAAACAATAATGTTGTAACAAGTTATGTAACAGAATTAAAATTAAAAATAACACCAAGACTCAGCAGCTACATTAGTATCAGTAGTAAGACTTCCACTTGTTCTCTAGAACAGGTAAGAAATAAGGTTAACTCCTTTTTATTTTAAACACTTTTATCGGGGTTCACCAACCTTCTTATATATTTATGTATTCATATGATTATTTAATGCATTTATATGCCACTCCTTTCTCCAAGGAGCTCAAGGTTGCTTACAAACAATAATTAAAAACAGATCTCAGAACCCATTTAGAACGGGCAATTAAAATCCAGTTTGCCCTGCCAGCAACCCAGTTGGCCAGCATCGCCTGCCTCTCAGTTTCCAAAGCTCTGTCGAAGCAGGAAGGCCTTAGCCTGCTGGCGGAAGGATAACAAGGAGGGAGCCAGACGGACCTCTCCTGGGTGGGGATCCCACAATCTGGGAGCAGCCACAGAAAAGGCCCTGTCTCTCAGTGCCTCTGATGTTGATGGGACCGAGAGAAGATGCTCACCCAAGGATCTGAGCACCCAGGCTCAGAGCAGCCTATCTTTCTGGTAGCCTGGCTCCAAGCTGTATAGGAATGTGTGAACTGATTCCACCCAACTGATGTGAGGGGACAGATGGGTGGGAGGAGGAGGAGGAGGAGGAGGAGGAGGAGGAGAAGAAGAAGAAGAAGAAGAAGAAGAAGAAGGAGGAGGAGGAGGAGGAGGTGTGGAAACCTGCAAGGGGTTGGACTAGAGCTTTGGGGTCCCTTCCAACTCTATAATTCTATGAACCAGGCTTGTGGAATTCCTGCCATATTGAAGCTTTTCTGACTCTCTCTCCCCCACCCATCTTTTCTCCATTCTAGTGGGCGGAGCTGGCTATGGTTATGGTTTGTCTCCTATTTACCCAGGTACGTTAATAGGGGCTGGGAGGGGGGGTGAGTTCAGTTCCTGAAAAACCCGGATGCAGGGAGAAAGCAGTGGCCTGATGATGGATGACACCCACAAAAGAGCTGAAACAGACCAGGGGAGCAGTCAATTTGGGGGCAAGCAGGTGGTCTTCAGTGGGGTCATCTCCCTCATAAGGTACGCCTTACACCCTGTCACTGGTACCAGTTCATAAGAACTTAAGAATCTAAGAGCCCCTTGGATCAGGTCAATGGCCCATCTAGTCTAGCATCCTGTCTCCACAGTGGCCAACCTGTCGCCTGCAGGAAACCAGGGAGCGTAAGATGCCTTGCTCCCACAGGAGGTAGTGATGGCCGCCAGCTTGGATGGCTTTGAAAGATGCTTGGTCCATTCATGGAGGAGGGAACTAACAATGGCTACTAGCCATGATGGCTTTGTTCTACCTCCATGGTTGGAGGCAGCAGAGCTTCTGGATATCAATTGCTGGAGACCACAGGAGAGGAGAGGGCTTTTGTGTTTGAATTCTGCTGGAACGGACTCGCTGGATGCAGAGGAGTGGTGCGAGGCGCCAGCGGGGGAACCCCTAAGGGAAGACGTCTCAGAGCCAGCGGATTGGTGGTGGGTCAGAGGGAGAAGAGGGAGCAGACGAGGAGGAGGAGGTGTCAGGGGCTGAGGAGGTAACAGGGTTTAGTGAGCAGGAAGAGGCTGTGGCAGAGAGCAGTCCAGACTTAGAGGCAGAAGCAGAGGCTGGAGAGGAGGAGGCCCAAGAGTGGAGGCAGGCTGCTGAAGAAGCCAGGGAGTCTCCCCCTCCTGGTGTGACCAGCTCCCCTCCCCACCGGTTCCCCAGAACCAGAAGAGGTATGAAGAGGGTGGAGGAAATGCGGGCAAGACGACAAAGCCTCAGATCGCTTGGAAAGAACTTAGGCAGCTGTGGGAAGGCGGGGACCTTCAGTCCTCACAACTGCCTCCTTGGGGCAAGCTCTATCAGAAACAGCTGCTGTGCTCACTAGGCCGGAGCTGTTTAGTTCCTTTGAATAAAGAGTTAACTTCACGGACACCTTGTGAGTTATTGCTGACTTGTTCCCTACTCCTGCCTTGACACCTCCTTGGGGGTTTCTCATATCAGGCATCTGGCTGGCCACTGTGAGAAGGAGGTGCTGGACCAGATGGGCCTCCTTTGGCCTGATCCAGCTACAGGGCTCTTTGTATGTTCTTATGCTCAGGGACAGGAGTCCCATACTAATGATCTGAATACAAGGAAATATAACAAGATGCTTGTGTGTTTCCATAGAATCCTGGAACGGTACAGTCATCTAGGTACAGTCACCTGCAATGCATCAATTTCCCCACTTCTCTTTTGCTGAGGCCCACTGTGACCTTTGTCATGCACCCCTCACCCAAACACACACACACACATAGTTCAGAATGTGGGGTGGGAGGGGGCTGCTGGCTGCTCTATGTGGCTAACCAGCTTTCCTGCCTGGTTTGGCCTTGCAGGTGGAGTCCCTGGCCAGCTGGGCTATGGTGGTAAGTGCATTGCTTTCTGCTGGCTTGAGGGGCGGGGTCGAGGGTGAATCCAGGAGAACTTGCCTGCCTCACTCCGTGTTTCTCCCCTGCTTCTCCACAGGCAAACCTCCCAAGCCGTACGGCTACAGAGGTAAGTCGCACCCCAACCCAGAAACATTCCACTTTCAAACTGTTTCTGTCTTGTTCCAAGAGCCTCCAGGTTCAAAGGCAGTCTACCTCTGAGTGCCAGGCTCTAGCCACGGGGGTGGGGTGGGGAGAGCTTCTTCCCACCAGGCCTCGCCTGTACGGGGAGGGTCTCATAGGCCTCCGGTGGGCCGCTAATTGGAACAGGAGGTCGAAGGGCAAATTCTCTTGGTCTGGCTGTTTTTGCAAAGGGGCCTGGAGAATGGCCACCAATCATGTTATGTTTGCAGACTTAAATATTCCACCCCAAGTTGAGAATCAGCACACAAACGGACACAATTTGGGGTACTGTTTTCCAGTCCATCGGAATCTTCTACCATCCCTACTTGTGAGCCACTCATGAAAAATGCCCTCCTGACACACAGTGTCCTCCTCCTCCTATTGTTGTTTTATTTTATTTTAATGTGTTTATTGTGCCTTTCTCTGAAGGTGGGATTCAGGGTGGCTTGCAACATTATTATTTTTTAAAAAATTATAAATTACATGGTAATGAAAACAAAGTAGTTTTAGAACCAGCAACTGAAACCGTTTGCCCTGACAGCAGCCCAGAAGATGGTTAAATAAGGACACCCCTGGTATCAAAGGAGCTAGTCCATATGAACCCATCCACCAGTTGTGGTCCTGCTCCAGGTGCCTCAGGGCCAGCCCACCCACAAGGCAGGGTGAAACAGAAGCCCCTGAGGCATCACCCCCACAGATGTCCTTTAATGCCATCAACCTAGTCCTGTGGAACTCTCCACCACTGGAGTTTCAGCAAGCACTGAACACTTTTCAATTACACCAAACCTAGTGAGGCAATTCAGAACACATCCTCCCACAATGTCTGTTTCAAACTTTTTGAATGGTTCTATGGTTTCATTGCTGTAAACTGCTCTGACATATATATTTTTCTGATGTTGCAGTATACTGGTAATAATATTAGTATTATTATTTTTACAAATAAATAATACAAACAGTTCAAAGGCAGCTGGGATGTGAGTAAGGCATGTGTCACCGCTGATGGTCTTCCTCTTCTCCTCTCCCCACACCTTGCAGGCCGCAAGAGGAAGTAGCCCTGACAGACTGCCTACCATTCACCTCATGAACTTTGGTGCTACTGCCTGGTCTCGAATGTACCCCCTCACCCCGAGAAAAGCAGATTCCACCACCACCGCCATCGTCACCGCCGCCCTGTGCCTTTTTTGCCCCACAGACCCCAAACAGCCCTCCTCCCTCTCACTGGTGCTATACCCAGCCGTCCACGTCCTGGGCGGTGGGGAGGCCTCTTTGGTGCTGCGGCCGAGGAGGGCCGCTTTCGGAGGAGGGGGGGAAGATGCCCGAGCACTTTAGCCCACTCCTGAGCCCTGTGCGGGGGGGTCAGTAGTCACACTGGCCAGTTGGCCCCACTCCCTTTCCCAGTCTCCGCCCCCTCTCTCTCTCTCCAGGCTCCAGTTTTCCTGGGGGGAGAATGCCACTGGGTTGCCATGGGAGCCCCTCCCCTGGCACACTGCCTGCAAACTGGGGGGTCGGTGCCAACAGGATTAACCTTAATCCTCCAGCTGCTGCCTGTCAGGGCCGCAGCGGATTAGCACAGCCCAGGCCACATTCGGCCTTTCAAGCAAGAGAGCCAGAGGCCACGCCGTCCAGGTCCGAGCAAAGAGGCCGTCCTGGGGGTCCCCCGCCCCTCCCCACGGGACCGTGGCCAACCTGCTCCACGACTCTTCATGTTTAATCACTTCGATGTAACTGGGATGGGACACTTTTTATAAAGAGGAACAGTAAACCGCTTTCCGGGAAAAAAAGAATTAAATAAAACCTGACTAATAAATAACTTTTTAAAGGAACATTTCTTGTGCTTTTTCCTCCTGGAGACGTACAGTCTGCAACCTAGTTTCCCTTGAGCAACCCGAGCAAACACAAACTGAGTGTCTCTGAGCCTGTGCAGAGGGGCAAAGTGAGTGCATCTTGGCAGGTGTGACTTTATTATTAGAAGCATAGAACCTAAGAGTCATCTGGTTCAACTCTTTGCAATGCACCATGGCTAAAGATGCCTGACAGGTGGCCATCCAGCCTCTGTGGGAAAACCTCCAATGATGGAAATTCCACCACCTTCCAAAAGAGCCCGTTCTACTGTCTAATAGCTCTTAACACCAAACTGTTACTATTTTTCTAGAAAAAGAGGTACTCAAACTCGCCATGAATGCTACCCTTGTTCTCTTATATTGGCAATGGTGTTCACCTGAGAGGTGCCAGAACTAGGCGATATATTGTACAAAACCAGTTTGAAGTCCATATCGTGATATCGGTTTCATAATTTTTGACCTGGCAATATATCATGAATCATGATGCCTTTGTGCGTATGTGGTGATATATCACAATGTTGAAAACCAGATATCACCCAGCCCTATCCAGAATCGAGTTCCAATGAGTTCTGGCCAAAAAAGGGGCCCCTGGTTCTTCCTACTGTTTAGTCAAAATCTCCTTTCTGGTAATTTGAATCCATTGGTTCCAGTCCTCCCCTCTAGAGCAGCAGCAAACCAGCTCGCTCCATCTTCCATGTGGCAGCTCTTCAGATCTTTGAAAATAGTTTTCATACCATCCCTCAATTTTGATAGATAGTAGTGGGATGCACACTTGGAAATGGATCCTATAGCTTAGGGGAGGATCCTATAGCTTAGGGGGAGGAGTTGGGCTGTAGGGCTCATTAAAGATCCAGAGGTGAGCTTGCTAGAGTGGAGCAAAGCACTTTGCAATGAGCAGTTCAGCTCCTTTGCAGCCTGAGGAGGAGCTGAGCTGTTTCCATGGGAGTCATGCAACTTTTATTGCAGAATGCCCAGCAATGGGGCAACTTCTGTAAGCAATGACACTACTGAGAAAATGATGGTGTTGGTTTGGTTTTATAAATACATTTTATTGAATTCCACACCTATAAGCCATCTCAAACAATAAAAAAACACTACAGAAAAAAACAAGACAGTAGAAATCGGAGAAACTGCAAATGAAGAATTAATTATCCTGGAAAATATTGCAGAGGAACTGTTTTGGATTGTCATTATACTAGGACCATTATATTTAAATGTAATATTTTTCTTTCCCTAGTCATAAAACCCACAGGTGAATAAATGCATCTGGTGGAGATGAACTATGTTACTCCATGTTTGCAAATAGAATAAAATCATAAAATCGTACCTTACTGCCAAAAACGAATCTTCAGGGACCCTGCAGCACCTGTGTGAATTTCACAAGGAAATATCAGTGTTTGTGGTGTGAGTGAACCAAAAATAGGCAGGAAATCAACACTGAGGAGGGGAAAGAGCATCGGGAATCATTGGGGAATGGACCATGTCGTAATGCCATACCAATCTAAGCTGCGGTCGCATTTTGAACATTGTGTGAAATTCCGGCCCCCTCACCTAAAAACGGATATTGCAGAATTGGAAAAGGTTTAGAAAGCAACAACCAAAATGATCAAGGGGGTTGAAGGAGAAAGCTTGTGGCATTTGAGGCTTTTTAGTTAAGAGAAAAGGCAAGTAAGAGGCGACGTGATAGAGGTTATAAAATTATGCATGGCATAGGAAAAGTGGATGGGGAAAAGTTTTTCTTCCTCTCTCTCATAGCACTAGAAGTCATGGACATCCAATGAAGCTGGATATTGGGAGATTCAGGGCAGATGTAAGGAAGTCCTTCTTCATGCAACTTGTTCCCACAGGAGGTAGCGATGGCCACCAGCCTGGATGGCTTTAAGAGAGGATGGGGCAATTTCATGGAGGATAAGAAGACTATTGATGGCTTCTGGCCATGATAGATATGCTCTGCCTCTGCAGCTGGAGGTAGCAATGCTTCTGAATACCAGATGCTAAAACCAGAGGAGAGGAGAGGAGAGGAGACGAGAGGATAGGGATCCTGTGCTTTGGTCCTGCTTGCGAGTTTCCCAGTGAAGCATCTGGGATGGTCACTTTGAGAAGAGGATGCTGGACTAGATGGGCTGTTGGCCTGACCAGCAGACTCCTCTTATGTTCCTAATGGAAGCTAGCCAGTGCTTCTGGTGGAAAATAATAATAATAATAATAATACAACACATCAAAATAATCTCAATATAGCCATATGCACAATTGTCCCAAGACTCCGAGTACTGGCAAAGTTGTTCTGTACACTGGCAATGTGTGCAGGGGAGGAAAGGAGACACATACACAAATGAGCTGAAGGAACTGAAGGCCGTCACTGCTTGCTGCTCTGTACAAATTCAGAAAGGCAGAAATACAACAACAGAACAAGAGGAGATCCCGAATGCATCAGTTAAGCACTCTAAGAAGAGCCCTGCGGATGGATCAGGCCATCTAGACTGGCATCCTGTTCTCACAGTTGGTGACCCGATGGCCATTGTGGGAAACCCACAAGCAGGATTCATGCACAAGAGCACTCTGGCCCCGCCGGGCTTCCAGCAGCTGGTATTCCGAAGCATTGTTGCCTCTGACTGTGGAGACAGAGCAGAGCCATTGCGGCTACTACCCATCGATAGCCTTTTCCTCCATAAATGGCTGCGCATTAGCAACCAGAAAATAGACAGCAGATAAGAACCTAAGAGGCTGCTGGATCAGGCCAATGGCCCATCAAGCCCAGTTTCCTTTTCATATAATTGTTGAGCTGGAAGGGACCCCTAGGGTTATCCAGGTCCATCCCTCTGCAATGCTGGAATCTCAACACGTAGTTCCCCATCCAGTTTGAAACCAGACCAGACCCTGCTTAGCTTTGCAAATGTGCCAGCAGTTTTAGAGGCCAACCGATGTCCCAAGGGAAAGCCCACAAGCAGGATTCAAGTAGAAAGGGACTCCCCCTCACGCCACCATGGCATCCGGCAACTGGTATTGATAAGTCTTGCTTCCTCCCACTGGCTAGAGGGACTGGTGGTCTGAAAGCAGTCCTTGGCTGGTAACCATGAGGACTGGAGTCTTAACCCAGTGGTAGGAGAGCATCTGTCATAGGTTCAATCCCAGGCAGCATCTCCAGGTAGAGACTCCCACTTTGGAGAGAGCTGCTGCTGGTCAGTGTCCACCATACTGGGCTGGACTGCTGGTCTGACACAGGACAAGGCAGCTTCCTACTGTTATGAGTTTATGAGTTTCAGACTGCCGCCCACCCGTTACAAGTTTCTGGGTGCCAGACACTGAACTTCTGGATTCAGTAAATGTTAAAATATAAACTAAGCCAGTTTCCTGACCAGGAAATCGCCTGGGATAATGGAGAACAAAACCCATTAGGAAAACCAAATAGAAGGGCCCTCGGCTCAGAGTTAGTTGGGAGGACAAAGAGTTCGAAGTAGTTTTAGAGTTGACCGTGACCTGACCTAAGTTGCAGGCTAGAAAAAGTGGCTGGCTGGAAAAGGCAGAGAGTCAGAGCACAATGGTTGATGTCTGTTTGAATCCAGAGAAGCAAGAGTCTTTTGGGGTGTTAATGCTGGGAACTGCTGCATCGTAGGCTCAGGTTGCATATACAGTGGTACCTCGGGTTAAGTACTTAATTCGTTCTGGAGGTCCATTCTTAACCTGAAACTGTTCTGCACCACTTTAGCTAATGGGGCCTCCTGCTGCCGCCGTGCCGCCGGAGCACGATTTCTGTTCTCATCCTGAAGCAAAGTTCTTAACCCGAGGTACTATTTCTGGGTTAGCGGAGTCTGTAACCTGAAGTGTATGTAACCCAAGGTACCACTGTATGTGTAAATAAACTATGTATCATAAAAATACCTGAGCTCCCACTATGCCTCATTTTTAAAAGGAAACATGTAGGGGTGAATTTTCGTATTTCAAATTTTTAGTGGCGTCAAAATCTGATGTCTCCTGCCTCTTGCCTTCCGTCCTGTGCACTATGTCACAGCTGTGGCGCCCTGTGGTGTCCCCTCGGCTCGGCACCCAGTGCAGGTGAACCGGCCATGCTGCCCTGAATCTGGCTCTGGAAACACGAACCCTTGGTAATCGTGCCTGGAACCCAATAGCGTCTCGCACAGCTCAGAGATTGGGGTGGCGCACAACAATACTTTCCCCTCTTCCCTGCACTACCCCCTCGCCTTTTGTCTGCAGTTGCCCCTGGGCGCTCTGCACATACTCAGGGGCCCCTTCTCCATCCCCTCCTGAAACCCTGGAGAGAGCGGCTGCCAGTCAGCTGTGGACCATCACAGCTTAGCTGTGGTCTGACACGAGATCGTACATTTCTCTTCACACACACCCCCGTCGGTTTTATCTGCCGTTGCCCCCGGACCCACTGCGCGCACTCAGGGCTTCCCTCACCATCCCCTCCCTTTCCGTCAGCTTGGCTTCCCAGGGAGCGCGCGGCGGCGGGGGGGGTGGGGTATGTGCGCGCGTGCGTGTGTCCGGTTCTGGCTGGCTGGCTGCATCCCTGCCGGGACTCCGCTTCTTCTAGCCCCCCGCCCCGTCCAAGCGAGAGGGGAGGCGCCTGGCCTTGCATCGCCTTGCAGCGCACGTTGCATTATAGCTGGAGGCGGGCGGAGTAAGGGGGGTCTCTCTGGCTGGCTGGCTCCTCTTTGGACCCGCCTCCCTCCTCCTCCTCCTCCTCACCCCCCGCCCCATTTTCCCAGGGCTGCCGCGCAGTCGGCCCGGGCGAGTCCGCAGCCGGCGCAACCAAGCAGCCCGCCCTGCCCGCCCTGCCCCCTTCGCCGCCCGGCAAGCGCAGGGAGGAGACGCCGACGCCGACGCTGCTGCCGCCCGAGCCGGGGGGGTCTGGCGCGGCGTCCGCATGAGGCTGATGCTCCTGTGCTGCACCTGGAGAGACGAGCCCATGGGAGAGGACGAAGGTGGGTCCTGGAAGAGAGCCCTCCCCGCCCCGACTCCGCGTCGCCCCTCACCCGGCCTCTGGCCTGACTCCTGGGGCGCGGTGGTGACGGAGTGGGGTGGCGTGCAGGGCTCCTCCGCCCCCTCCCCTGCTTGACCTTGAGCCCCACAGGGGGTGGGGGAGAGAGAGAGAAACGTCCGGGCCGCCCCCTTGCTGCATTGCACGCGTGGTAGGCATTCACACGTGCAAGAGGCCGGCAGGGGTGGGGGCGAAAGGAGAGGTCTACTTAACGCGCGTGCGCTAGTGGGGCTCGTGGAGTGGTCCTCGGAAGGTTGGGAGAGGCCCCCAAGGCCTACTTAGCCCCTTCACTCGCCTTAACGGGCGTGCGCAGACTAACTGGGAGCGCGTCTCTGAGCACGTGCAGAGCGCGTTTCCTCTCTCCCCACCTCCAGCCCGTTGTCTCTGCGCTTTCAACTCACCCTAGGAGGCGGGGGCGGGGAGGTTAATCCGGTGCCCATCCGGTGGGTGCTGTCCAGGGTGCTGTTTCTCCCGACCTCCTGCCGCAGGCAAGGGAGTCTCGTCTGACCGGAATGCAAGAAAGTGGGGTTTGGATAAAAGACTTCGGGGTTGATTCTAGGATCCATGCTTTCCCCCTTCCTTTTGCAAATATTTTCGCTACTTTACTGAAAGTTGAGGATTCATAGAACCTTTCCTGAGTGTGGGAATTCTCCTTTTGCAAACGGGTGGAACAGGATAGGGTGAATAAAATGCTCTTTCACAGCAGGAAAAAGGGTGTCCCACTCGCCCCACAAATCCTATCATCTTTCTGATCCTCATAACCCCAATGGCACCTGGGCCCAGAAGAGGGTGGGCATGCTGTGGTTACAAAGAAAAAAGAAAGCACCCTCTGTGCATGCTCCAAGACACTCTTGCTCCCCTGTAATTGTTACAGCATGGAGGCCTGCTGCTGAAAACAGGTTCAGAGTCTGGGTGCAAGGACAAATTTATAACCCCCACATTCTGTTCCCCATTTCTATGGATGCCCCCCTGGTTTCCCTGCCACTCCTCTCCACACACCCCAATCTATGGGGGGTGAAGTAGGGGACAGTCCTGCTGTTATATAAACAGGAGATCGATCTGTGGCCACCAGCCATGGGAAAGGAGGTCATAGGGCTAGCCTCAGCTAGGGGCCTCTGGGCATTTGTGAGCAGCTGGGTGCAAGAGAATTGCCATTATCCCCACCCCCACCCCATGCCCCCTCTCAGAGTTAACAGGAATGAGGCTCCTGGCGGAACCATTCTTCAGGTTCGGATTACGGAAGTTATTCTGCGTGTTCTCAGAGGAACCCTTGTTCATTCAGTGTGAGTGCTGCATTTCTTTGAGCACTGCTTCAAACTAATCTATTCTGGGGGGGGGGGGCACAGCAGGATGAGGTGCATTCTGGGGGAGAGAGAGAAATCACCCACAGTCCCTCTGGAGTCTTGGGGTGCCTCTGCACTATACGTTTAAAGCAGTGTCATGCAACTTTAAACAGCCATTCCTTTCCCCCAAACAAATCCTGGGAAGTGTAGTTTGTTATGGGTGCTGAGGGTTTTTAGGGGACCCCTTATTCCCCACCCCAAACTGCAAATCCCAGAGTGGTTCGACAGTCAATCCCTGTTCCCAGGGAACTCTGGAAATTGTAGTTCCGGGACTGGGGGCTAATAGGGGTATTTCTAAAAGCAACTCAACATCCTTAGCAAACTATGGTTGCCAAGATTCTTCGGGAGAAGCTGTGCCTGTTTAAAGTGGTCTTGGACTGCTTTAAATGTGCATTGACTCCCTCCTTCCTCTCTGAGGTCACACCACATATCCAACATGCATTGAAAGCCTGTTTGGCTTCCCAGGATCTGTAGTTTGTTAAGGGCTCTGGGAACTGTAGCTCCTCAAGGCTGAAACTGCCGTCCCCAGAATTCTTTCGGGAAAAGCCATGCCAGTTTGAAGTGGTATGATACCACTTTAAAAGTGTTGTGCAGACAAGGGCCCTGTTTGTAGGCCTACATCTGGTTTTGGGCAAAAACTGAAATCCTGGAGTGAGAGCCCAGGCTATGCTGATGATTCCCCCCCCCCCCACTCAACCTGCCCCCACCTCTGTTTTCCTCTCCAGGAAGCGATCTGCCGATATGCGCCAGCTGCAGCCACAATATCTACGATGGCCAGTATCTGCAGGCTCTCAACGCGGACTGGCACACCGACTGCTTCAGGTAGGACTGCTCTGGCAGGGTGGCTGTCACCAGTAGGGTGGGAAGGGGGAGCCAGCATCCTCCCAGCTGCTTTTCTGAACTGCCATCTCCCATCAGGCCCTGCCAGGAGGGTCGAAGGTCAAGGACGATGGGAGTTGTAGTCCTGCAAACTAAGGGAAGGACTATAGCTCAGGGATGGAACACTTGCTTTGAGTGCAGAAGGTCCCAGGTTCAATCCCCAATGGTGAGAGATTCTCCTGCCTGAAATCCTGGAGATCTGCTGCCAGTCAGTGTAGACAGTACTGGGCTAGATGGGCCAGTGGTCTGACTTCCTGTGTTCCGATCTGGAGAACCACAGTTTCAGAAAGCAGTGAGGGGGTTATTAGAGCAAGGAAAAGTTTCAAGATCTGGGGCTTTTTCCTTTAGAAAGTGGTAGTGTTGGATTAGGACCTGAGAGTGGCCAGGGTTCATTTCCCCACTAGGTCATGACTTTGGATCTGTCGTTGCCTCTTGGCTTAGCCTACCTCACAGGGTTGTTGTAGGCAGGAGAACCTGGGAGGAAAAAAGGTGGGCTATAAATGCAATAAACAAATAAATAGCTTGACTTTCCATGGTGTGCAAACTAGGCCAGAGCTCCATCTTAAGAGAGGCAGTGTTGCAAAGTGGTTACATTGTCGGACTAGGACATGGGAGGTAAAGGTAAAGGTACCCCTGCCCGTACGGGCCAGTCGTGTCCGACTCTAGGGTTGCGCGCTCATCTCGCTCAAGAGGCCAGGAGCCGGCGCCGTCCGAAGACACTTCCGGGTCACGTGGCCAGCGTGACGAAGCTGCAACTGGCGAGCCAGCACCAGTGCCGCACACGGAAACGCCGATTACCTTCCTGCTAGAAAGTGGTACCTATTTATCTACTTGCACTTAGGGGTGCTTTCGAACTGCTAGGTGGGCAGGAGCTGGGACCGAACGACGGGAGCTCACCCCGCCGCGGGGATTCGAACCGCCAACCTTACGATCAGCAAGTCCTAGGCACTGAGGTTTTACCCACAGCGCCACCCGCATCCCGAGGACATGCGAGACCTGGGTTCAAATCCCCACTCAGTCATGAAGTTCACTGGGTGACCTTGGAGGCCAGTCACTGCCTCTCAGCCTAGCCTGCCTCACAGGGTTGTTGTGGGAATTAATTGAGGGGGAAAGGGGAGAACCATGTACGCCACTTTGAGCTCCTTGGAGAAAAAGGAGAAAAGCTAGGAAATTCAGGGCAGACATAAGAAAGTCCTTCTTCATGCAATGCATGGTTAAACGATGGAACTCGCTGCCGCAGGAGTCAGTGATGGCTTGGATGGTTTTAAAAGAGGACTGGACAGAGGGGCTGTCGATGACTATTAGCTACAGTGACTATGGTCTGCCTCTGAATCCTACTTGCTGGGGATCCCAAGTGGGGAGAGGGTTGCTCTGGCGCTCAGGTCCTGCTTATGGGCTTCCTGGAAGAGGTGTCTGGTTGGCCACTGTGAGGACTGGATGCTGGACTAGAAATCGGCTTCTTTTTGACTGGGCCATCCCAGGACTCTTCCTATGTTCATTGTTGCTTATTTGGCCAGAAAGGAAGTGCCCCCCACCCTTAGAATATTCTTTAGCATGGGCTGGTGTGAGCAACAAGATCCCACACTCTCCTGCCAAGGAGGCTCGTGGCCTTGTCCTGGGACAGCTTGAACAGCTCCTTCTGCACCAAAGAATCATGCAAACCTAGAATTGTAGAGTTGGAAGGGCATCTAGCCCAACTCCTGCAATGCAGGAATCGCAGCTAAAGAGTCCCTGACTGATTGCCGTCCAGCCTCTTGAAAATCCTCCAGAGACGGAGAATCCACTGCTGTGGAAGGAGAATCCTCCACCGTGGAGCAGATCCTATGGTCAGAAAGTTGTTCCTTGTCAGAATCTCCTTTCTTGCCATTTGAATCCTTTGATCCGGGTCCAGCCCTCTGGAGCAGCAGAAAAGAAGCTTGCTCCATCTTCCCAGTGAGAGCCCTTCAGATATTTGAAGATGGCTATCATATCACCCCTAAGTCTTTTCTTCTCCGGGCTAAATATAACCAATTCCCTCAACCTTTCCTCAAAAGGCTTGGGCCCTTGATAATCTCCATCACCCTCCTCTGCCCACCTTCCAGCTTGCCAATATCCTTCTTAAACTGCAGTGCCCTGAACTGCACACCGCACTCCAGGTGGGGTCTGACCAAGGCAGATCTGGACAGTAGACTTCTTCTGAAGATGCCTATCATAGAATTGTAGAGTTGGAAGGGACCCTGAAGATCATCAGCTCCTGCAGTGCAGGAATATGCAGCTGTCCCTTACGGGGATCGAACCTGCAACCTTGGCATTATCAGCACCATTCTCTAACCAACTGAGCTATCCTGCTTGCCCCTCTCGGTCTTCTCTTCTCCAGGCTAAACATACCCTCTCCCCTCCAGCATATGTTCCAGGTGCCTGGTGGGGAGGGGGCAAAAGACGAGAGCCACCTTCCTCCGCTGATCATCTGTTTCCCCAACAGCTTGGCTGCTCCATTCATTCTTGGCTTTACAGTTCCCCTCCTCCTCCTTCTGGGCAGCCGTCAATATGGCTGGTGGCATCTGGCAAGCACAGAGACTTGGCTCTCCTTCCAAGAGACACACTCCTCACACGTCCAGCTCGGAGCCGATTCCCTGGGCCCCGACCCTGGCTGCTTTGGGGTTGTGCGCTTTTAAAAGTCTGGCTGCCTCCCTCACCAAGCAGGGAATAAAATAGCTCTTCTCTCACACTCAGAGTCTGCTTGGAAGAGTCTGGCTTCAGGACAAACGGGTGCGTCTGTGATCCATTTGAGGACATGCGTTTAAACTCCGGAACTTGCTCCTGCAGGACGCAGTGGGGAACACCAACCTGGATTCCTTTAAAAGACAAATTCATGGAGGAGAAAGCTACTAACCATGATAGCTATGCTCTGCCTCTGGGCTCTTCTTATGTCCTGATGGAACACCCAGGCCCAGTGGCAGTCTATCTAGATTTCCAGGTTCTTTGGGGCATTTAGCTATTGTGAGAACAGGGTGCTGGGCCAGATGTGTCTTTGGCCTGATCCATCAGGCTCTTCTCACGTTCTTACAGCTCTTGCATGCTGGGGAGATGCCCAGGCGTCGGTGCTTCCCCCACCAGCTGGCGGGGCAAGGATGTGGGTGGAAATTGCTTGTGTCCTCTGAGGTGGACGATGCGCAGGCTGGCTTGATGATGCAAGAGGCGGTGCAGAGAGAGGCCTGCGCTCCGGCCTCCCAGCTGTGGCAAGAGCACATCTGCGCAGGGCTGTTGACAAAGATAGCTACGTGACTCCCAGGGGGGCGGCTGAGAGAGAGGCCTGATGCTGCGTGGAGGCGGGAGTCACAGAGGAAATTCCCCTCCTTGTGATTACAGAACAACTTCCTGCCCTGGGGCTGGGCTGGCTGGAGTCAGCTTCCGAGGCAGAACAGAGCAGAGCAGAGCGGCACAAATTGCAATGGCAGTGAGGAGCTACTCTTCGGGGTCAGAGCTGGCGAACTCAGGGGCTTATCTCGGGGCCCGGGCTCAGCCCCTGGCTGCCCAGGGGAGGCAGGGGAGGGTGTGCCTCTGCCCACGCTCGAGGCACCAGCAGTGGGCAGGTGCCAAGGAGGAGACCCCGTTGCTGGCTGCCGTGCTCAAGAGCAACCACTTTCTGACAGCAGGAGCCAAGTAAGTCTCCGCCGGAAATGATGAAATGCAGGATTTGAACTCAGAGTTGGTAGGAGATAAAAGCCGACTAGCTGGACCAGGCGCTGGGTTTGGTTGGTTCAGTGCACTGCCTCTGACTGTGGTCAGCTAGACGCCTCTGGAAACCTTCCCAGTACAGTGGACGCTCGGGTTGCGAACATGATCCGTGCGGGATGCACGTTCGCAACCCACAGCATCTGCAACCCTCAGCAACACATCTGTGCATGTGCGGGTTGCAATTTGGTGCTTCGGCACATGCGCAAAGTGCAATTTAGTGCTTCTGTGCATGCATGGCAGCCGAAACCCAGAAGTAACCCGTTCCGGTACTTCCGGGTTTCGGTGGTCCATAACCTGAAAAACCACAACCTGAAGCATCTGTAACCCGAGGTATGACTGTAGTGCTCCTGTTGCCCATTGGCTCTAAGCATCTGATATTGAAAGATACACTGCCTCTGAATGTGGAGGATTGATTTAGCGGTCACGGGTGAGAACCACAGACTAGGGTTGGGCGATATATTGATATATCCTCCAAAACCAATTTGCAGTCCTTGGCATAGAACAAGTGGAAATGTGGACAAGCCCAAAGAGGTGACATGGTTGTTGTTGTTTAGTCATTTAGTCGTGTCTGACTCTTCGTGACCCCATGGACCAGGTTTATAAAATGACACCTGGCATGATGAAGGTGGCTCAGGTGGTTAGAACGTGGTGTTAAAAATGCCAAGGTTGTGGGTTTGATCCCCGTATGGGCCAGCTGCATATTCCTGCATTGCAGGGGTTTGGGTAGAGGCCCCTCAAGGTCCCTTCCAACCCTGCAATTCTCTGATTCCATGGTGAAAGTGGATAGAGAGAAGTTTTTCTCCCTCTCTCATAACACTAGAACTCGTGGACATCTAATGAAGCTGCTGAAAGATTTGGTACAGAGGAAAGAAAGTCCTTCTTCACGCTGTGCATAGTTAAACTGTGGAACTCCCTCCCACAGGAGACAGTGATGGCCAACAACCTGGATGGCTTTAAAAGAGAATTAGGCAAATTCATGGACGAGGAGAAGGCTCTTGAAGGCTACTAGCTATGGTAGCTATGCTCTGGCTCCACAGTCAGAGGCAATAATGCTTCTGAATACCAGTTTCTGGAAACAGCAGGAGGAAAGAAGGCTCTTGGGCTCGAGTCCTGCTTGCTGCTTGCTTCTCTATGGAGCATCTGGTTGGCCACTGTGAGAACAGGATGCTGGAATAGCTGGGCCATAGGCCTGATCCACCAGGCTTTTCTGAGGTTCCTGTTGTTCTTTGTCTCTTGCATCTGGTGTCCAAAGATACACTTCCTCTGAACATGGAGGTTTGATTTAGTTGTCGCGTCTGATCGCCACTGGCTGGGTTCTCCATGGTATTAAAACTGCCCTTTTAAAGCAAGAATGGAGGATCCCTGTTGGGCTTGTCTTTGCATTTGGTTTCTGATTCAGAAGCATCCCCACCTAAAGTTATAGGCAGCAGTGCTTTGATGGGGTCACGGGGGTGGGGCATGTCTGTTCGGCTCACTTATGCCTGGCATAAAGAGGTCCAGCAGGTTTCTGCATGGTTTCAAAAACCTGCTGTACGTGGTTTGACCCTAGGCAAAAGGAAGGTGTAATGAATTTGTGTTGCACTCTGGGGTGTGAAATCCCATTCTGTTTTCTTCAGACTGAGAACAGGGAGCTGCCAGCTCCTGGTTGCCTCGTAGAAGCTTCTCAGTGCCAGCAAACTGGAAGAGTTTTGCAGCTTCTGATTCTATTTCCAGATCAGCGGCTACCACTTGCCAGCACGTGCCAGCGAAGGTCACCTTTCATTGTCCTTGGTGGAGAAAGAAAGGCAAGCTTGGGCTCCTTTTGTCAACATCCTGTCTCGTATTATTAGGATCACTGGTCCTGGGCAAGGTGGAATTCTGAAGGAAATGGGAACAGGAGCAGAAAATGGCCAGTGTCTGCTTGTTTGTTCCTTGTGTGGGACAGAAATCAGTCCAGTGAATGCTATCCACATTCACTGTTGTGGCTTTCAGTCTTCAAACGATATGTAATTGGTGGTGTTCCTCTCCCCTGTTTGCATTGGATTTCCTTTGCATCAAAACAAATAGTGCTGATTGATTGATTGATTGATTGATTGATTAACCTACTATATATTTTGGAAAGCAGTTTGTCTGCCTGCCTGCCTGCCTGCTCTCTATGTTTTTGGACATGTCTTGGGATAATGTTTCACCAGTGTGGCATGATAGTGTCTGAGATAGAGGAGCATTTTTTCCATCTATGTTTGAATACCACCTGATGCCGTTTTGAATTGCGATACTGTTGTTGTTGTAGTAGTAGTAGTAGTAGTAGTAGTAGTAGTTGACCTTTCCCCCCAAGGAGCTCAAGGTACCATGCATGATTCTTCCCTCCTCATTCCAAAAGGAAGCCAAGACTCATTTTGGGTAGGTGTCCCACATTAAACCTCATTTAAACTTTAAACCTTTAAGAGGAAGTCCAGCCATCAGAGTCCATGGATTGGGAGCAGACCCTTTTCCATTCACAGCACCTGGTTTTGACTGTGCTTCTTTTTAAATGCTGATTTTCCTTGGTAGGTTTTTGGAAATCCAATTGAAACCCCAAATGGCTGGGCCTGATGGGTTCTTTTCTGCATTAACCCCCAAGGCAGACTCTGAAAAGGGAAGTGACTAGGTTTGGTTCCTCTGGTCCAACTTTTCATACCAAGTGGGCCACAAGAGTACTTTGACACAGAACCTGTGGGCCACACACAGCGTGGGAGGGGGAGTGAGGCCAAAATTTTAGCTAAGGACCAAACGTGTTCAGGTATAATACCAGTCCATAATAAGAGATGGAGATCTGGGAAGAAAACTGGTCACTGTTGTCATAAAACTTATTCGACAAAAGGAAACCCAACAACTGAGAAAGATGTTGTTACATAATTAGATACGTAACTGGTGATGTCAAATTCCAGAGAGTGAGATGAGTGTCTTGGTTTTTTGCCAGAAGCTGAGCTGCAGTCAAATGAAAATGGCATGTGTGATGTACAGAGTCTTCCATGTGACTCTTAATGGAGGGAGCATTAAAATTAGAGGCTTCCCTGCCCCCAGAAGCTTACAAATTAAATTGTGTTTGAGAGGGAAGCGGCAAGGCAGATAAGAAGGAAGGGGAGACAAGAGAGAACTTCAAATGGCTGCAGTTTCATGTTTTCAAGCTTCCATTTTGTTGTGGGCAGCAATGAAGGGGCCTGAACTGTAGGCCTCACAGGAAAGGTGTTTGTTTGTTTGTTTGTTTGTTTGTTTGTTTGTTTGTTTGTTTGTTTGTTTTTAGTAGGAAGGAACCGAACATTTACTTGCTTGGAGCTAACTTCTGTGAGCTCATGAGTGCTTGCAATCCACTGGATTCTCATAGCATGCACATAATTTATTTATTGCATTGACACCCACCACAACCCTGTGAGGTAGGTCAGGCTGAGAGGCAGGGACAGAGCCCAAGCTTCTTGGCTGATGGGGGGATTTCAACCCTGGTCTTCTAGTTCCCAGCCTGACACTCTAGCCACTATGCCACACTGGGTCTCCACACAGCCTTTTGAGAAATTATTTTATCTAATTTTACATTGCGATGTTGTACTGAGCCACTGATAACCCTCTCCTCCTCCTTGAATTTGTCCAGTCATCTTTTAAAGCCATCCAAGTTGGTGGCCTCCAGTGGTTTCCACAGCTGAGCACAATAGTCTTTGGTCTGTTCTGAATATTCCCAAAATTCAGCTCCCTTGGATGTCCACGAATTCTACAGTTGTTAGAGAGAAAGGAAACCTCTTCTCTATCCACTTTCTCCATGCTGGGCATAATTTTATAAACTTCAGTCAGGTTGCCTCTTTTACTTGCATTTTCTCTGAACTTAAAAACTCCCAAATGCTGCAACCTATGTGCAAATTAGTGTGGTGCGGAGGGGGAGGAGCGGGGAAGGAGGCCATCCACCAGCAAGGAAGTGTGAGTGGACTTTGCATGGAAGTGAAAGCGATATCCAGCGGATGCTGGGTGCCAGATATCAGGCTACCACAGACCAGTTGCTTCTTGTAGACTTCCAAGCGGCATCTGGTTGGGCGGCGCTTTTGCTCAGATCTAACAGGGCTGCCCTTATTCCCTGTGGCTGTTAGGAATGGACCTGCCATGTTCAGAGGAAGTCTATCCCTGAACACCACTTTCTTCAGGTAGGTGTGGTGGCTTTTGCTTCCATTAATATTTTTTAAAAAATAATATCTCAAACGACTTATATTCAAAAGAATTTCAGATCAGCGCATGGAAAACAGAACTCCGATACAGCAGGGTAGAGTCTCAGAATGTTATACAAACCAGGGGTCTGGTACTGTAGGGAAAAAATAGGTTGCAACATTTGGGACTTTTTTTGGTGAGTAAGAGGCAACACGATAGGCAAAATTATGCCTGGCATGGAGAAAGTGGATGGAGGAAAGTTTTCCTTCTTCCTCTAACGCTAGACATTCGATGAAGCTGAATGTTGGAAGATTCAGGACAGATAAAAGGAACTTCTTTATGCAGCGCAACGTTAAACTGTGGAACTCACTCCCACAAGAGGCAGAGATGGGCACCAATTTGGATGGCTTTGAAAGGGGATTTGGCAAGATCATTAAGGAGAGGGCTGTCATTTGCTAAAAGCCACAATGGCTGTGCTCTGCCTCCACAGAGGCAGCAATGCCTATGAATGCAGAGGGGGAGGTCTCTTGTGCTTGGATTCTGCTTGCTGAGTGACAGTTTGGCCACTGTGAGAGCAGGATACTGGACTAGATGTGCCATTGGCCTGATCCAGCAGGCTCTTCTGATGTTCAAAAATGGAGATCCAATGCAAAAAAAGCCAGAAACTCTAATCGACATACGTTATCAAGTATAATCTCACAACAAAATACAAAGTGTAGGTCAAATGCAGCGCAAAAGAAAAAGATCAAGCAATATACTGTACCAGGCAAAAGGCAAAGGCAAAAACCAAATAAGTGCTCATTCACACTTTAACTTGACCCATATTTTGATTGGATTGTGTATCGATTAATTCCACTGCGTCTGAGAGCTTTTATCGCCGTTCCACTGCTGTGCCTTATGAAAATCAGATCTTACCTGCTGAATCAGATCTCATCAGATGCGTGGAAAAAACTGGAGAGAGATTTTGCTTACTGAGCTTCTGATTCAGCGGGTAAGATTGAATTTCCACAAGGCACAGCTGCAGAACATTGAGGAAAGCTTCTGGACTCGGGGGGATTAATTGGGATACAAGGCGATCAAAATACGGAGCAAGCAAAAGTGTGGATGAGCCCTAAATCTCAGAATGCTAGGACTGTAGAGTTGGAAGGGGCCTGAAGGTCATCTAGCCCAACCCCCTGCAATGCAGCGAATAAAAAGCAGATGCTGTACAAAATAATAAAAATAAAACAGTGTACAGGAATATTAACAATAACCTTTCCAAATAGCACTATGCTCTCAATTCTTATGTTCTTCTGCTCCTTACTCTTAGGTTTGTATGCTCCTGCTAAATCCCAGGAAACCCAGAATAGCCATTGTTTGGTAGCCAGGCATGGGTTAAACCCAGCCGGCTCTGCTATTGGCTCCCCTCTCTCCCTGCTTAGAGTTTGAGCTGGGAAGTTCCGCAAGGGTGATGTAATGGGGTGGCCCCCCTGCAGGTGACGTCAGTCATTGCTGCTTTGGCATTCCCCTCCTCACTCTGGAAATGAGGTGGCGAGGAGAGGAGGGGGCTGAGCAGCAATGATGCAATGGAGCCTCATCACACAAGCCAGAGACACATGGACCAACTCAATCTCCCCCTCTGGCAGGAGCGTTTCTTTCATGGGGCTGGGATGGAGAGTCCGGGAAGACCCTCTCTGCCTGGGGCCACTGGGAGGGATCAAGGGGTGCAGGAGGGTCGCTGCTGGCTTGTGATGGAGCCCCCAAATGCCAGCCGATTCCTGGCACGTTCACACCATGAAAGAGGGTGCATAAGAATATAGCCCTCTCCCCTCCTGGGGTTTCCAGCAACTGCTATTCAGAAGCATTGCCGCCTCTCACCAGAGCACAGCCACCCTGGCTAGTAGCCATGGAGAGCCCCCTCCTCCTCCTCCATTGATTTGTCTAATCCTCTTTTAAAGCCATCTGGGGTCGCTGCCTCCGTGAGGTCAGCCGGGGTGGCACCCGCAGCGTGCAAGGCTATTGTGTAGAACACCTGCTAGGTGGCGCCATCCTTCTGCAGGTGCTTTGTGCTAGGAGAGGTGTGTAAGTAACTTCATCAGTGAACACGGAGGCTTATAGCAAAAGGCTGGTCCCCTCAGGGTAGTTTCTGCCCTTGGGGAGGGTGCAATTGCAGGCTTCTTCTACCGGAAGAGAGAGGGAGGGAGGGAGAGAGAGAGCTTCGCACGACAGCTTGCCCGATGCCTCCTGTCACGTAAATCCATTGCACCAGCGGCAGGCTGAGTCACACTGAATACCTTTCCGCAGAAACTCCTGCTGCAGGCTCACCGCTCCCAGGGTTCGTACTTGGTTGGCCAGCCGGCGAGGCAGCCACAAGGAGGCAGGCCTCAGACAATGGGAACCGTGGCTGGCCTAGGTGGCGCTGATGCAAGCAAAGACCTCCCTCTGCCTCCCCAAATGATCTGGACATGGAAATTAACTGCACTGTAAGAAGGTGGCAGATTAGTAAATCAAGGCAGGTGTTTTCCCAGAGAGTGGCCAGTCCAGAAGCCTTTTCTTCTTCCTCCTCCATATTCTGGAAAGTTTCATTTCTAAATCTCGGCATGCTTGCAAAGCACAGATGTATGTGTGCACCCTAAGTTTGGGAGGTGCACCTTTTTATTGCCAGTGACACCTGTAGTTTTGTTTTTTTTAATTGTCAGAGGCAGTGGGGTGTAGTGGTTTGAGCGCTGGACTATGATCTTGGAGACCAGTGTTCTAATCCCCACTTGGTCAGGAAGCTCACTGGGTGACCTTGTGGGACAGTCATGCTCTCTCTCAGCCTAACCTACCTCACAGGGTTGTTGTGGGAGTTGACTGAGGAGGGGGAGAACCATGTACTCCACCTTTGTAGAGTGTTCAGCTAACTCCACCTCTTGCCAACCTGGGCCTTCCAGCTGTTTCAAAGGACAGTATGTTCATCCCCTGGTTCCGCTGCTGATGGGAGTTGTAGTCCATAACAGCTGGAAGGACCTAGGTTGGCCAAAGCGTTGGCATAACTATGTGATTGCCCAATGCTGGTCTCCTGCATGAGAGTCATCACTGCTCAACTCAGTGGGCCTTACTTCCAAGTAAAGAGATGTAGGGTGGCGCGGTTCTGTAAATCTGGCCGGATGGTTGTGATCCAACTGAGTTCTACTTGAATTGGTCCCATCAAAAGCAATGGGCCTAAGTTAAATATACTCTTTTATTTCAGTGCGTCTGTTTTGAGTCTATTTTGCGTGGGACTAGTGTTGGACACAACATATGTCATATTTCATGTGGAAGGTGCTGAGGCTTACCCTTTTCAGAACAATTATAATTAAATACTTTCCCTGATAATTAAAAGACCTGCTGCTGTAGGAGGTAATAGAAAGAAAACCTGTGTCACCAGGCTAATAAAATGATTCACACACAAAAAGGTCACAACTCACTATGCAGAACCTGGGGTCCTGGGTTCAAATCACAGCCGTTCTAGAGGATCTCAGCTTGACTTTGGAGACTAGCTGCTGGTCAGGGAAGAGGACCTTTGGGGCTAGATCAATCCAGTTCTGATTCCCTGGAGAAGTCCCCAGGGCAAGTCGGGTCAGTTGTTTCAGAACCACGGAGAGCTCCTCATGAGCAAGTTGCTCCATCAGGGTTGGATGGGAACCAGGGCCTCAGCTCAGTTGGCATTAAAAGAGAACTAGTAGACAAATTCCTGGAGGATACCACTATCATAAATGGGGAGAGTTTCTGTCATGCTTTGGGGCTTCCCATAAGCATTCGGCTGGCCCCTGTGGGAATAAGATGCTGGACTGGAAAGGTCCATGACCTGATGCATCGCAGGGGGTTCAGCTTTGGGCCCCTCCTGATTCTGTGATCCGGCAGGGCTCTTTTCACACTCTTAGACCATCCTTCAGATTTGCAGGATTTATGAGTAAACCTTAGGAGCAAGGTTGCCGATAGCAGCCTTTCTGCTCAGTTGAAGGGTGATAGTGGGTCCCCAGGGATGCCTGCTTGGCTGCCCTGATCCACCAGAAGCAGCGGGGAGGACAAGCCGGGAGGGACATTTGACACCCAAATGTAAACGGAGTGCTCAAGGACAAAAGGAGCGTTGCAGACAGAGGCAAAACCAGCCTTTGCAGGTGGCCACTTTTCAGGAGACACCTGAGCCCAGCTTCTCCCTTTTCAGATTGGCATCTCCAAACCGAGAATGAATCAGAGAGCAGCTAAAAGGAGACGCAGTGGGAAATGCCCTTGGGATAACTGGGGGACTTTGCCAGAAGCAGAGGCTGTTTGAGAATACAAGAGCCTGCTAGGTTACGCTAGTGGCCCATCTAGTCCAGCATCCCATTCTCCCAGATGCCTCTTTGGGGAAACCTGCAAGCAGGACCCGAGAAAAAGGTCAGGATTGGAATATAATTAATAATGATGCAATTAGCTGCTGATTAAAAGGGGGTCCTGGTAGAAAAATGAAAGTGCACTGAGAGCTCTGTCCGTGTTGGAATAAGGTGGGACCCAGGATGGTTAGACTGGGAAGGTTTGGGAAGTTGGCACACCCTTCATCTGTCCTGAAGTGGGATCTGGGCCTCCTCCCAGGGCTGGGTCTAAGGCTGCCCTTGTGGAGGTGCCAGTAAGGGGGGTTTCTGTAGCTTGTTGCTGATCCCATGCCACAATGGCGTGAGAACACATGCAGTAGCTTTGCAACCTGTCAGACCCAAACAGGAAGTGAATCTGTCCCATCACTTCCTCCTTTCCTCAGGGGAAATCCCCACCAGCCGTTAGCTCAGCCCTGCCTGGTTCCTCCCATGCAAAATGTACATAAGGAACGATTGGAACCCCACATTTTTTATCCTCATCCCTGGCATCTAGACTGCCCCTGACTCTGTAAGTCTTGTTTAGCCACCAACCATACACACAGACACTCCAATCCCCTTCTCTCCCATTAATCTGTAGGATCCCCATTTGGAGTCTCTTCAAGGACTGCCCCCACCTCTTGTGGCAGGGAGTTCCACCGGTGAATTCCTGCACTGCAGGGGATTGGACTAGAAGGCCCTTGGGGATCCCTTACAACTCTGTGTGTTTCATGCTGCATGTGAAGAAGCATTTGCTTTTGCCCACCCTGGATCTCTGCTGTCCTGCTGCCAGCTTGGGGGATCTTTGAGATTTCTAGCTGACCACGGTCTGAAAAAGGCGCGGGGTGAGATGGTGCGTTTGCGCACACACACGTACACACACCTCAGTCTCCCAGAAGTCTAGAACTGAGCACCCCAAAGGAACATACAAATCATAGAATAGTAGAGTCTGAAGGGATCCCAAGAGTCATGTAGTCAGAACATTGGCCCATCCATCTCAGTGTTGCCTGCACTGATGGGACAGCAGCTCTCCATGGTTCCAGACTGAGCTGCAGTCAAGCGTAGGTCAGCAATAAAACACCCAGTGTCAGTGAAGTTAACTCTCTATTCATAGCAAGCAAAATATCACAGGCCTTGTAATCCCACCAACTCCTCCCAGTAGGTCTTCCCCAATGAGGCAGTTGCGAGGACTGAAGGTCCCCACCTTCCCCACAGCTGCCTAAGTCCACTCCTCTCCAGGGTTTTCCCCCCAAGCAATCAGAGACTGAGACTGCGCCTGCGCACAACCAATCTCTGCTCTGCTCTTTTCATGCCTCCGTGTGTTCTAGGAGACCCACGGGGAGGGGAGCTGGTCGCAGCAGGAGGGGGAGACTCCCTGGCTTCCTCACCAGCCTGCCTCATCTCTGCCTCTTGGCCCTCCTCCTCTCCAGCCTCCGCTTCTACCTCTGCCTCTGAACCCCTCTGCCACAGTCTCTTCTTGCTCACTAAACCTGTTGCCTCTTCAGCTTCTGACACCTTCTCCTCCCAGTCTGCTTCCTTTTCTCTTTCCAGCCTCTCATGGTCACCCCACCACTAATACCCTGGCTCTGAGCCTTCTTCCCTGGGGGTTCCCTTGGGGGGGTTCCCTAGCTGGTGCCTCCCACCACTCCTCTGCCTCCAACAGGGAATATTCCCAGCCCTGCCTTGTAGATGCCAGGGATTGAACCTGGGACCTTCTGCATGCAAGGCAGAATCATTGCCACAGAGAAGCTCATCCCTCTCACCATCAGAAAAACCCAGCTGTCCCCAGTAATAGCTGGTCCTTGAAGGCAGACAGTTTGCTCTGCCTGCAATCAGCTCTGGCACCCCCTGCTGTTGGGTTCCCTTCCTTTTACCCTATCCTGTCTCAATGGGTTCCAGCCACCATCACGTCTGACCTTCTGGTGTAAGGAAAGTTCTTACAGTATTTGGACATATGATTTTGGGTGAGTTTTGCCTCCTCATTGTTGGGGAACTCACCCAGAAAAGTGTCACAGTTCTTTTGCAAGCCAGGAAATGACTTTGACGGAGGTTCATAAGGGTGGAAAGTAGAGTTGCTTCCCTAAACGTTCAGTTTCAGAGATGGAAACAACGGGTGGCATGTTCAATGCCTAATCATATAAAAAGTGTCTGGAGGGTCTAATCCCTGTGGAAATCTCAAATTATGCATTATTTTCTCCATTATTCCAGTGTGAGAGGTACCAAACCTCCAGTGTAAGATTTGGGGCCATTTTCCATTGAGTTGCAGTTACTGTTTGAGCTGCCAAGATAATATATAAGACCAATTATTTAATTTTGGACAATAAACCATGGTTTATTTAGGAATAACCATCTATCAAAATTTCAAAAAAACCCACAAAAAACTTGCACCAATTTACAGCACCACTATAAATGATATGTACCAAGTTTATTGCAACCTCCCCAACAATTAAGTGATATAGAAGAAAGTGTTTTTGATATCTGCCAAGGAGAGTAATACCTTCTGTGACAGCTGTGTTTGACCTCTATGTTTGACCTCTGTTGTCTCTGAATGCCCATTGCTGGAAATTGCAAGTTGGCATAGTGTTGCTATTGCACCCAGGTCCTGCTTTTGGATCTCTCGTTCAGGCATCTGGCTGGTCATATTGCTGAACTATGATGGGCCCAATCCTCTGGATGTTGTAATGAGCCCAAGGATCACGCCAGCAGACAATAAGAGGATTCCCCTTTGTCCTAGTCAATTTAATGCTTTGAAAAACGTCTTGACCGTTATTTGACCAGCTGAGGCAATCGTTTCCTCAATCAGTCAAATGCCCAGCCTGAAATCCACGAGTCAAGCTTAGGGAGGGAGGGGGTTTATTTTATCTCTTGCCCTGATATCCTACCTTTCCAGCAAGGAACTCTAGGTTGTAATATACTGTATGGTTCTCCTCCCATCTCCACTGTATCCTTAAAACAGCCCTGAGAGGTTGGTTAGAGAGAGTATGGTTGGCTTAAGGTCATCCATGGCTGTCTGGATTTGAACCCTGGCCTCCCAGGTCCTAGTCCAACAACCTAACCACTGTGCCACGCTAGAAGGGTATTACAGTAACTCAATATTAAGTGGATCTGACCCAAAGGGACCATTTCAATCTTTCCCCTAACTTTTGGAAGGGCTGCTGTGCACACATTGCTTGGATGAGGGCAATGGCCGTCTGTTAAGATGCTTGAGGCTGAAGCTGCAGTTGGTGCAGAATGTTGCAGCGCGATTGCTGACAGGAGTAAGGCCTTGGCAGCATATAAAACCTGTGCTCCAAGAACTGCACTGCTTGCCAATTTGCTATTGGGCCAAGTTCAAAGTGTTAGTATATAAAGCTCTTAACAACCAGGGACCAGTTTACCTGTGAGATCGCCTTACCACATCTATATCCATTTGGCTGCTTTGATTTGCAGAACTGGCGTTGTTGCAAGTGCCACATAATACCAGACTCTCCCAGTGTCCTTATTTTCCAGGGACAGTCGCGGGTGTACAGAAGCCTTACCGGTTTCTGATGTGATCCTGGAATGTCCTGCTTTTCCTTAGGGTGTCCCTATTTTCATCGGGAAAATGTTGGAGGGTAGGGAGTTATGTGACCGCTGAACCGTGAAGATAAGTAACTACAGTCATACCTTGGTTTTCGAACAGCTTAGTTCCTGAACATTTTGGCTCCTGAATGTTGCAAACCCGGAAATGAGTGTTCCGGTTTGCGAACTATTTTTGGAACCCAAACATCTGACGAGGCTTCTGAGGCTTCTGATTGGCTACAGGAGCTTCCTGCAGCCAGAAGCTGCAATTTGGTTTTCAAACGGATTCTGTTTGACTTCCAAAGTATGACTGTATGCAACCTTTAGAAGACATCTGAAGGCAGCCCTGTATGGGGAAGTTTCTTAACGTTTAATATTTTATTATGTTTTTATATATGTTGGAAGCTGCCTAGAATGGCTGGGGCAACCCAGTCAGATGGGTGAGGTATAGATAATAAAATTATTATTATATTATTATATTATTATTATTCGTCGGTTGTTGTTGTTAAATAGGACATCCCTATTTTCATTGGAGAAGTGTTGGCGGTTATATAATATCCATTCTGCATTTGTAAGAAATCTATATCTTAGTGTGGCAGCACTTAAACTTTGGAACTCCCTGCCTCTTGAAACCAGGCAGGCGCCTTCAGTGTACCCTCTTCAGCACCTACTAAAAACATTATTGTTTGGGCAAGCCCATCCAGATGTTTAGAAAGTTGATGCAAGTCTCAATCTGTTTTTAGTCTATTGTTATTTTAACTTTTTGGGAGCCGTCATGGAATGAGTTAATAAATATGAGTCCCGGGGCCTGACGTCTCTCTCCCTCTTGCTGTCCTTGCAGGTGCTGCGAATGTGGGGCGTCCCTTTCCCACCAGTACTACGAGAAGGATGGACGCCTCTACTGCAAGAAGGACTATTGGGCGCACTTTGGGGAGCTCTGCCACGGCTGCTCAGAGCAGATCACCAAAGGGCTCGTTATGGTAAGAAAGGGGGTCCAGGAGAGAGCAGAGGGATCTCCTCTAGCCCAAATGCTTTGCTGAAATGAAGACATTCTGTGTCTTTGGCATCCTCATGATCTACCAAACCAGCCACTGCATCAAGAAAGGAGACAAGCTTCATCTGGCATGGCTTCCTCTTGAGAAATCCATACTAGCCTCTTAATATCAACACATTATTTTCTAGATGCTCCCAAACGGACTCCTTAACCGCCTGCCCTAGAATTTTGCCCAGTATAGCCATTGGCTCTTACACTGGCTCCCAGTATGTTTCTGAGCGCAATTCAAAGTGTTGGTGTTGACCTTTAAAGCCCTAAACGGCCTCGGCCCAGTATACTTGAAGGAGCGTCTCCACCCCCATCATTCTGCCCAGACACTGAGGTCCAGCACCGAGGGCCTTCTGGCGGTTCCCTCACTTTGAGAAGCAAAGCTACAGGGAACCAGGTAGAGGGCCTTTTCGGTAGTGGCGCCCGCCCTATGGAATACCCCCCCATCAGATGTCAAAGAGATAAACAACTACTTGACATTTAGAAGACCAGGGAAGTTTTTAATGTGTGACATTTTAATGTATTTCTAATCTTTGGCTGGGGAAACCCAGCCAGATGGGCAGGGTACAAATAAATTATTATTATTATTAGGCTTGCCTGCCTGAATTTCCCAGAGCTGTTTTCCTTTTCTGTTTTTGAAAAGCAAGGGCAATCCCATCCCACTCCTTTTGCCCATCTCCAATCTCCCGGCCCCTCACCTTCTCTCCAAAAATGCTCAAAAGAGGCTCTGAAATAACCCACTGCAAGCCCCTCTTTAGACTTCTTTGTTCCGCATTTCCCAGGCTGAACATAGTTCCCCTAGCAGAAGAAGACAGAGGCCAAAAAGGAACTGAGTGGTTCCTATTTCCTCCAAGTCACCTCTTAACTCAAACCACAGCCACCTGCACGTCACCTGGTGTCATAGTTCTGGGAATTAGGTCTTATGTTGTGTTCTGGGAGGGGGTCACATGCCCCCTATAGGATCAGACTTGCAGGGCTCCTGGATTCCAACATGTCACTGACAGTGAGCCCTTCCTGATATGTGCCTTTGCAGGTGCAGTTTGAATCCAGGCTCCCTATTGGTTCCTGTTGGTTTGTTTCAGAATTTATAAACCCCTCTCCATAGAACTAGAGAATCGGAAGAGATGTAAATATGTAAATACAGTGGTACCTCGGGTTACATACGCATCAGGTTACAGACTCCGCTAACCCAGAAATAGTACCTCGAGTTAAGAATTTTGCTTCAGGATGAGAACAGTAATCGTGCTCCGGCGGTGCAGCGGGAGGCCCCATTAGCTAAAGTAGTGCTTCAGGTTAAGAACAGTTTCAGGTTAAGAACGGACCTCCGGAACAAATTAAGTACTTAACCCGAGGTACCACTGTACACGACGTGTCTGTTTCCCTCCTAGGTTGCTGGAGAGCAAAAATATCACCCCGAATGTTTCAGCTGCCTGAACTGCCGGGCGTTCATCGGCGATGGAGACACCTATGCACTGGTGGAACGGTCCAAGCTCTACTGGTGAGAGGGGAGAACAGCTGGGCTCACTTGCGGGGGGGTGGCAGTGCTTGGGCAGGAAACAGGCAGAGACAACCAAAGGGACAGCTTTCATTATTGCAGGCTGCAACTGGAGATTTCAGGCTCCGCTGTGGAGCCTTGTCCCGTACGTATCATAAGAGCATCAGAAGAGCCTGGTGGATCAAGCCAATGGCCAAGCTAGTCTAGCCTCCTGCTCTTGTAGGGGCCAACCAGATGCCTCAAAGCAAAGCCTGAAAGCAGGATTGGAACACAAGAGCCCTCCCCCCTCCTTTGGCTTTGCTGCTTCCAGCTATGGAGGTGGCTAGTAACCATTGGTAGCCTCTCCTCTATGAATTTGTCTTGTCCTCTTTTAAAGCCAACTAGGTTGGTAGCTGTTCTGGGAAACAAGGGTCATTATGTAACTTGTAAACTGCGATGCAAAACAACACCGGTTCCTCCAGTTTAGCTAATTTACTGATCCAAGTATTTGTTTCTGGTAACATCAGTGCAGCTTGTTTTCTCTAGGCTGCAGTTTTGTTCTATTTCCAAAACTACTGGTACTGGGATATTTTACCAGAACACAGCAACCCTGTCAACATAGACAGCTTCTTGAACATTGAGGGCAGCTGGGGACAGTGTGGAATTAAATTACGTCTTCAAATAAAATGCGTATGGGTTATTATTATTATTTTTAATTGATTGATATTATTATTTCTAATAATTTCTGATAGGCTTTTTTTTTAACCGTTGTGACCTTAAGTGATCACATGAGATGTTATGAACCACTTTGGGCACAATTTTGTGGAAAAGTGGCATACAAATAAACAGAGGATGATGATGATGATGATGATGATGATGATAAGAGTTCAAAGGCACATTTCCAGCCAGGAAGAAACGCTCAAGGAGGGTGTGGGGGAACACCAAGGAGAGATTTGGCCTGGTGGGCAGGAGAATTGAAGAGTGCCAGGCAAAGAGGCCTGCTTTCCCTCACCCCGATCTAGAACCCTCATTCGGAGGAGACCTGTTGGAACATCTCAGGAGCCTCGAGTTACGCAATTCACTCCATTTCTCTTGGGACTTTCGGGGCTCGCTCACCGTTTGAGAACGACTTCCCTAGCACCTGACCCTTCTCCTCCTCCCTGCCACAGCGGACACTGTTATTACCAGATGGTGGTGACGCCAGTGATGGACCAGCTGCTCCCAGAATCCCCCGGCACCCGGATCCCACACACGGTCACCCTCGTCTCCATCCCGGCCTGTTCTGATGGCAAGAGGGGCTTCTCCGTCTCCATCGAGGCTCCACACGGAGGCTCAGAGCACCCACACACTGTCCGTGTCAGAGAGTAAGTACAGCCCACCAGGCGTCAGGCTCATGTCTTGCCCTTGTTCAGGTGATGTGGTTCACCTCAAGGAACTGCCCACACTCAGCCTCCACGGCCGCCTTATTCTGATCGTTCCAGTGAATAATAGCCAACACAACTTGAAATCAACCAAAGCTTCCCATTTCAAACAAAGTTTTAAATTTATTGTGTTTTCCTGTGAAATTTTACAGGCAGCATTTTGAAATTTGCATGTTCTTAGGCTTCACAGTGCCTGCTGATTTGTTGCGATTCTAGTAGGCTTCAGATGCGAAATCTCATATGCTGTCGGCTCTCAAACTCCAAATTACCATTGCATGTCAAATCCTAAATTACCATTGCATGTCAAATACCAGATTACCATTCCATGCTGTCTTGTCTAATGCATTTGTGTGGCCCTCTCCAGACACTGTGGAATTCTGAATAATGTAATACGGCTGTTACAAAATTTTGGATACCATGATTTGCCATCTTTCAAATGATATCAAATATTATCAGGTGTTTTTGGTTAACATGCTTTATTCTTGTGTATTACTACATGCATATCCCATCAATTCCTCCAAGGAGCTCTAGGGGGCAGCCATGGGTCTCCTGCTCCCAATTTTATCCTCAGAAGAACCTTGTGAGGTGGATTAGGCTGAGAGACAGTGCCTGGTCCAAAGTCACTCAATGAGCTTCATTGCTAAGAGGAGATTCAAGCACTGGTTCCCCAGATCCTAGCCTGACATTCTAAGCACCACACTGCGCTTAATATTTGAAATATCCATTGGATGTCAAGTGAAATTGGAGCTCGAGGCTCCAGCAGCGTGTGTGGTTCCCCTGTACAGGGTGCTGAGCCAAGAGGGCACAAAACAACAACAACAACAACAACAATAATATCACCTTTATTTATATGGGTATCTGCTGAGAAGAACAAGGGACGCGGGTGGCGCTGTGGGTTAAACCACAGAGCCTAGGGCTTGCCAATCGGAAGGTTGGCAGTTCGAATCCCCGCGACAGGGTGAGCTCCCATTGCTCGGTCCCTGCTCCTGCCAACCTAGCAGTTCGAAAGCACGTCAAAGTGCAAGTAGATAAATAGGTACCGCTCCGGCGGGAAGGTAAACGGCGTTTCTGTGCACTGCTCTGGTTCACCAGAAGCGGCTTAGTCATGCTGGCCACATGACCCGGAAGCTGTACGCCGACTCCCTCGGCCAATAAAGCGAGATGAGTGCCGCAACCCCAGAGTCGGTCATGACTGGACCTAATGGTCAGGGGTCCCTTTACCTTTACCTTACTGAGAAGATCCATTAAAAAAAAACAACTGCACCAAAAGGAATTATTGTGAAAATATGAAATATTTAGAGAGGAGCAAATTTTGTCCTCTCTCAGGCTACCATATTACCAAAGTCCACCCTGGCTTCAGCCTGGTCAACTGTAAATAAGAGATTGATGCATTGTGACATTGTGGTCCTGCTTTTTCCTCCGCTAGGAATTCTGGAGTCTGGTTTGCTCCTCTGGGACTTGGGTTTGAGGGGGTGCCCCATATGCCAGCTTGGAATAATAACCCTTTTCTTGCCTCCCTCTCCAACACCCTGGAAACAGATTGAACCCCGACTGCATAAGTCCTGACATGAAGAACTCCATCCACGTCGGCGACCGCATCCTGGAGATCAATGGCACGCCGATCCGGCATGTCCCCCTAGACGAGGTGATGTACTGGGGGGTTCTTTCTCCTCCATGCTTTTGAGAAAGTAACTGCTGGATCCCATGCCTTTCCGGGAAACATCTGGGCTCCCCATAAGAACATCAGAAGAGGCCCTTGGCCCAGCTAGTCCAGCATCCTGATATCACCGGGGCCAGTTATCCCTAGGTATCTAGATAGACTGCCTCTGGACCTGGAGGTTCCATGAGAAGAACCTGGCTGGTGGATTCAGACCCAAAGAAGCCCGTCTAGTCCAGCATCCTGTCTTTGCAGTGGCCAGCCAGATGCCCTAAGGGGAAGCCCAAAAGCAGGATTTGAACACCAGAGCCCTCTTCCCTCCTGCCATTTCCAGTAACTGGTATGGAGAAGCATTACTGCCTCTGACTGTGGAGGCAGAGCATAGCCATCCTGGCTATCAGCCCTCAGTAGCCCTCTCCTCTTTCATGGATTTGTCTAATCCTCTTTTAAAACCATCTAGGTCCCGGGCCCTAAGGAAGTTAGATTAGCTTCAACCAGAGCCAGGGCCTTTTCAACACTGGCTCCGGCCTGGTGGAACGCTCTGCCTCATGAGACCAGGGCCCTGCAGGATCTGATTTCTTTCCGCAGGGCCTGTAAGACAGAGTTGTTCCGCCTGGCCTTTGGCTTGGAGCCAATTTGATTCCCTCCCCCTCTTTCTTTTTCCTTTCTCCTCCTGTGATGAGGCTGCATTTTAATATTTTAATGTTTCAATATTTTAATGTTGTGTTTTAATCTTGTTTTTAAGTTGTATCCATTCAACTTGTTTTTATTATTGCTTGTTAGCTGCCCTGAGCCCGGCCTTGGCTGGGGAGGGCAGGGTATAAATAAAAATTATTATTATTATTATTATTATTATTATTATTAGGTTAGTGGCCATCACTGCCCCCGGTGGCAGGGAGTTCCACAGTTTAACTCTGCACTGCGCAAAGAAGTCACTTATTCACTCCAACCTGGCCTGCCTTACTGTCTCCGCTCTGCAGATTGACCTGCTGATCCAAGAGACCAGCCGCCTGCTGCAGCTCACCATCGAGCACGACCCGCACGACATGCTGGAGAGCAGTGGCGGCAGCCCCCTCTCGGAGCTGCGAAGCCCCCTCCGCTCCCCCAGCCGCACCCCCTGCCCAGAACCGTCCGCCATCCGCCAGCGCTCCGTCATGTAAGGCTAAGCTGCCAGCCCTAAATTGGGGGGGGGGGGGTTATGCCTGTAGCCCCCCACTGGAGCAACGATGGGTCAGGGATGGTGGGAGTTTAGCAAACCAGGGGGGCACCAGGTTGGGGGACGCTGGAGGCAGGGTTGTACATGCTCCTTTTTCATCTTTTTTTTCAAAATGTGTACACTGCTTGGTTGTAAAAAGAAATGCGCAAAACAATTTACGAAGAATGTAAAACAATCAAATTATCAGCAATAATAGTTTTTTTAAAAAAATAATTTTACTTATAAGCTTTTACAAGATATACAAAAAAATCAAAAATTTGAAACACCACCAATCTTTCATATATCATATATCATAAGGCAAACTCGTAGGTAAGCTGTTCCTAAAGTGTTACGGGCTTTGTATACTAACAGTAACACGATGAAATTGGCCCAGTAGCAAATCAGCAACTAGTGTGGATCTCTGAGCACAGGTGTTACATGTTGGCAAGGCCTCGCTCCTGTCAGCAATCATGCTGCAGCATTCTGCACTATCTTCAGCTTCCGGATCAGGTGCCAGGAAGCCCCACATAGAGCACATGGCGGTAATCTAGTCTTGGGTAACCGGTGCATGAACTGCAATTCCCAGCTGTGTTGCCCAGAAAACTTTGAGAAAAAACATGCTTCAAACATGCTCTGAAGGTACAGTGCCAAAGCGGTTGGGTGGGCGCAATTGGGGTGATCTTGTAGGTAAACAGGTCCCACATTTCCCCTTTCAAGAGGGCAGGTGTGACCTCTCTCTCTCTTGCCTTGATCCTCCTAGGCGAAGCTGCAGCATCGACAAATCTCCCTGCTCCAGTTCCCTGGGCTCCCCTGCCTCGCAGCGGAAGGACATTGGGCGCTCCGAGTCTCTCCGAGTCGTCTCGCGGCTCCACCGCATCTTCCGCCCCTCGGATCTCATCCACGGCGAGGTCTTGGGCAAGGGCTGCTTTGGGCAGGCAATCAAGGTACCAGTGTGCCCGCTCTGCCTTTCCCCAGCTGGGCCTTGCCCATGGCTCGATCACACCAACCCCGGGCAACTCACTCATTCTCCCCTGGCTTCCTCGCTGGCCCAAATAGGACTACAGTGGTGCCTCGCAAGACGAAATTAATCCGTTCCGCGAGTGTCTTCGTCTAGCGGTTTTTTCGTCTTGCGAAGCAACCCTATTAGCGGCTTAACGGATTAGCGCTATTAGCGGTTTAGCGGCTATTAAAGGCTTAGCAGCTTAGATAAAGGGGGGGAAAAGCGAAAAAAAAATCTCAAGACTCGCAAGACATTTTCGTCTTGCGAAGCAAGCCCATAGGGAAATTCGTCCTGCGAAGCAACTCAAAAACGGAAAACCCTTTCGTCTAGCGGGTTTTCCGTCTTGCGAGGCATTCGTCTTGCGAAGCAAGCCCATAGGGAAATTCGTCCTGCGAAGCAACTCAAAAACGGAAAACCCTTTCGTCTAGCGGGTTTTCCGTCTTGCGAGGCATTCGTCTTGCGGGGCACCACTGTAATTTAGCCAGCTAGCCCTGGTGATCATCTAATGTTTATTGGATGGATTTCCCCCCTAAATTGATTTTGAATTTATTGTTATTCACATTTTATACTGTATTTTATGCTGTTTTTTGTTGCATCCATTACGTGTTTTAAATTTGTTGTTAGCCTCCCTGAGCCCAGTTTTCTGAACCGGGAAGGGCGGGGTATAAATAAATTATTATTATTATTATTATTTATTACTGATGATGAACATGCTGTGACATCACTCTGGGATGCTCGCACAAGATCTCGTGGAGCCATCTGAACTCCTGTGAGATCTCGTGTGAGCATCCCCAGCCTTCCAGATCCCACATGATGAGCCCACCTTGCCCCCCACCCCCCAAGCAAGGCAGAGAGTTTAAAAGCTCTTTTCGTGCTGTTTCTGCTTGGCTACCTGGCACAAAATGAGCTTTTAAGTTGTCTGCCTTGTTGCGGTTGGGCAATGCCCATTTAGTGCTCCAGCTGAACGGAGGAGTCTCTTCCCCTTCCCCGCTAGCTTTGGGGTGGCTCCAAAGATTTGGGTATGCACGATTTTCGTGCATTTGTGGAACCCATGGAACTGAACCCCTGCATGAGATGCGCTAATACTGTTAATGATGTTTTAAAGATTTGAGCTTCCTTTCTGGGCATGAAGAGTGGGCAGGGCTGGATTTAGGTTTGATGAGACCCTAAGCTACTGAAGGTAATGGGGCCCTTTATATGTCCAGCTGTCCTTTGTCAACAACAAATTGTCGCTGGTTTTTGTGTGTGTTGAATATATGCTATATGGTGATTTATGGACCTAATAGGTATCTAAAGCCATTCACACATATCAAATAGGAGCCTACACAACACAAAACACTGTTACTGTATGTAGGTTTTATTTTATCTGTTTTTTTATCTTATATTTTGGAAATGTACATCCAGTTTTTCCCCCTTTAAATTTTTTGGGGGCCCCAAGAGAGTGGGGTCCTATAGCTTGTTTAGCTTATATGTAAATCTGGCACTGAGAGTGGACCACAAAACTAAAGAAATAAATGCATCCTTTGGCAGGTGACGCACCGGGAAACGGGAGAAGTGATGGTCATGAAGGAACTGATCCGCTTTGATGAGGAGACCCAAAGAACATTCCTTAAGGAGGTAGGTCTAACCTAAGTATATTCCAGTAGCTGTGGAGTCCCCTCAAAATACCCTACTCTGTTTTTCCCTTGATAGCTACCATAGAGTCATAGAATCATAGCATTGTCAAGTTGGAAGGGATCCCAAGGTATTCTAGTCCAGCCCCTGCAATGCAGGAATCATAGCTAGAGAATCGCTGGCAGATGCCCATCCAACCTCTGTTTAAAAACCTCCAATGAAGGAGAGTCCACCACCTTCCAAAATGTCCTTTCCTCTGTCAAACTGCTCTTACACTCAGAAGGTTCTTCTTAAGGTTTAGTCGGAATCTCCTTCCTTGTAACTTGATTCCATTGGTTCAAGTCCTCCCCTCTGGAACAGCAGAAAACAAGCTAGCTCCATCTTCCATCTCTCTCACGGATTGCCTGTATGTTGGCAATCCATGGCTGGTCCTTCCCTTTCAGAATGTTGGAGGGCATCCCTTCTGTGAAGTCACAGAAATCCAACCAATTGGAGCCGGTATGTTGGCATTCCCTGGCTGGCCCTTCCCTTTTAGAATGTTGGAGGGCATCCCTTCTGTGAAGTCACAGAAATCCAACCAATTGCTTGGGAGAAGCCCTAATACAGTCTGAATAAATCTGCTAGGCTGCCTCTCCCCACCCACCCTGACTGCTTCTGGCCCAAGATAAATTCTTGGATAAGCTCTGCCACTCCATCTTGGCCTGGTGGCTGACCCCCTTGTGGTTCTCTTCCGCCCTCCCTCCCCCAGGTGAAAGTGATGCGATGCCTGGAGCACCCCAACGTGCTGCGGTTCATCGGGGTTCTCTACAAGGACAAGCGGCTGAACTTCATCACGGAGTACATCAAGGGAGGGACGCTCCGTGGGATCATCAAGAACATGGTGAGGGCATCGGCAGAGATTACAACCTAGGTGACTCGGGGGCTTGGGAGACCCTCGTTTACACAACACAGGGGTTGGTTTCTGCCTCCGCCATCCCACCTGCCACCAGCTCAAATAAGAAGGTTACAGCCTCACCTAATTTTGCTAAAATATAATTCCATAGAATTTTAGAGTTGGAAGGGATCCCAAGGGTCATCTATTCCAACCCCCTGCAATGCAGGGATCATGGCTGAATTTGACAAATGGCAGGAGGGGATGCATTCACAACCCACCAAGTGTTTGTGAACTGCCCTGGGGTTTTCTAAATTAAAAGCAGTGCATAGAAAATATCATTTATTTCATTTATGGAGCAATCCCCGTGAGGCATCCCAAAGCAACTTGCAATATCCTTTGCCATTTACAAGCCCACGATGATTATCCCAACTGCCCGGCTGTCTTTGCTCCTCTGCCCAGAAAGCGGGGTGCCCCCTCACCACCTACATCTCTGCTTTCAGGATGGTCAGTATCCCTGGAGCCAGAGGGTCAGCTTTGCGAAAGACATTGCTGCAGGGATGGTGAGTACACAGGGGAATCAGCCACCTTCCTGCAATGCAGTGCGACAAGGTGCTATGTGAGGTTCGGGAGTGAACAAAGCCATCACAATTTCCTCTGGGGAGATATATTTTCCTGGTTTGGACCAGGGCATTCAGAACATAACTGGAGGCATCCCTGGAGCTGTCGATCCAGAAGAGCTTCACTGTCCAGAGGCAGTGTACCTCTGGGTGCCAAGTGCCTTTAGCAGGGGGAAAGCCAAGAATTAAACATAAAATTATGATAGAAATAAAAGAAAGAGGAGGCTTTGCCCTGCCAGACCTGCAAATGTATTATGAGGCAGCCTGTTTGTGTTGGTTAAAAGAATGGATTACATTGGATAATGCAGACACTTAGAAGGTCATGACTTAAAATTTGGCTGGCATGCATGTCTTTGGTGTAGGAAGGAGAAAATTTATGAAACTTTTATGAAGCATATTCTTAGGAAGAATCAGTATAGAGTTTGGGAAAAATATAAAAATCTGCTGAAAAGGAAAACATCTTTAAAGTCTTCTGAAAAGAAGCATGGCAAAAAATCTAACTTGTCTCCCCTCCCCTGCCACTTCCAGGCTTATCTGCACTCCATGAACATCATCCACAGAGACCTGAACACGCACAACTGTCTGGTGCGGGAGGTGAGTTGTTGCGGTACCAGGTCCGGTGCAGCAGGGAGGGTCTTGCACTTCCTCTGTCAATGACTGAGGATCTTGAAGCTGCCATGTGGCTGATGAAGGCCATTTCTCTCCTCGGACAGAACAAAAGTGTGGTAGTGGCCGATTTTGGCCTTGCAAGGCTGATGGTCGATGAGAAGAACCAGCTGGCCACTCTGAAGAAACCAGACCGCAGGAAGAGGTACACGGTGGTGGGAAATCCCTACTGGATGGCTCCGGAAATGATCAACGGTGAGTGGGGCAGAGGGAGGGCGAGTGGGGACATTGCCAGGGCTTCCTTGCTTGGCGTTCAGCATCCAGAGCAAGGGAAGGTTCATGGGAACAAGGGAAACTGCCTTACTTCGAGTCAGACCGTTGCTCCATCTTGGTCAGTGTTGTCTACACTGACTGGCAGCAGCTCTCTGGGGTTTCAGAGGGGACATTCCCAACGCTGTTGTGGGTCGACCCCGGGCCCTTCTGCATGCCAAGCAGGTGCAAACAGTCGGATCCCCATGGTTCCACATGCAGGAGGCAGCCTTACGCTGAGTCCAACTATTGGTCCGCCTTGCTCAGTGTTGCATGCACTGACTGGCAGCAGCGGACCTCCAGGGTTTCAGGCTCAGGGGTCTTTCCCAATCCTCCCTGGTGATGTCACTGGGGATGGAACCTTCTGCATGCCACTGAGCTATGGCCCTTCCTGTCAGGGTTTGGCTGGATGACAAGCGGTGCAGGGGGCGGGGTCTTCAGACGAGGGACTCCCTAGAGAAGCCACAGAGGAAGAAGGCGCCGACTCAGGGGAGTGGTGGTGGGACACAGGAGGCAGATCAGAGGAGGGAGGAAGCCGGGAGGTGGAAGAAACAGGCAGCTTGGGTGAACAAAGAGAGCCAGAGGCAGGAATCCCTCCAAGGACAGGAAAAGGGACATACATTTTAAACTGCATTTTAACCTGTATTTTATTTTATTTTTTCTTATTATGTTTTCACTGAAATTTTATTGGTGTTAGCCGCCCTGAGCCCAGGGAGGGCAGGGTATAAATACAATATTATTATTATTAATATTATTATTATTATTATTATTATTATTATTATGCTTCAAGCTCTGGATCGGAATAAGAGTTCAGGGAGGGGTCAGAAACTGCAAGAGCTTATTCACAGCAGCTGCCCAGTCCCTCTGCCTTGAGCTCCCCTCACCCTTTGATTCCAAGATCACGCAGAGCGTTACACATAGCCAAATGGAGAGCTAGGAAAGCCCAAGGCAGGGGTTCCCTCCTCCTCCCCAACGGAGTTTGCATCTGCTTGGGAGACGTCCGGAAGAGGAAAGCTAGGAAGAAGAAGAGGTGCAACATTTTCAGTGAGGGCAGCCCTGCCTGAGTGATCTCTGTTGCATGCAAATTTCCCGAATGAAGCAGCTGACTTGACTTTGAGTCTCTCTCCTGACCTGTTGATAAACCTGCTCCCCCTGACAGCCCCCTGACACTTGCCTTGTAAAGTGGGGAGCAGTTGACGGCGTTCTCCCAGGCGCCCTCTGTGACCGGGCTGAACAATCCGGTTTGAGCTGCACTTTTGGGAAGATGTCTCCCACAAGGGTTGTGCCCCTGTGGCCCAGGTGAAATGGCTCTTTCTTTGGCACGGAGGAGCACCAGGGTCTGCAGGCAGCACCATGTGGGCAGAGAAATGGGTTGCTGAGAGAGCGCTTGTAAGCCTGATGCCTGGGTAATGGATGCCTCTCTCCTTGTGCAGGCAGGAGCTACGACGAGAAGGTGGACGTGTTTTCCTTCGGCATCATCCTTTGCGAGGCAAGTAGGCTTGGCTGCACCGGCTGCTACTCCCAACTTTCCCAAACCATGCCCTTTTTGCCTGCCGATTTAATCACTTGGAATTTTAGCCATGCACCTTTTTCTCTGAAGCGTGCGTGGCATGGAGAGAGGGAATAGAGAAAAGCTTTTTCCAGTTGACACTTGAACATCCAAGGAAGCTGAATAATGAAAGGTTCAGGACTTTCAGAAACTATTTGGAAGCCTTGCTGCCTCAAACTGTGGAAGCAGAGCATAGCCATCTTGGCTAGTGGCCATTGCTAGCCCTCTCCTCCTCCATGAATGTATTAAGCCCTCTTTTAAAGCCATCCAACTTATGGCCATCACTGCCTCCTGTGGCAGGGAGTTCCACAGTTTAACTAGAAAGGCGTTTCTTTTATCTGTCCTGAATATGGCTGCGAGTTCTAGTGTTAGGGTCCCTCTTACGCTGGGCTCTGGGTTCTAATCCTTTTTTAATTAATTTTCCAAATTTGTAACAGAAATAACATACAAAACACACTAAAGAAAACACATTACAATACAAAAAAGAAGAAGAAAAGACAAATAAAAACACTTATTACTTATAACCTAATTTAACTTTCATTGTTAACTGACTTCCTCAGATCCCCCCTAACTGAATTTCATTGTATCACCTTGTAACAGATCTCCAAAATCATATTTCTTTTAAACTTAACTCCTTCAATTTACTATCCTCTTCTCTTTTATTAGTATTCTTATCCTTAATTCTTTACAATCCATTCTTAATCTAGTCCTAAGCCTATTTGATACTTCCAAGTGATTTCTAATTATCTTAAGTTACAATATTTGGCTAAATATTCTTTGAATTTCTTCCAATCTTCTTGGTATTCCTCTTCCTTCTGGTCGCGGATTCTTCCACTCAGGTTGGCCAGCTCCAAAAAGTCCAACATCTTCACCTGCCATTCTTCTACTGTTGGTATCTCTTGCGATTTCCAATTTTTGTCTGGGTTCTAATCCTGGATGAGCCCCCAATGCAGGGAGACACTTCTAACACCTCCTTCCTCTCCATTGCACACAGATCATCGGGAGGGTCAGTGCGGACCCCGACTACCTGCCTCGGACCCTGGACTTCGGCCTGAATGTGAGGGGCTTCTTGGACCGCTACTGCCCTCCCAACTGCCCCCCAAGCTTTTTCCCCATTGCCGTCCGCTGCTGCGATCTGGATCACGAGAAACGGTGAGCGGCGGGGGGGGAGCATGTATGGGAAGTGGATCTAGTGCTGGAAAGGGGGTCAGGATGTTCTGAGCTGTCCCTCAGGGGTGGGCCCATAGGAACTAATTTGCATATGGTAATTTATAGCTAGCTGTAGGCTCACATTTGGAAGTTAAATGTCACAGGAGGCAGGGCAACCATTTTCCCTGTCCAGATCACACACAGAGACATTATTTGGTCCAGCCCCTATTCCTATTCCCAACAAACCCTAAATAAAGTCCCCTTCAGTTACTCCCATTTGTTATCTCCAGATAAACTCCTGCATTGCCAGGGGTGGGATTGATGATAATTTGGTCCCCTTCCAACTCTAAAGTTTTTTGATTCTGTGATTCTTCTTCAAATCATTTATTTCAGGGATCCCCAACCTTCGGCCCTCCAGATGTTTTGGACTACAGTTCCCATCATCCCTGACCACTGGTCCTGTTAGCTAGGGATCATGGGAGTTGTAGGCCAAAACATCTGGAGGGCCGCAGGTTGGAGATGCCTGGTTTATTTTCTCAGATCACGACCCATTCACTCCCCACCAACAAATGTATGTACTGACCCAGAAACAATCAGGCCCCTTAGAGAAATATTGGAGGGCTGTGTCTCTTGGGCTCACCCCTTGCAACACCCCAATCAAAAAAATGAGGGGGCAGTGCCTCCTGGCCCCTCTTGCAACACCCCCTAAACCCACAGGTCCCTGAGATGAATGGGGGGTGGGCTATGTCTCCTGGGCCCTACCCCTTGCAGCACCCCTGTCAGTAGGCTCTTCTTACGATATTGTTGAGCCTCCATGCACAGGAGCAGCCTACCTGCAAGAGTGAATCCTCATGTCCTCCTTGCTCTTCCTCCAGGCCTTCCTTCAGCCGGTTGGAGCAGTGGCTAGAAGCCCTCCGGATGCACCTGGCCATACAGCTGCCCCTCATCTCCCAGCTGGAGCAGCTGGAGCGGGACTTCTGGGAGACGCAGCGGCAGGCTGAGGGCGGGCTCCCCGCGCACCCCGAGGTCTCAGAATGAGCACCGGGGGGCTGGAAGACGCCTCCCATCCTGCTGGGCCATCCTGCAAGCTCCCTGCGTCCGCCCCCTTTCCCCCCCACCATGCCCGCCAGAGCCGGTCTCTGGGTCCAAAGAGGCCACGTCCATCCGTGGCACCCTGCGTGGCTGGGAGCTGGTTCTCCCTGCTTCTTTCCCTGGGGGTGGGATGGGTGGGATCTGTGCCTGGCATGCACAGTTGTCGGAGGTGCACCTTGAAGCTCTTGTAAATACCCTTGTCTATGGAGAGGCACCTGGACAAAAACCCTGCAAGGGAAAGGGGGGCGCCCCCTTACCCCACACTACCCCCAACTTCTGCCTAGCACGCTTTGTGGCTGCGAAAAGTCTTGGAACACCCCACTGAGCACGTTCCTTCCTGTTACCGGCTGGCTATTGCTCCACAAGCTAGCGTTGTGTGTGTGCGTGTGTGGTTTTCTTTTGGGGGTGGAGAATCTCTGGGGTGCCTCATTCCAGCACCCCGCAAACAGGCTCTCTTCGCTCCCTGCCTTGGGCAGAGTCTCCCACTCCTGCAAAGCGGTGCCTTCAGGTTTTCGTCGTCCCCTGGTTCTCTGCCTGCCCCCTTCATTTGTTCTCTGTATGTGGGTCACTTTCGCAGGGACGCAGGACTCGCACCTGTGACACGCAACATTCAAGGCATGGCCTGTGCGCTGCCCAGAGTCCATGTGGTGTCCGTATCTCTCTGTGCCCAGATGTGTGTGTCTGTCTGTCTCTCTGTCCGTACCCCCTTAGACAGTCTCCTAACCCTGCTGGTGGAGGACCTGTTGTCGCCTCTTAGTTGTGGGTATTTGGAGAGAAGTGCTCTCGGTGTGCATTGTGGGGTGGCATGATGCGCTTGACCCCTCCCCTCCAGCCGCTTCTCTGCTCTGCCTCGCCCTTCCATGCCAAGCTGCTGTTCTGCTGGTGGGGATTCCGTCGTGCTGCGAGGAGTTATTTGCGACATCGGCCCCTCCTCTTTTTCCCACGGAGAGCTTTGGGCACACAGGCTTGCATCCTCCGGAAATGCTTCCCAGGTCTGAGGAGGACCCCTACAGCTTAGGAGTGGAGCAGAGCTGGGCCCGGAGGAGGCTGAGCTGGCACCATCGGGCATCTCTTGAGAGCCCACACTCTTGCAAGGGGCCCACTGCTAGGCCTCAAGGCCTCCTTGTCTGCTGCTTCTCCTTTCTTTTAGCAGCACCTTGGAGAAGATGGAGAAGAATCATAGAATTGCAATTTAGCTGTGACTTCTCCCAACTCTACCATTCTAGGAGTCGATAAGCGGCAAAAATATGCATACAGTGGTACCTTGGTTCTCGAACTTAATGCATTCCAGGAGTCCATTCGACTCTCAAAACTGTTCGAAAACCAAGGCGCAGCTTCTGATTGGCTGAAGGAGCTTCCTGCACTCAATTGGAAGCCGCATCGGATGTTCAGCTTCTGAAAAACATTCACAAACTGGAACACTTACTTCCGGGTTTGCGGCGTTCAGGGGCCGATTTGTTCAACAACTAAGCCATTTGGGAACCAAGGTACCACTGTACTAGGAAAAAAGGTATAAAAAAAGCATATTATGAGATATTCGGACTAAGATGCTGGTGAATTTTCACGAAAAAACTATTTACAAACTGGCATTGTCACTGAGTCGCTCGCTGCCTCTGGGCTCCACTTGGATCATTCTTGAGCCTGTCTTTGTGGCCTCCCTTCCATGGTTGACCTGACTGGGTCCCTTCCTGCAACATCTGGGAGGAAGGCAAGCTTGTGAGAGTGTGGGGCCTCAGAGCCAGGGTGACCCAGGGCTGTGCCCCCCTCTGCCGTGGGGATCTCCTTCAAACGAACTGGGAAGCGTTGCATTTCCACGGGGCCCATGCAGAGTGCACCCCTTGTGTCCCAAGTCAATCCTGATCTCCCATTTGGGGCTCCTGAGCCCCTTGCTGCTATCTTTGTTCTCTGGACCACTCCACCCCCATTCTGTTGTTTGTGAAGGGGCCTGGGCCAGCCACCTCCAGCCCCGCCCCACCCTACTTTTGCCAGCTAATGGGGCTGGTCGGATCCTGGCCTCTTGTCTTGCAATGATTTCTCCATGCCACGCCATCCCTCTAGGTGCTTTTAAACTCCCTGGTTGCTGAAGAGTTAGGCCCAGCATCTCAAGGAGTTTTTCCACGCTGGGGGGGGATCTTCCACACCGCCGTCTGCATTTTGGGGAGGGGTGCTTCTGTGCGGTACGTCTGAGGCCCCCTCCTCCCCCCTCCCCCCACTACATTCAGGTTATTTTTTCTGTAACATAGTTGAAGAGAAGAGTTTGTATTATTTTTTCATATACAGCTGCCCTTGGCGCTTTTTGGAGTTTTGCCATGTTTTCACTCTGCCTCAGTTTCGCCTACGGGGAAGTATTACTTTGGGGAGTCATTGGGTGGGTGGGGAAGAAAGAGCACGCGAGATTTGATTTTTTTTTAAATAGACTGTGAAGCATCTGTACGCACTTTGACCCGGAAGTGAACCTAGATGCCATCTCCGGAGGGGAGGCGGAGGATTTGCAAAACAGGGATGTGAATTAAATCACGTGGAATTAATAAAAAAGATATTTCCACCCCACACTCCAGTTTCCTGTCGTTTCCTTGGAGGGGAAGGGGGATAGAGGAAGTTGTCATGTACTGACTCAGACCATTGGTCCATCCAGCTAACAGTATTACCTACACCGGCTGGCAGCAGCTGTCCAGGGTTTCAGGCAGGGGACATTCCAGTCCTACAGGGAGATGCTGCTGAAAAGTGAACCTGGAATCTTCTGCATTCAAAGCGGGTGGATGATGGAGCACCCTTGTTTTTCACTGCTCCAGGGTGGAGGACCCAAACCAATGGATTCAAATGGCAAGAAAAGAGATTCTGACTTAAACAGGAAGAACTTTCTGATGACAAGAGCTGTTTGACTGTGGAACAGACGGAAGCTGACAGGCTGCTCCTTCATTGGAGGTTTTGAAGCAGAAGTTGGATGGTCATCTGTCAGGGATTCTTTGGCTGTGATTTGTGCATCGCAGGGGGTTGGACTAGATGACCCTTGGGGATCCCTTCCAACTCGACACTTATTGGATTCTAGGAAATGCCCTCTGGAGGTGGCCAGGGCTAACTACCCCCAAATGGGAGCTGCATGGAGCAGTAATTGGCGGTGGTGGCATCTGCTTTGCTTATGGAGTCCCTCCTCCAACCTTTTGGAGTCCAGCCAGCTAAAGGGCATACTTTCTTGTCCATGCGCTGCTGCCAACCCTGTGATGGCACTGCTCAAAACCAGGGGCTTTTTGGAGGGAAAGGGGAGAAAAAATGTGGCTGTCATGCAGGGCTTCAGAAACTCAGCCTTCCCAGCAAGTGTGTCTCTCTCTCATTATGATAACATAAGCAAACAGGTATTTAGAAGCCCCATGGGTATTCAGAAGCACAGCTAATATCCACTGAATACCCCTGTCCCTCCATGAATTTGTCTAATCTGCTTTGAAAGCCTTGCAAGTCGGCCGGCATGACAGCTTCCTGCAGTAGTGAGTTCCACAGTTTAACTAGGCACTGCGTGAAGAAGTACTTTCTTTTATGTGTTCTTAGTCATCCAACATTCAGATCCAGGTTTTAGTGTTACAAAAGAGGGAGAGAGAAAAATATCTATTTCTCTAAAGTAAAAAACAAACCCAAACATTGCAACCATTCCTCATAGGAGAGTCAACTCCATCCCCTTGATCCTCTTCATTGTCCTATTCTGAACCTTTTCCAATTCTGCAATCTCCTTTTTGAGTTGAGGCGACCAGAACTGTGTGCAGTATTCCGATCACAAAAGTGCTGTATATTTGTATATTGGCGTCGTGATATTGCCACAGAGCAATGCAGTCCACATGCTGACTCCTTACGCTGCATTCGAAGAATCACAGAATTGTAGATTTGGAAGGGACCACAAGGTTCATCTAGTCCAACCCCCTGAAATGCAGGAATAATCTGCCCGACATGGGGCTCGAACCCACAACGCTGAGAGTCCAATGCTCTACCAACTGAGCTATTGCAGCAGTACACGGACCTACACTTCAGACCCAAATCAGGATGAGGCCCCAACAAACTCATGGAAATCAGCTACATTTATTAGCAGGATAAAAAATATTTCGACTGGAGCGATTTGAATGTATAAACCTATAATTTTTGTGTGTTTTTTTACAGCTTTTAAATAAATAAAGCTTTCCTTCTCTTTTCTTGGTACAACCGTGCAAAGATATAGACCCTCTCTTTTTTTGGTAAGAAAATAGCAAGTTTTGGAAAATAAAGAAGCAAAACCAGAAACAATCATTCCTCTCCACCCCAACACAAACCTCCTTCACAGCTCCCCAAAATAAGAGGTTGAGGCAGAGGGAATTAAGGCATCCTTTGCCAACCTGGTGCCCCCCCACCCTAGACAATGTGGTGGACTATTTTTCCTCAGAGGTTTTTCAACAGAGGTTGACAGCCAGGGATTCTTTTGTTCTGAGATTCTATGCTACAAAGGTGTGAGTTTGTAGATCTGGGGCTGAGGGTCACCTCTCCACAGAAGGTGTGCCATCTCAAAAGCAAATCAGTTTTCCAAAGAGCTTTGTCAATGCTCCACCACTCCAATTGCAATAAAATAATAATAATAATAATAATAATAATAATAATATCATCTAAAACTGAGTGACTTGGAAAAAACAGGCATTTTGCCAACATCTCATGCAGAGGAACATGTGGAAATGTAACTTTTCTCTTCCTGGCTGAGGGTGGGAAATAATAATTAATAATCAACAGTAAACCATAATTGACAACAATAATAAATATATCAAACAATAAAGGAATAACAAGAAGGCAGTAAGAAACCTAAGGAGTAAAAAGGGAGTATTTTGAAGCTGAGCTTATGCTAGGGTTGCCAACTTTTCAACCAGCCCTTGCTCTCCTGTGCATTAATAGCAGGTCAATCTGCAGACATGGGACTTGGGTTAGGAGGGAGGATTTTCCTGCCACGCCATGAAAAGCATCAGCTGCCGGTTTGTGCAAATCAAGGTGCTGTTGAAGGCACAGGAGCAGGCCAGGGTGGCTTCTTCCCTGGTTAGTTGGCAACCTGATCTATGTGTTTGGTGGCTTGACACAAAAGCGGCCTAAAATTCAGGGCCTGCGGTGGTTGTGAGACGGGCTTTCCTCATGCAGAGGCTTCTGCACAAGGTGACCATTGTGACGGTTCTTTGAGCTCTCAGGCAGGGGTTTCGGAGTCCCTGGCTGAATTTGGGCTCAACTCCAGATGTTGCAACAGCCAGTCGTGCAGGCAGCTTAAAACAAAGAGAATTCAGGCATCGCCATCACGGAAACTAGCAGGTATCTCTGATGCGAACAAGCAATAGAGCCTTCACTGCCAGATGAAGCCTATTCCAGATGACTAGATGCTGGTAATATGAAGGGGTCTTTGCAATCCTCTTTTGCCCAGCGGTTTCCTGTAGGGGCCTCTGGCAGAGCATGTTCAATGTTCCTTATTCCAACGTGAAGTGAGGTTGTCCCAATTCTTTGGCTGCACAGGGGCCCCCGATATTTGGCACCTACAGGTGCCTGGCATCCGCCCACCTGCTCAGGTCTCTTCCTTCTCTGTGGTTGATGGAGAGAGAACAGCAAAGGTAGGGGTGGCTCATTGATTTAACGTAAAAAAGGGGGGCCTAGATATTTTAGGAGGCCCATCAACACTGAGCTGCGCATGCAGGCCCCAAGCAAACAGACTTTGTGAGGGTGCGTCCAGACCAGGGTTTGTGCTGCTTCTTCTCCAGATCGTTCCCCATGGAGGCCACTTCTTGAAACAGGAGATCTGCTCCACCTTCCACATGGAATGGGCTTGGATTCCAGCATCCTTCCGACGGTCCGTTCCGACAACCCCAGGGAGAAGGCTGTGCAGAGGAGCTGGTGGCTTTGACAGCACCTCTCTGCCCCCTGAGTCCATCTCTCACCACCAGCCCCTTTTCACACATGAACAGTGAATGTACGGTTTGGAGACGGGGTATTGTGCAGCTTGGCTCGCTGACTCGATCTCTTCAAGCTTAGCATGGCGCATGGATGCTCAGCAGAGATGGGGGTTTGCAGCAGGCTCACAAACACGGCTCCGAGGGATGTCCGCAGCATGCAGAAGCAGCCTCTGAAAAAGGTGTCGCTGAAGTTTATAGACCTCTTGGAAGATTTCTGAGCAAATTAGGCCACAGAGTAGAGGTTCATTCTGCGATTTGGCTCTAGCTCAGGTGTATTTGACTGAGCAAGAAAACACACGCTGATGCTCTCCTAGTTTGCGCCAGAAACCCTTATGACACAAAGAAGTAAATTTCTCAGGCCAATTGTCCTGAATAAAATTAACTTGCAAAAAAAAAATAATTCTTTTAATTCCGTGTTTTGTTTTGAGCATTTCTCAATTATGGGAGGGTTGTTGGGTTTTTCACCCCCCCCCCCAAAAATAAACAGGATATAAAATAAATGTATTTCATATTCATAGGAACAAAGCCACCAAGGATTTCTTGGGTGCAAAAAGATATTGAATTCCCATTCATTTTAATTGGAGACCTTGCACCAGTTGACACCCATAGCCTTTCTTAAAAAATATTAAGAGGAGCAAAAAAAAAAAGTCAAATTTTAAAACAACCCCCTGAGATCGCCTTACCCCATTTATGCCCACTTGACTGCTTCAGTCAGCAGAACTGGCACTGTTGCAGGTGCCACATAATATCCGTTCTGCCCTTTTAAAAACTCCAACTTTTAGCACAGCAACATCTACACTTTGGAACTCCCTGCCTATTGACATCAGGCAGGCACCTCCACTGTACTCTTTTCGGCTCCTGCTAAAAGCATTCTTGGTTAAACAAGACTACCCAGATGTTTAGAAAGCCGGTGCAAGTTTTAATCTGTTTTTAGGTTACTGTTACTTTAACTTTCCGAAAGTCTTAAATTATCACTGTCACTTCTTATTGATAAAATCATTGTTCTATCTTTTTGGTAAATTGCTTTGAGGGTGATTGGGAGGTTTTTTTACAATCAAGCGGTGTATAAATTTTCTGAAATAAATAAAATTTGATCTCTCAAACAGGCAGTTTGATAATGCATCTGGGTTTCGAATTTGTAATTTCACCTATAAAGTGCCCCGTCATAAGTTTTCAGCAAGAGAGAGGGCAGAGGGTGTGTTTGATCAGAGAAGTGACTCATATTAAAAAGAAAAAATCTGGTACCTAGCCAGAGGCCGTGGGATTTGCTGGGCAAATGATCCGAGGACACACATTGCCATCAGCTAGAAAAATCCGTGTTTGCTGAATCCTTCTGCAGCTGGAAAAGGAGTTGGAAAAGGAAAAGAAATTGTACCCAAATCATTATCGCGACGGCTGCCAAAGGGTTCAGGTCAGGCAGGAGAGCAAAAGGCAGAACATTCTCACATGCTGGAGAGTCGCAGGCAGAATCTTTGGCGCCCGGGTGAGCTCCTCGTTCCTTAGGAAATCCAATCTAGAAGCAGGGCGGAGTGTCGGTTATAAGGCGATGATCATTGCATCGGATGACCGTTAGCTTAAGGTGCAAGGTGCATCGTCAGGGCCAAGCGCTGGGGAGGGGCAGATGGAGCAGCTGAGATGTAAACATTTTGTGTCTCTGGGGGGCGCGAGGAGCAAAGGTGTTTTTGCAGGATCTGAGGGGTCGGGGGCTAGTGGGCATCTTCCATCTGTCGCTGGATTTTCTGCAACATGTCCTGCATTCGGCGTAACTGAAAAGTGGGGAGGGAATCAGACCTGAGTTGCAAGGCACAAACATTATGCACCCCCCTTGATACTGGGCCTGGGTCTCTTAAATTGTGGCTCTGTTCCCTCTGACGTGGCTTCCTCTAGCCATAAGCCACAAGGAAAACACTCCACCTTGGGATTTAGAGGAAGACATGCCAATTTATTTTGGTGGTTAGCAAATTCATATATAGGCTGTTCTGAATTTAGGAAATTTCAGAGCAGTTAAATCTGGAATCACTCATACTGTCGAGGGTTTGGTGGAGTCAGTCTGGATGATGCCCTAAGTCCCTTCCAATTCTTGGGGTCCTGTACCCAGTGAGGCTTGCAATCTAAGGCAGGAGGCTGCCAGACAAGTTCATGACTTTAGATGGCTGCTTAAGTGTCCAGCATCCCAAAAGAATGAGCTCAGTTGAAAGAGCTACCACTAAGTGATGGGGCCCTGCAGGCTAACAGGCCGGACCCACAGGGGCCAAAGGGAAACCCTCAAGGAGGACTTGGAGCTCTCTCCTCTCCTGTGGTCTCCACCAACTGCTATTCAAAGGCATTGCTGCTGCTTCCGAATGGGGGCAGCCCTCTCCATGAATATGTGCGGTCCTCAAAGTTGGTGGGCCCCACTGCCTCCTGCGGCCGCGAATTCTTTGTCTGTTTGGGGACTTCCCAGCCCTACTGGGCTCCCATCTCTTTCGCTCTCATCTGACCTGCAGGTAACCACCATGCCACTCACCTCGTCGTCCTTCTCTCGGATCAGCTTCTCTGTCTCCACATCTGGTGTTGAGGGGATGGCCGGAATGGGGAAATCTGTCCCACTTTCTCTTGTCAATTTGCTATTTATTTATTTCAAAGAGAGAGAGAGAAAGAAGCCATCAAAGCCAAAAGCAGCAAAGATGTGTTTGCACCCACCACCACCACCACCCCGACTCTACAAGACACAGCTGTTCAGAGATGCCTAAACAACTGACTCTTCTCCACCCCACAATGAGGTCCTTAAATTTACTCACTTAACTGTCATCCTACAAAGCTGTCACAAAGACATCCAACAATTAAAATGGAGAGTAACACCTTGGAGGAGGGAAGGGGAAAGCCCAGTGTCAGGCTCTTAGGGAAAGTGTTGCTCTCAAATCGCTCTTCACCCCGCAAAGCTTACCTAAATAAGTAGGACTTTCTGAGCCTCCACAGCGAACCAGAGTGTTGAACCTCCTCTGGGAACTCACTCCAGAGTCTTGGGGCTCTTGCAAAGAAGGACTTTCCTCCTCTGTCGGTCTGCTCCAACAAGGGATGTTCTTAAGGAGCATCTAGAGATACAACAGGTTTTCCCCCACCCAGTTCTGGCTGGGCTACAACGCCCAACAGCAGCAGCAGACCTTGGGGCTCTCAAATTCCAGTGGCGTCCTGTGCAATGCCAAAATTCGGCACCCCTCCGCCTTGTGCTCTCCATTCTAAATCATAGTTGTTGCGCCTCCCCACCCCCCGCAAAGTGGTTTCGCTCCCCTCAATCCATGTCTGCCATCAGCCCCAGTCAGCATTGCCGATGGTCAGGTATCCTGGTCTGCAAGCCCAGCCAGGTCGCTGAGCACCTGTGGGCCAAGTTGAACTGCGGAACTCACTCCCACAAGATGTAGCAATGGCCACCAGCTTGGATGGCTTTAGAAGAAGGCTAAGCAGATTCATGGAGGAGAAGGAGGAGGAAAGCTACCAATCATGGCTACCAGTTCTCCCTCCCCTGGCAGAGGCAGTCTGCCATGGGGAGAGTTGTTGTGGCCAATGTGTAGACAGGATGCTTGACTAGGTGGGTCTTCTTAGGTTCTGATAGGTGGCTTTCAAAAGATGGAAGTGCAAGATAAGTTCTGCTGACGAGGAGCTCACGGTGGGTGTGCAGCTACAGACACCCCATTTTGCTTTTTGGGGTAGTCTAAGTCCAAAAAAAGGACTGTCTTCTGCAAAGGACGACACCTGGCTTGGCATTCAGTAGGTCCCAGGTTCAGGCCTCCAAACTGGTTTCTCCAAGCAGGGCTGGGAGAGGCTTCCTCTCTGAAAGTCTCTGCAGACGCTGCTGCAAGTCAGTGTAGACAATACTGGGTGCATCTGTCTCAATAGAAGCTTTCTATATAATATTTCCATGGCTTGATAAGTGGCCGAAGGGCAGAGATGTTGTTGCAAAGGCAGATTAGTGGATTTGGAAGAGGGGGATTAATGGGGTATGCAGGCAGATGGTTATATTGTGCACTATATGCTTGTGCAAATATACCATTTTTTTTAATGTCAGCAGGGGCTCATGACATTCCCAAGCATATGCATCCTACCCATTCAATTTCTCTCCAACTTTTTCTTACCCACCCCCAGTCACAAGCTCCTGTGATGGAGAGAAGCATTAAAAGTCAGGGCACATCCCCAAAGGTACCATCATGGAAAATGGTCTTCGGTGAAGCGCTGGTTCTCGGTTCACGTGGGAACCCTGTGCCGTGTCAAGCCTGCTGAGAGATGCGTTTCCTGGGTTTTAGATGACCCTTGTGGTGTGTCCCTCCCAACTCTGTCATTCTGTGAGTCTTGTGTTCCATCCACAGGCCCCTTCCTACTCCCTCTCGCCTCTGAATGTAGTACCACAATCCTGCTTTGTCCCCACCCTAAAGGGTTCTTAGGGTAGCAGCAGAAGACATGGGATGACCCAGAGCATCTTGGCCAACCACCATAAAGGATACTGATGCTATAAGAGGGCCAGTGTGTGCAGTGGTTAGGGAGTCAGACTCGGACCTGGGAGAGACCAGGATTCAAATCCCTACTTGGCCAAAAAGTTCACTGGGTGACCTTGGGCCATTCTCTGTCTTCTCTCAGACTAGACTACCTCACAAGATTGTTGTGCAGATCATATGAGGAGGAGAACCATGTACATCACCATGAGCTCCTTGAGGCATAAATGCGATAATTGAAATAAATAAATGCAGTGCTGCTTCGTAGAGTCATCTGGATCTGGTGACAGTCTAGACCAGGCATAGGCAAACTCCGGCCCTCCAGATGTTTTGGAACTACAATTCCCATCATCCCTAGCTAACAGGACCAGTGGTCAGGGATGATGGGAATTGTAGTCTCAAAACATCTGGAGGGCTGGAGTTTGCCTATGCCTTGTCTAGACCCTCTGAACATTTCAAGGCTGACCTGCAAGTTCAGCGCAGTTCCTGATCCCCCAACCAAACTCTCCAATGCTGTGGAGAGTAACTGAAGTGGTGTGAAAGAAGAACATGGCACATGGCCTTGAGGAATGAGGAGTGGGCTGTGGGCAGCCATCTGCCAAAGATTATTTAGCTGTGATTCCAGCACTGAAGGGGGTGGGGCTAGATGACCCTTGGGGGTCCCTTCCAAGTCTACAATTCTATGATCCTGTTCTGATGCACTCCATCAAAAGCCAGGTTGTGCAGTGTATCAATGCCCCCATTCCTCCACACAGCAGACTTAGTGAGGTGGAGGGCAAATCCATGACACAGGCTTCCCCATTTCCCACGCACCCCCCATCCTTGTGCTATGACTTCTGCAGTTGTCCAGTGATGGCAATACGACACTCAAGAATCTCCTTTGCCAACCCTTGCTGGGTGAGAATCTACTTCAGGGGTGGGAAACCTCCAACCCATGAGCCAAATTGGGCCTAACAAGGGTCCCTGTTTGACCCACGAGGCCGTTGCCCACAAGCCATGCCCTACATTTAAAGGGCTGTCACGTGATGACTTTTCAGCAGAGTTTGGATGGCCATCTGTCAGGGATTCTTTAGGTGACTCCGGGGGCGGGCGGTGTCCCTTCCAACCCTACAATCCCATGGCATCCAGCCTCAGCCAATTAGCGGGCCTTCAAAGCGCTTTCCAAGCCCTGGAAGGTGCTTTGAAGTCCCTGCAATCATCGCCTGACGAAGGGGCCCGCCACATTCACCACTGGTGGAGAAGCATCACCACTTCCAGCACTGATTTTGGGCAAGATTGCGCTGATTTCGGGCAAGATCTCAACCAAATGGACACCATCTTGTCCCAAGTTGGTGGTATTGCTTCTCTGTCGTTGGGGGGCGGGAGCAGGCAGGGCATGCCGCCTGAGGGCTTCTGCTGCCTGAGGCAGAGGCTTTACCCTGCCTTATAGGTGAGTTGGCTCTGACTTGACATCATTGTGACATCACATGATTGACAGCCTGCACTGACAACCTTCTGGGGCTGTGTAGCAGAGGTGGGCGGGGCCAAAGGCGAAGCTGGGCTCACCCAACAGCAGTGACCTTCCTTTGATGTCTTTACGGCCAAATTCTCCCTTGCTTGTGAAGCTTCCACCCACTTCAACAGAGCTGACCCCAAACCACATCCTATATTGTTGTTTTCTCTCCTGTTAAGGAACAACTCCTCCCTCAATCCCCCTCTCATCCCCTCCCCAGCTGCAGGCATGGCTATTTATGCTCACAACAACATCACCCCTTTGCCAGGTGTGGGGCAAAAGGCCGCATGGCCCTTTGGGGTCAATAGTGTCGTGCCAAATGGGGGGTGCACTCCTCCCCCCAAAAAAACCCACATTTTGCTTTCCCACAGACACAAGGCAAGGGTCCGAGACAAGGATGGGTTAGAAAGAAAATAATTTATGTAAAAATGCACGGACGCCAGACAAAACACAGGTCTCCAGGAGAGAGAGAAAGAGCGAGAGAGAGAGAGGAGGAGGATGTTGGTGGCGCAGCCCCAGGGTGGGGGGCGGGTGGGAAACGCTGCGCGGATCTTCGGCCGGGAAAAGGGACCTCAGTCGCTCACTCCATAGAACAGTCGCTGCAGCAGAGTCTCAAAGATGAGGAGTCCCTCCTTGGTTCCCCCAAAAAGATGGCGGCAAGCAGAACAAGGGAATTGAAACACTAGGCTTAGATTCACCATCAGGGAAACCAAGGCAGAAGGCGGCTGAGACATTGCAGGGGGTTGGGCTAGATGACCCTTGGGGTCCCTACTGACTCTACAATCCTATGTTTCCCATTATGTTGGTCTTGCCCCTTGAGATTTTGTGGGGGGCTCATGGCTGAAGATGCAGACAGAGTGAGGGGAGTGCAGAATAATACCCTAGACAACTGAAAGGCCAAACCATGGGTTGTGTAGGCAGAGCTTATGGTTTGGGTGTGATGCACGTAGAGGTGTACTTAGGGTCCCCTGGGCCCTTGGCAAGGAGTTGTATCAGCACCCCCCATAAGAAAAAAAAAACCACTTTATTACAATTGCCACATTAGAAATTACAGTGGTGCCTCAGTTTTTGAGCGTCTCGGAAGCCAAACGTTTCGGTTTTTGAAGGCCAAAAACCCAGAAGTAATTGCTTCCATTTTCGAACGTGCTTTGGAAGTTGAATAGCTTATGCTGTGTGTTTTTCCATTTTTCCAATTGAACTTGCAGCCAGCCCTTTGCGCCTTGGTTTTCAAACGTTTCAGAAGTCGAACGATCCTCTGGAATGGATTACATTTGAGAACTGAGGTACCACTGTACTACATTTTACACAGCCCTAGTAGTCAAAGCGTCCAGAGTGAGGGCAGGGCAGAAGGAAAGAAAAAATTGCATGCCTTCGTGCCACAGTTCAAGACGGCTTCTCCTGGATAAGATCTCGCCTTATCAGCGATGGGTCTGTGGCCACACACGCCACACACTCCCTAGTCTGGTAGGTGATTTTTGCCACCCCCCACTTGTTTGGTCTACGTCCCTGGCGGGGTCTGGCTTCGCCAACCCCTAGGTACACCTCTCTCTGTGTGTGTTGTGTGTGTGTTCCCCTGTCCTTTGGCCGAGTGACAACTCCAGGGAGCAAAAGGGCAGTCACAGAATGTTGGCAAACTGCAACTCTCGTTGAGAAAGCGAGAGGTCAGTTTAGTTGGGGATCAAATGCAAGCAGAGCACGGTTGGCTGGAAGGGGGCAGAAGAGGAAGGCGGCTAAGAGCAGAGGAGATCCAGAACGGGGCAAGAAGCTAGCAGCCCGAGGAAAGGAAAAGGGTCATGGGCTAAGAAGCGTGGAGATCAGGGAATCACGAGAGGACGGGGTAAGATCTGAGAGAAAGAGGGATGTGGAAAAGAATGAATGAAGGAGCTGAGGAAGGACTTGGGTAGCAGCAAGGTAGGTGGGCCGTACATGCTTCTGGGACGGAAGGAGAGGGTGGGCATATGAGCTTCAGAGACCGAAAGGCTACAGACCAAAGAGGCAGAGAAAGCCGCTAGGGGGAGCTGGAATTCAATCTACCGGTTGGAATTAACCAAAGCAAACTCATGCTGGGGAGTCCCTGGGATGACCACCTCCAACCTGGAACCACCCAGATGTTCTGGACTAAAACTCACGCAGCACATAGCCTGTGGAACTCCCTCCCACAGGAGGCAGTGATGGCCACCAACCATGATGGCTTTAAGAGAGGGTTAGACAAATGAATGGAGGAGAAGATGGCTACTAGTCACAATGGCTGTTCTCTGCCTTCACAGTTAGAGGCAGTGATGCTTCTGAAATGTTGCTGCTGGAAACTCCCATAAAGAAACATCTGGAGGGAAACTGCTTAGCAGGGGCTGCCCTAGGGGAATGGTTACTGATCCCTCCTTCTTACGGAGGGAGGCCTCTCTACCCTTGATCACTTTTAGGCTACTCAGCCTGAGGACAGGGCCTGTTATTGCGGTTGATCTCTTATCTAGTTAGTTCATAAGATTTATACATCCCTTGATTGCAAAACAAAGCAAGACATCACACCCGGTTTACAGAAAGAATTAAAACAATAAAACCACCAGCGGTTAAAAAGAGCTATTGAAAAATAATTAAAATCAACAAAAAGCTGAAAACCAGAATAAAGCACACATCAGTGTTCTGCGTGCCTGGGGAGGCTTGCCTAAATGGAAATGTTTTTAGCAGGCCACCAGAAAGAGTACAGCAAAAGAGCCAGCCTAAGTCAAGAGGCAGCGAGTTCCAAAGTGTGGAACATATGCTATTTCCACAAAACTAAGCAATCAAGTGGGTGTATAAGGGGTAAGGTGATCCTGCAAGTAAACTGATCCCAAGTTGTGGGGTTTGTTTGTTTGTTTGTTTGTTTGCTATTGTTGTTGTTTTTGTAATCCTTTAAGAGAAAAGGGGTGGGGAGCAGGCAGTTTCTTAAAAAAACAAGGCTCCAAATAAACCAATGGATTTCAATTGTGAATAATTTATTAAAGTTGCAAAATGGTGGCCTGTTGTGGTTTTAATAAACTCAAGTCCTGCTTTGGGGGGCGGGGGCTAAAACAATAGTGTTTTTTGGGGTTTTTAAATAAAAAAAGAAGAGATAATGATCTTGGAATCGTAGGCAGCGCTAACCTTCCTGCAGAATCCTTCTCTCTCTCTGTCTTACACCCTCGCCCCAGCTGGGGGCACTGTCCATCTCTCCGCCTGATGCCTGTTATTAGGGTGGAGGGAGGGGGCAAGAGCATGTTATTGAGGTCAGGGAGGGGGAGTCGCGCTCCATCCCAGAGGGGGGGCATATCCTCCCCACTCCCTGATCGGGCCAGGCCCAGATAACACATGCAAGCAAACACAGGCTAACGGCTTACTTGCGATTCCGCTCTTTGACCACCATCCTGGTCATGCTCTGGATGCACTGCGCCCGGTAGTTCTCATAGTGGGTCTCCCGCGTCACGTCCTTCAGGTCCTGCATGTGGGTCCTCACCAGCATGGTCCGCAGCTTGACAAAGTCGCAGTGCAGAGGGTTCTCCACTGTGCAGGAGAAGGCAGCATTAGCAGGCAGAACTCCCCACCACATGACATGGTAACAATGCAAATTAAGACGCCTTTAAAAGTGTGTTGGGGTGGGGGGGGATTGTACAAATTCGTGGAGGAAAAGAAGTCTGGTTATTGTGTGGCTACTAGCCATGATGCTCCTGAATAGCATTTCCTGGAAGACGCAGGAGGGGAGAGGGCGCTTGTCTTTGAATCCTGCTTGCGGGTTTCTCACAAAGGCATCTGGTCAGCCACTGTGAGAACAGGGTGCTGGACCCAGGAGGGCTTTTCTCATACAGTGGTACCTTGGGTTACATACGCTTCAGGTTACATACGCTTCAGGTTACAGACTCCACTAACCCAGAAATAGTACCTTGGGTTAAGAACTTTGCTTCAGGATGAGAACAGAAATAATGCGCCGGCAGCGTGGCAGCAGCAGGAGTCCCCATTAGCTAAAGTGGTGCTTCAGGTTAAGAACAGTTTCAGGTTAAGAACAGACCTCTGGAACAAATTAAGTACATAACCAGAGGTACCACTGTATTCCAGCTTCCAGATCCAATTGTTCAGGGCCAGAGCAGACATTATAAAAGGACATGGTGTGATGTCATATCATTCAAAGCCCCACCCCATCCCACCATTGCCACTCTTCTTTATTGGCTGATACTTGGGGAGGGGGGGTGGATAGAGGGGGACACACATCAGGTCACATGCCTTTTTCCTCTGGATGTTACTAGAGAGATGCAAGGAGATGGTTCAAGGCTATTCCTTTCTCTGCACACAAGCCGTGCATTCCTCTGAACACCTGTAGTTCAGCACTCAGGAAGGAGGAAGAGGACAAAATCTTTCTGGGACTTCTACCCCACTGCTTGCAAAGGTAAGACACCCCACTGCCAAAATTAATTATTTCAAGCCCCTGTAACTGGTCATTAATTCAACCCGTGATCAGTTTTGGGCTGGCTTTGCTCTGCTTCCTGCATGGGCCCACTAAGCAATTTGTTGCTGCTGCTGCTGCTGCTGTTGTTATTACAATTACCACTACAAAGATTTCTATACTGCCCTTCATCCGAAGATCACAGGGCCATTTACAATAAAAACACAAAAATGCATACCATAATAACAAACTAAAACAATAACCGCCCACCAACAGTTTAACAGGCTAACTAAACAAAGGGATGAGAGGAGAGGAATGTTTTTGCCCGGTGCCTAGAAGATATGTAATGAAGGCCAGCCTCCCTGGGGAGAACATTCCATGAGTGGGGAGCCACCACAGAAAAGGCCTGTTCTCGTGTTGCCGCCCTCTGGAACTGTTATGGAGGAGGCACATGAACAAAGTCCTCAGATGAAGAAGCTCAAGGTGGCAAACATGGTTCACCTCCTTCACGTTTTATCCTTGCCTCAACCCTGTGAGGTAGGTTAGCCTGAGAGTAAGTGACTGGCCCAAGGTCACCCAGTGAGCTCCATGGTCAAGTGAGAATTTGAACCCTGGTCTCTCCCAGGTCCTAGTCAAACACTCTACTCAATACATCACGCTGCCTCTCTTGAGATCGAGCTCTGGCCTAGTTTGGGCATCATGGAAAGTCAAACGTTTGTTTGATTGATTGATTGATTGATTGCATTCATATCTCACCTTTTCCTGCAAGGAGCTCAAGGTGACGGACATACTTTTCATTCCCCCCCCCCCCCATTTTCTCCCTACAACAACCCTGAGAGGGAGGTTAGACTGAGAGGCAGTGACTGAGCTCAAGGTCGCCTAGTGAGATTCATGGCTGAGTGGTGGGGATTTGGTCTCCCAGGTCCTAGACCGACACTCTAACCACTATGCCATGCTACCTCTTGCCTCCAAATTCGAGATGAGTGGCTTTCCTTGCAGGCACAGCAGAACCAGCACAATCTAGGAAGGGCTCTGTTGGTTACCTTCCACGATGCCCCATGGATACAGCCTCCCACGGATCCGCCGGCCTTTCGTCTCCACCACCGTGTTGCTCCCAATGACGGCGAAAGGGATGCTCTCCTGGAAGAGAACCTCATGGTCAGGGGCCTCATAGCATTGCAAGAACACAAGTGGCTGTTTGCAAAATATTAGGAGCACAGAAACAGGGAAGGGATGGCTCAGGAGGTTTCTGGCCTGTGTCACTGTGAAAAGCATTCATTTGTAAATCTGCTCCATCCACATTTAAATATATATATATCTATATTTATATTGCACCTTTAAGGAGTTCAAGGTGGCATATGTGAGTCTCCTGCACCTCCTCATTTAACCTACACAACAACCCTGTGAGGTTGGTTAATCTGAGAGGCAGTGACTGGCCCAAAGTGAGCTTCAGGGCTGAGTGGGATTCAAACCCTGCTCTCTCAGGTCCTAGTCCAACACTCTAACCGCTACACCACCCCGGCTCTCCATTTCCACCTTAACGGAATGTTAAGTGGTCATGGGGTGTAGCTCAGTGGCAGAGCATCTGCTTGGCGTGCAGAAGGTCTCAGGTTCAATCCCCAGCGGCATCCACAGGTAAGGCTGAAACCTGAAACCCTGGAGAAGCTGCTGCCAGTCAGTGCAAAGAATACTGAGCTAGATGGGCCAGTGGTTTAACACTATATAAAACTGAATTTCAATGTTCTTACATTTTCACACACACACGTACAGTGGTACATCAGGTTACATACGCTTCAGGTTACAGACTCCACTAACCCAGAAATATTACCTCAGGTTAAGAACTTTGCTTCAGGATAAGAACAGAAACCATGCAGCAGCAGCGCGGCGGCAGCAGGAGGCCCCATTAGTTAAAGTGGTGCTTCAGGTTAAGAACAGTTTCAGGTTAAGTACGGACCTCCAGACCGAATTAAGTTCTTAACCAGAGGTACCACTGTATAATGTATTTAAACAGGCATTTCAACACACATTTTTTCACAAAATATACCCTCCCCCTCACCTTGAGGGCTTGATCCTGAAGCTTGAAATCCTCATCTTCATCCGAATCACATTCAGGAAACTGGTAGATGCGGATCCCAAACTGATCAATTTCATCGCGGATCTGAAGAAGAGGAACTTAAAATTTATACACAGCTCAACTGTAAATAGCAAACAAACTTCAAAGCACTTTACACACATACACACACAAAAAAAAGATTTTAAAAAATTTAAATTGCCAATAAGTAAAACTAGCAACAAGCATCTAAGACATTCGAAAAGTTAAAATAACAATAAAAGCAGATTAAAACTCGCTTCAGCTTTCTAAACGTTTTGGTAGGCTTTTCTAAACAAAAATGTTTTTAGCAGGTGCCGAAAAGAGGGCAGTGAAGGCGCTTTGCCTGACATCAAGAGGCAGGGAGTTCCAAAGTGTAAGTGCCATACAACTAGATCCGGGTTCTAACAAATGCAGAACGAGTATTACGTGGCGTCTGTTCCACCAACTGAGTGGGTGTGCATGGGGTAAACAAATTACTAGAATCCTAGAACTGTAGAGTTGGAAGGAACCCAAAGGGTGATCTAGTACCCACTGCATCTGGTTGGCCACTGTGAGAACAGGTTGCTGGAGCAGGCCCTTTGGCCTGACAGTAGCCACGAGGCTCTCCAGATGCTCCCATGGCCAGTGTGAGAGGATCTCAGGTCACAGCAGATATCCTGGGACAAAGGCGCTTCTCCTGAACTTCCCACCGCCCGGGAAAGTTGGCAGGGCCACCAGGAAAAAGGTTTTTAAATATACTTTTAACAAAAAACCAGAGGCGTTTTTGTTAGGTATAATTGGAGATGAAATTCCTAAAAAAGAGGTAAATTTATTTATGTATGCTACAATGGCAGCAAGGACACTTTTGGCCCAGAAATGGAAGCAGCAGGAACGTCCAACAATGGAAGAATGGCAGACTAAGATGTTGGAATATGCAGAATTGGCAAAGCTGACAGGGAAAATCCGAAATCAGTGCGGCGAACTGTTTGAAAAGGACTGGAGTAAATTCATACAATATATGAAAGAAAACTGTAAACATTTGAAAACGTTTGTAGGTTTGAGTTGAAATATTTTGTAATGTTAATATTGGGACCTGGTTTACATTTAATGAGGTAAATTTTATTAAGAAAGAAAGAAGGTAAATAAGTGGTGATACAAATGCTAAGTGATTATTTATGAAAGCCAAAGAGTGGGATGGGGGGAAGTCGAAGCTCAGTTTGAGCATTGTTTTTTGTTTATGAGATTATGTAATGGAATGTGATTATGGTAAAATGTAAACTCAATGAAAATTATTATTTAAAAAAAGGAAGGTCCTCATCTTCCCTCCCCGCTCCCAATTCCTCACCTTGTTCTTCATCCGCTCAACCTCGGAAGGCATGAGAGTGTCCGCTTTGGCTAGAACGGGAACGATGTTGACACGCTGGTGGAGAGCCTTCATGAACTCGACATCCAGAGGCCGCAGCCTGCCAAGGAGAGACAAGGCAAGTCTCAAGTGTACAGCGCACGTGCACACGCGCGCACACACACACACACACACTGTTTGTGTTAAGTTGATTCAGCTCAGTTCAGAGGATGGCCGCATCTGGCTGTGCTCTGATGTCCATCGATCCCACCTTCGTCGCCAGTGTTAAGTTGTGGGCGAACATATCAGACGACACAGCGATTCTTCCAAAACAGCTCTTTATTTGTAAGCTGGAACAGAACTGAACTGAGGAGCTCAGTCAGCCTGCTTATATAGCGCTCCACTAGAATGCAACAGTAACCATTTTCTGTAACTAGCCAGTCACTGAACGTCACTTTCGATCCTTCATTTGCATACAAGCTATCCAATCACTGAATGTCACTTTCGATCCTTCATTTGCATAACTATCTACAGTATCCCCCTGCTGGCCCAGGGTGAGAACTTCAGTACATAACAGTTTGGGGAAGACTCAGTGGCAGAGCAACATGCAGAACATCCCAGATTCATTCCCCAATGGCATCTCCAGGTAGGGTTTGGAGACACTCCTGCCTGAATCCCTGGAGAGCTGCTGCCGGTCAGTGTAGACAAAACTAAACAAGAGGAGCCAGTGGTCTGACTAGCATAAGGCAGCTTCCTAATTAATCCAGCTCTCTCTTCTCAACCATAAGGACTAGAATCTTTGTTTTTAGGGGAAGGCCTGCAGCTCAGTGGTAGAGCTTGGGAGACAGACCCCTGCCTGATAATCCTGGAGAGCTGCTGCCAATTAGTGTAGACAGCACTGAGCAAGGCAGGCCAATGGTCAGACTGAGTATAAAGCAGCTTCCTGTGGCTCTAGGCTTAGTTTCTGTTTAGTTTTTTTATTAGGTGGTTTATAAAATTTTCAAAACACAGTAAGGAAAACTTCAAAATTGTATTTTCTTTGCTGCATAATGAGCCCAGGTGATGTGGTCCAAGATGCATACTGAGGTCTTAGCTGATTGTTTTGCAACATCACCAAGTTTTGTCTTTCTATTCAAATTATTTCTTTGAATCGTAGAATTGTGAAGCTGGAAGGGACCCCAAGGTTCATCTAGTCCAACCCCGCATGGCTTGCATTGGGAGGGTTGGACGTTTTGCAACAATTTGGGACAGATCCGTCAGTTTCAGCTTCTCATCTGCCCAATTTTTAGTTGAGTTCTGCAATCATCCCATGCCCCTCCCAGAGCCCAGGCAGGCCAGACTCAGCTCGTACCCGTGGCCAAAGGGTGAGATGAAGTAGAGGCAGCAGTGGACGCGGTTGTCCAGGATGTTCTTCCGGTTCAGGCCACTCTCGTCCCGGAAGTACTGTTCAAACTGCTGGTCTACATAGTCAGCCACAGGCTTCCAGCTGCAGAGGGAATTAAGTAGGCTTTAGAGAGCAAAGAGTCCCCAATGTGGTGCACATGGGCGCTAGCGTGCCCACCAGTATTTTCCATGGCACGTACAAAAGGCGTGAGTAAATATCCTGAGTTCACCCAGCCCCATACCTAATCAGAATCTAGGCAAGTCATCTGCTATGGCTTCTGTATTTATTTGTTTGTTTGCTTACTTGCTTCTCTACTGTTATTATAATCATATTTTTGTCTGTTTTTACCATAGCAACTCAAAGCGGCTTACAACTATTTTAAACAAACCAACACAAGCAGACATTAAAAGCAACATTAAAAAAATCTAAAAGACAATTGCGTTCTGAAAAATTAGATTAAAACATTTCACCTGAACGAAAAGGCCTTCGATAATTAAAAGCTAAAGACCTGGTGTAAAAGGAAAGCTTTGCATTTCCTATTTTATATTTATATTCATGATTTAGATTTATATCCCACATTTTTCTTTCCAATGAGCTCAAGCTGGGGTACATATCTCTCTCTCTTGCTCCTCATTTAATCCCCACAACAACCCTATGAGGTTGGTTAGGCTGAGAGGCAGTGGCTGGGCCTTCAAGGTCACCAAATGAGCTTCAAGGCCAAGTGGGGATTTGAACCCTTGTCTCCCAGGTCCAATTCCGACACTCTAACCAGTACACTATGCTGGCTCCCTTGGCTTCTGTACTTTCCTATCCTGAGCAATGGGTAGGACTAGGGTGGCAGCCATTTTTTAGGAAGATCGTCAAAAATCTACACTTCTGACAAGTGTTGCCATGAGTCCAGATTTTCCCGGACATTTCTGTGATTTCCACCCGGAAGCAATTTCCAAATTTCACAGGGCTGCCTGTGAAGACGGTTCATAAACTTCAGCTAGTGCAGAATTTGAGCATATTACACCGATCCTGGTCCAACTGCACTGTCTACCAATTATCTCCAGGCCCAATTCAAACTGCTGGTTTTGACCTATAAAGCCTTAAACAGCTCAGGACCGCAATACCTCAAGGACCGTCTCTTTCCAGATGAACCTACCTGGACCCTGAGATCATCTTCTGAGGCCCTTCTTCATGTACCTCTTCCACGAGAGGTTTGGAGGGAGGCAAAACGAGAACGGGCCTTCTCTGCAGTGGCTCCCTGTTCATGGGATGCTCTCCCCAGGGAGCTTCACCTAGTGCCTTCATTATACACGTTTAGGCGCCAGACAAAAAAGTGACATCCAATGCCCTTTTAAAATGTGTTGGGGAGGGGAGTTTATTTTTTTTAAAAAAAAAATTATGGTGTATTTTGTGTTTTTATATTGTGATTTTATGTTGTAACCACACTGAGACTTGCGGGTATAGGGCAGTATACAAATTTAATAGTTAGACAGATAGATGATAATAATAATAATAATAATAATAATAATAATAATAGTACAGTCGCACCTTGGAAGTCGAATGGAATCCATTCCAGAAGTCCACTCAACATCCAAAATGTTCAGAAACCAAAGCGTGGCTTCTAATTGGCTGCAGGAAGCTCCTGCAGCCAATCGGAAGCTGCGGAAGCCCTGTCGGACGTTTGGGTTCCAAAGAACGTTCGCAAACCGGAACACTCACTTCCAGGTTTGTGGCGTTCAGGAGCCAAAACATCCGAGTACCAAGGCGTTCGGGATCCAAGGTATGAGTGTAGTAATAATAATAATAATAATCTCCCCTAGATGAACCAGTTTCACTGGCAGATCAAAGCACTGCAGCTCTCGCCTGAATCCTGCTCCCATGGGATTTACCTGCCTCACAGCCAGTTAGACTTTGTCTTCCACATATTATTTTTATCCCTCCTTGGCCCCCACCCAAAGGTCAATGGCTTAATGGGATTCCCTCCAAGCAGCTCTGCTGAGAAGCTGCCAGGGCTAATTCCTCTCTGCTTCTCTGCTGCCCCCCCACCCCCCTGGGAGGTGGCCGTACCACTCTGTGTTGTTCAAGGCATCTCCAAAGCCTGGCGTGTCCACGATGGTCAGGCGCAGTTTGACGCCCTTCTCCTCGATGTCCACCACATGCTTGGTGATCTCCACCGTCTGGAGGATCCGTTCTGGCCGTGGGGAAGACGGAAGGAAGGAGTTCAGAACATGGGGGGGGGGTTGAGGAGGAGGAGCAGGGGGCCCAGAGGGAGTAGGAGAGGATACCTCACCCTCAAACCCTGAGAATCCCTCTCTGCCGAGAACATAACCGACAAATCAAGGCTGGATGCGTCTGACCAGGTCAGCGTTCTGGGTATAAGAAGCAGTGGCCGTCCCATCCTCCTCACTGCTTCATCACCAGCATCTAAGTATTAGAGGTAGACTATTCCTAAACATGGAGGGTTTCTTTAGCTGTTACAGATAGCAGCCGCTGGCTGGCATGACCCCCATGAGAACTGCCTTGCAGGGGTCTGCTGAGCCCAGAAAGGCCTGCAGCTCAGGGTTAGAGCACCTGCTTTGCACCCAGAAGATCCCAGGTTGCATCCCAGGTAAGGCTGGGAGTGCGTCCTGCGTGACACCCTGCTGCTGCCAGTCAGTGTCAACAATACTGAGATAGGTGGATCCATGGTCTAGCTAGATATATGCTGCTATGTCTTAAGGGAAAAGCCATAGTTCAGTGGCAGAGAATCTGCTTGGCATGCAGGAGGTCCCAGCTTCCACTCCCACTGGCATCCTCCAGGTAAGTCTGGGAGAGATTCCCTGCCTGAAACCCTGGAGAGCTGCTGCCAGTCAGTGCAGACAATACAGACCCAATAGCCTGACTTGGTAGAAGGCATTTTCCTATTCCACTGGGAGCCAGCCAGATCCCCCTGTGCAGCCTGAGAGCAACATCCCCACCTGCTTCCCCAGTTTAAATCTTCCGCTGTGTCAGAACAGGGGCAAAGGCTGGTTCAGAACTCCCACCGACCGACTGACCTACCTTCGGCATTTAAGAGTTTGCGGTCTTTGTACAAGTCTGTGAGGAAAAGGCTGTTCACCAGGGTGGACTTCCCAAGCCCGGCCTCTCCTGCGAAGAGAAAGTGAAGGGGGGGCAAGCAAGATCACTCAACAGGAAGGTGGATCCTTAAGAATCAGACTTTTGGGAAGAAAAGGAAAAGTGCAGACCAATGATAGCTTTTTAAATAAAGAGAACAAGCTCAGGCCATGTTCAAGGTGGTACTATTTATTATTAAAAACTAGGGACCAGTTTTCATTTGAGGTCGCCTTATCCCATATGTGCCCACTTGACTGCTTTGATCTGGCCCTCAAAGGACCTGTTGATGGCATTTTACCATTGTACTGTGGAGAGTGTATTAACTTATGGTCTCTGTGTGTGGTTTGGGAGCTGCACAGCCAGGGGAAAAACAATGCTGTCCAGGGTTGTAAAGACTGCAGAGAGAATAATTGGGTGCACTCTTCCCACCTTAGATCAAATCTATGCTTCTAGGTGCCCTAAGAAAGCTGCAGAGATAGAGCAGGATAGTGCACATCCTGGAAATGATCTCTTTCAGCTTCTGCCTTCTGGAAGACGGTACAGGGTTATAAAGACTAGGACTAGCCGCCTGAGAAACAGTTTCTACCCAAATGCAATTCTGGTTCTAAACGCAGTATAAGGAGTCTCTATAGTATATTGTATTTTAAAATGGGGTTTCAGAGTTTTTAGGAGTTTTTGAATGTCTTATGTAGATTTTTCAATTTCATTGTTCTGTATGGGACAATGACAATAAATATATCATATCGTATCATATCGTATCGTAAATACATTGGATATCCACAAGTTCTAGTGTCATGGGGGGGGGGGGCTTTCTCTATCCTCTTTTCTCATGCCATGCCTAATTCCACACACTTCCATCATGTCTCCTTCTACTCACTTTTCCTCTCACCTTAAAAGCCCATTTCTTCATAAGGGAGTTACTAGTGTGGATGACTATGAGGGAAAGGGTTAAGGCATCCGCCCTGGGGTGGCAGCTTTGCCCTCTGATGTGCCACCACACTCTGCCGGCCGCAATTTCCATCCTGATCTGGTACTGGCCAGAATGCAGTCCCCGGAAGGTCTGTGAACCACCCAAAAGTGCGTTGGAAGTGCTCCTAAACGTACAGCTTCAACATAAGTTGGCAGAGAGCTAGAAACTTGATAGCCTGTTTTAATCAGAATTCATTGTTGTGCATTGCACTGGCTCTACCTTGAAATATTCATTTGTAATTGAGAAGGCAGGAAGTGGGAACAGCTGCCCCCCCCCCCTCAAGTGCCCTGGTACCTGCAACCATGAGGGTGAAATCGAAGCCTTTCTTCACAGACTTCCGGTGGACTTGATTGGGGAGCGTGGCAAAACCCACATACTCTTTGTCGTCCTGGAGGGAGGGAGAGAAGGAAGGAAGGAAGGAAGGAAGGAAGGAAGGAAGGAAGGGGAAATGTGTGGTTAGAAGAATCTCAGAATTCCAAACAGCTGGAACAAGTCAGTCCAAACCACTTATTCATATACTTCTTGTTATTTACAACCCATCCTGTCCTTGAGAGGCCTGGCCTGGTAAAAGGTTTTAAAGACCCTGCAACAAAAATCATATGCTATATATTGCCTAAGAGAGAAACACCACCTAACTGGACAGTCCTACACACGTCCACTCTGAAGAAAATCCCATGGAGTTTAATGTGTGCTGGGTATGCTCCACATGCTGTATTTCTACCATCTCCAGCGAGGTCCTCCCAGAGATCACCCGTGAGATTTATCAGTTTATTTAGAACACTTCTTAGCCACCCTTCAGCCAAAGCTTCCACCAAGGCAGGGTGGGAAAAAGTGTGAAGGAGATGAATTTGCAGAATGGCTGAAAAACACGTTAACATAACAAATGACAGGAAGGCAAAAGAACGCATATGCCACGCCCACGAAAGCTAAGCACCCGCCATTTTAAGAAATCTAAACTGGATTGAGGAACCTGCACTCAGAAGACGGGGCGAGCTTGTTTTCTGTCACTCCAGAGGGCAGGACCCATACAACTGTACTTGAATGACAAGAAAAGAAGACTCTGACTAAACATTAGGAAGGGCAAGAGCTGATCGGCAGTGGGATGGACTACCAGGGAAGGTGGAAGATTCCCGTTTGTTGGAGCTTTTTAAAGAGAGGTTGGCCATCTACTGGCGATTCCTGCATTGCAGAGGGTTGGTCTGGATAACCCTTAGGGGTCCCTTCCAATTCCACGGTTCTATGAACCTCAGGCGATGAGGCCAAATATGCCCACCTCAACGCCAAGAAGTTTGGAGCTGGTTGTGTATGGAAAGCTTGAGAGAAGGAAAGCCAAAGTGAGATCCGTGGGGAGTGGGGATTGCATACCTCATCAGACTCATAGGGGTCCAGCCTGCCCCAGGGGCTTCTGGGACGGGATGGGCTGGGGGGCGTTGGAGCAGCCATGTGCTGCTTCAGATCCAGAGGCCGCGGGCGGTGGAAGCCCTTCTGCTCCTTCTCTTCCGAGGCCTCGTCGGGGAGGGTCCTGAGCGCCGCACTGGGGAACATCTCGGGCTCTGCGCCGCCGCCGCGGCCCCTGTCCTTCCAAGCCTCTCCCGGCTCCACACGGCGGAAGCCCTCCTCAGCCGGGTAGTCGCTGAGGAAATGGACCAGCTCGGCCTCCTCCGAGTCTTCCTTCAAGAGGTGCTTTATCTGAAGCAGCAGAGGAAGAGAACAGGAAATGCACGTAAACACAGGCTTTAAAACGGGGGTCTATCATGGGAGTAAAATGTGGGGATCACAACCCTTAAAACCTGCTTCCAGTTTTCTGAGGTTAAAGAACCACACAGGTGGTATCGCCCTCCTTTGCAAATGTCAAAACTCTTTCCTTCCAAAACAGGTAATTGTTGGATGGGTTGCGATAAACTTGGTACATGTTTATTGTGGGAATATAAGTTGGCACAAGATTTTTGGAATTTAATTTTGACAGAAATGATTAATATTACTATAGAGACTATAGGTTTGTTGTCCATAATCAATGTTACTGAATATTTCTGTTGACAGCAATGTACATATATAGTCAAAAGAACTGGTCTTATAGATGATCTTGGCAGCTCAAATAATTACGGCAGCACAATGGAAAACAGTCCAAAATCTTACACTGGACGCTTGGTATAACTCTGGAATACAGCTAGAATGGAGAAAATTATGCATAATTTGATATTTCAACAAGGACCAAAACCTCAAGGCGCTTTTTAATATGATTTCACATTCCTTTGTTATGCAGCAAAACCATCATTTTCAAGGCAACTCTCATCATAAGCTTGGCAAATCTGGAACCATGCTTGATAATCAGAGAACGCTAATATTTTTTTCTTGGATTTGACTATTTTAACCCATGTGCAACTGTACTCATTCGATGCGCCTATTTTATAGTTTTATTTTCCATCTTTTGATTTCCATCTGTTGTTATAACAGTTCTCTCAGTTTTATGTACATTATTAAATGAAACAAACAAACTTTATAAAAGAAAAATATATGATCTGTTTATTTTCCTGATCTTGGTGCAATGAACTTTCTTCAAACTTTCTTTCTAACCAGGGCCGGCTCTAATGTTAGGGAGAGGGAAGCAGCTGCCTCAGGCAGCAAAATGTGAAGAGGTGGCAGTGAGGTCTGCAGGACAAAGCACCACTTGCCCTGCCCAATACTCCCCTGAGTTAGCACTGCACTCCCTGGTGTGGACAACGACACTGCCTGGTCACTATTGTTGAAGTCAGATACAACTACCAGTCGCATCACCTCATTTCCATCTAAGACAGCAAAATGTCTTGGGCCAATGCCACTTCTAGCTACCTGCAGCCTTCAGATCATGGCACAACTTTTGTTTAGGAAGCCCCACTGCCAATTCATGTCATGTCTCCCAAGTGCTAATGGTAGCAGTGTTGTAGCCACAGCAACCCTGGTAGACCTCTTTTTTTTCTTTTTGTTCCATTCAGGAGTCTTGCAAACACTGGGTCTGCCAAGATCGCATCTTGGCTCATTTCCCTGTTCCCATCTCCCAACCCGAAGATACCAAATTGTAACTTATTTATTCTATCTTACTATATAAGTATAATTGGAAGGCTCTTATCACGCAGCAGTTTCCGTAGCTGCCAAGAGGGGGCCGCATCAACTCCAGCATTATGACAGAGCAGCATGTAAGAGAGGGCACAGCCATCGTGGCTAGTAGCCTTTGACAGCCCTCTCCTCCATGTGTTTGTCTAGTCCCTTTTTAAAGGCATCTAAGCTGGTGGCTAAGGGACGCGGGTGGCGCTGTGGGTTAAACCACAGAGCCTAGGACTTGCCAATCAGAAGGTCGGTGGTTTGAATCCCCGCAACGGGGTGAGCTCCCGTTGCTCGGTCCCTGCTCCTGCCAACCTAGCAGTTCGAAAGCACGCCAAAGTGCAAGTAGATAAATAGGTACCACTCCAGCGGGAAGGTAAACGGCATTTCGTGCGCTGCTCTGGTTCGCCAGAAGCGGCTTAGTCATGCTGGCCACATGACCCGGAAGCTGTACGCCAGCTCCCTCAGCCAATAAAGTGAGATGAGCGCCGCAACCCCAGAGTCGGTCACGACTGGACCTAATGGTCCCTTTACCTTTAAGCTGGTGGCTATCACTGACCCCTATGGGAGCTAGTTCCACAGTTCAACTATGTGCTGCGTGAAAATGTACTTCTATGATTGTATGATTCCTTTCATGCGTCCTGAATCTTCCAACATCCAGCTGCAATGGATGTCCCGAGTTCGAGTGTTATGAGAGAGGGAGTAAAACTTTTTTCTAGACGCTTTCTCCATGCCATCCATAATGATAACCTATGGAGGGCCACGAGGCCTCTATCCCTGATGAACGCAAACCCACAGTGGTGACCCAAACCCCAGCATTAAACCCCATAACAATAACAATAATACCATAGAAGTGCAGCGTTTATATTGACGCCCGTCGCCAAAATTGGGGTGGAGGTGGAGAAATGACAGGGAGCAGAAGGAAACATGTAGCTACAGTCAACTTTGCATGCATCACATCCCTTAATTCTGGAATTAATTCCAGAAATTCTCCAGCTTAAATTCATACTCATAGAATTATAGGTTCGGAAGGGACCCAAAGGGCCATGCAGGAATCACAGCTAAATTGAGGAAGAGTCAATGAGAGGAACACGGAAGGAATGCAACAGGAAAATCCGTTGTGCTTATTTGCATCTTCCAGACATAAAGAACTGCTGGGTCAATCAAGGAAGGAAAGTGGGTTAGGCCGCAGGAGAAGCTACAACAGCTTGAGTCAGGGGTCCATGGAGGAAAATCCAGAAGGCTCCCTCTCCCCACATGCAGAGGTCTTACTGCTTGCTCCCTGGGGATCCTGGCAGGCTCTTCCGGCTGCCCAGGGAGGCCAGGATCAGCATCCTCCTCTCCTGGGGCACCAGCAAAGGGCATTTCTGCTGGGCAGGGCTGGGTCTCTGTGAAGTCATCCTGGGCTGGCAAGGTCTCTTCCACCTCTGCAGCCTGAGTCGAGAGTACAGGGCAGGGCACAGGAAGAGAGGCGAGAGAAGTGGTTGGGACGGCAAAAAAGAGGGACAGGAACCAGAAGATGGAGCAAAGATAAAGCAGCTGGAAATGTACCGGACCCAAACCACACACCGGGGGGAGTGAAGGCAAGAGGATGTTTTCATTCCACGATGGTTGTTGTCATAGATCAGGAACCAATTGCAACCCTCCAGATGTTTTGAACTCCAGCGCTCGTCATGCCTGGATGTTAGCCTTTTTGTCCCTTTTCGAATCATAGAACTTTAGAGCTGGAGGGGACCCCAAGGGTCGTCTAGCCCAACCCCCGGCAATATAGGAATCACAGCTAAAGAATCCCTGAAGTGTGGCTACCCAACCTCTGCTTAAAAACCTCCACCACCTCCCAAGGGAGTCTATTCCACTGTCAGGCCGTTCTTGCCATCAGAAAGTTGTTCCTGGTGTTGAATCTCCTTCCTTGTCATCTGAATTGATTGGTTCAGGTCCTCCCCTCTGGAGCAGCAGAAAACAAGCTGGCTCCATCTTCCATGTGACGACCCTTCCAGTATTTGAAGCTGTCTCTCCTGTAACATGCCATGCCAAGTTTCATAAACTTCCACCATGTCACCTCTTACTCTGCTTCTTCACCTAAGTCCTTCAGTTAGAAAACCTCCTCCTTGCCCCCAAGCCCTTTGAACGTTTGTTGCCACTTTACACCAGATCAGACAATGGGCCCATCTACCTCAGTACTGTCCCCACTGACTGGCAGCAGCTCTCCACAATTCCAAGTGGGGGTCTTCTTCTCAGCCCTATTCAAAGATGCCCAGGAAAAGACCTGGACTGTCTGCGTGTAAAGATATACTATTACACTATTTAGATCATTTGTTCATCTAGTTCAGGGGTCAGCCACCTTTTTTCAGCTGTGGGCCAGTCTACCGTCCCTCAGACCATGTGGTGGGCCGGACTTTTTTTTGGGGGGGGGGTGAACGAATTCCTATGCCCCACAAATAACCCAGATGTATTTTAAATAAAAGGACACATTCTACTCATGTAAAAACACGCTGATTCGTGGGCTGGATTGAGAAGACTGTCCGTGGGCCACATTGAGAAGGCGATTGGGCCTTAGGTTGCCTACCCCTGATCTAGTTCAATGCTGCCTACACTGACTAGGCAGAGGCAGCTCTTCAAAGTTTTAGGCAGGGAATCTCTCTCTGGGCCCTACCTAGAGGTACCAAGGATTGAATCTGGTACCTCCTACATGCCACATAGATGCTCTATCCCTGAGCAACAACCCTTCCTCTATATAAAAAGAGAACTGTGTACTAATCCGATCATTGGTTCATCTAGCACAGTGTTGTCTACACTGACTGGTAGCAGCTCTCCAGAGTCCCAGGCAAACTGTCCTTATCAGCTGGAAATGCTGGGGACTTTTTCATGCTTTGCGACTACAGGATGGGCCCCCTCTGCCCAAAAAGAGGCGGCTGTTGCCATTTGACGCAGGACTGGCAGGAGAGGCGGTGAGCCTCAGCCATGGGGTGGGGCAAGGCCAGAACGAGGTCAGGATGGCTCCCTCCTCTTCCCCCCTCAACAGTGCACCATCTGGAGTGGGGCTCTGCTCATCCACCCTAATCAATTTCACTCATTATGTCTGCCTAATTGCCGCGTCCCAGATCCCAGCCAAACTCGCCGATTCTGACCTTGGAGAGGTCGCAAAGTGGTGAGTGACTGCTTTAGGCCCATGCGGTTGAGCAACCAAACACACACCCGACAGATTCTGCCCTCCTGCTCTCTCTTTGAGCAGCACATTCTTGCGAGAGCATCAAGCTTCTAGACCTCAGCTTTTTCCTCTCCACCTCTCCATCCCAGATTTTGGTCTCCTCCCTTTTGCAGTTTCCAGCACCTCCGCCTACTGGGAACCAGCCCCAGTTGGGCCCATGAATGCATGAAATCCTAGTCAGAAAAGAATTAGGACCCAAACAGCGCTCTCTGCCTTTGCAATCTTCAGGGACTGGTATATAGAGGCATGCTTCCTTTAAAAGAGGGAGGGCGTTCTAGCTAGTCGCCATTAATAGCTTTATGAACATAAAAAGACCCTTGCTGGATCAGGCCAGCGGCCCATCTAGTCCAGCATCCTGTTCTCACAGTGGCCAACCAGAGTCCCCAGCGGGAAAACCTCAAGCAGGACCCGGGTGCAAGGACACTCTTCCCTCCTGCGACTGCCAGAAACTGCTGCTCAGAAGCATCACTGCCTCCAATCTCAGCCACAATGGCTAGCAGCCATCAATAGCCCTCTCTTCCTCTGTGAATTTTTCCAATCCTCTTTTCAAAGCCATCCAGGTTGGTGGCCATCACTGCCTCCTGTGGGAGGGAGTTCCACAGGACTTCCTTTTATCTGTCCTGAATCTTCCAACCTTCTGCTTTCATAGGATGTCCCTGAGTTTCTATTGCGGAAAGGGAGACTTTCCTCTATCCACTTTCTTCATGTCATGCATAATTTCTTAACACGTCCATCACGTCTCCTCTTCCTCCTTTTCTCTAAACTAAAAAGTCACAAACACAGCAACTCCACCCCCCCTTCTTCTTACTGTCTACTGAATCTTGGTGTAAATTGCTAAGGGACTTCTTGTGTGTGAGGCAATACATAAATCTAACTAATCTAATAAACAAAAGCCAATAATGTTTCTGGCTGCAAACAACCTTTCGCCAAGGAACCATTTCCAAGACTCACTCTTGGAGCAGAATTCCCAGAATATGGTTGGTGCAGGCAAATCTGTCAATTTCAGTTTATCGTAGCTTCTCACTTGCACATTTCAGTTCTCCATAACTGCATGTCTATTTGCGAACATTTTTTTTTTTAAAGTCCCTGTGAAAATTTCTCCTTTGTATGCAATTCTTGGCTAACACACACATTTTTGCAAAGCAATTTATCTTCATATAATGCATCTTTGCTTGCCATTTTCACCAACAGATGCATTCTTATGCACACTTTGCCTTACATAGTATATTCATTTTTCTACACATTACCTAGCTGGAGAACTTCATTGCTAAAAACTCAAGGGGCGAATTTTGAAAGACGATTGCAGTTCAGTTTGCACATTGTTTCACAAAGTGTGAATTCGTTACGTCCACCTTTGAATGCAAACTAAATCGGATTTCCCCCCACGTCCCTAGTGAGGGCCAACACATGGACCACACATACCATGTACACCCCCTTAGGTTCCAGCATGAAAGAAAGGCAGGATATGGACATTTTAAAAATTGAACAAAAGTCGAGAGAGGCAGCTGCGCTCTGCAAAAATGAGATCCTATGGAATGAGCTTTCATGGACCAGAACCAAAACCACCGAGGCTCTCACAACAAGAGTCAGAAATGGCCACCAGTCAGGAATTCCTGCATTGCAAAGGGTTGGACTAGATGACTTTGGAGGTCCCTTCCAACGCTACAAATATATGATTCCACTCAAAATCCTTAAAGGACATAAAGGACATATCTGCATCCAGAGTGCATGGGCTCATTTAGTCACCTAATTTAGGTCAGCTTTGAGAGGGAAAGTCAACCTGTAAGCAACATTAAATTTAAAGGGGTGGGGTTGAGAAGGGCAGAAGATCGGGGCTTTGGTGCAGAAAATCTCCCTACTACGCCCCTGGCCCCCAGAGGGTGGAGACTTTGCTTCCCTTGCCACCCCCCCAGAGCCCCGAAAGGAAAGAAGGCGCTGCCCCTGATAGTGCCAGATCCAGCCCCAGAAACTGGGCATCCTCCTCTCCGCCTGCTCAGTACCTTTTGATCATTCGTTGACTCTGGGACGGACGAGGCCATTTTCCACTCTGATGCGAGATCTAGGCTGCAAATGGAATATTTTGCTACAGGGCTTGTAAGATCAGGGGAGAGGGCAGAGGGATGGGTGCGGGGGGGGGAGAGAGAGAGAAAGAGCATGGCTTTCATTTGCATGGCCACATCCCAGCAATGGCTGCATGTCCTTCGACCCGCCGGGGGCAGCTGTTTTGGAACAGCATGCGATGGAAAGGGTTTCCGCCATTGCTGCTGGGTGGCAGAGGGAGGGGAGCCAGCGCTTACTGCCGGCTTCCATTTGTTCCGTTTGATTCCAAATCCTCTGAAGGAGCAATACAGGAGCGTCTCTGAGCATATGCAGAGTGCCCTGCACTTGCCATTGAACTGGCCTCAGCCAGAAGAGCGCTAAAGTTTCAAAAGCGTGGAGCTATCAGGATTTGAATGTGGATCACATCCCCGGTCTCTGAATGCCCTTCTTCTAGCTGGAGAACTGAGTTAACAAGAACATAAGAAGCACCTACTGGATCAGGCCCCTGGCTCATCCAGTCCAGCGTCCTGTTCACACAACAGCCAACCAGATGTCTGTGGGAAATCAGCAAGCAGGACTGGAGGACAGGAGCACTTCTGGTAGCTGGCATTCAGAAGCATTGCTGCCTCCCAACTGTGGAGGCAGAGAATAGCCATTATGGCTGAGAGACACTGATAGCCCTCTCCTCCTCCATGATTTTGTCGAATCCTCTTTCAAAGCCATCCAAGTTGGCGGCTATCACTGCTTCATGTGGCAGTGAGTTCCACAGTTTAACTATGCAATGCATGAAGAAGGACTTTCTTTTCCCTGTCCTGAATCTTCCAGCATTCAGCTTCATGGGATGTTGACAAATTCTGATTGTTATGAGAGAGGGAGGAAAACTTTTCTTGATACATTTTTCTACATGCCAGGCATCATTTCATAAACTTCTACCATGTCTCAGCATTTTTCTAAATTAAAAAGTCCCAAACACTGCTACTTTTCTTTACAGGAGAGTCATCCCTGTGATCATTTTGGTCAACCTTTCCCAAACCTTTTCCAACTCTACAATATTCTTTTTGAGCGGAGACAACCAAAACTGTACGAGGGGAAAACACTCTGCATATGCTCAAATGAGCTTGCGGGTGTGTTAAAGACCTCAAACTTTAGAAAGTCAGGTGTGAAGCCATCTTACAGAGTCAACAGGATGTCAGCTGGTTGCTTACAGCAGTCAGTAGGGAGGTCAATGCAATGCAATTCTCTTTTGAACAGTCAATTTAAATATTATTCATCCCTAGAAATCCTCGTCTCAGCATCAGCCAGCTTAGCCTATCAGCCCATGAACTCAACCAGAAGCGAACGGCATTGCAGAACTTGTTAAATCTGAGTTGCGA